TCTGCTCTTGTACTAAGGAATCATGCTCGCATCGGCAAGGCTATGCGTTTCGAGTTTATATCATGTTGGGGTGCCGTCTTGAGCAATCCCAGCCATCTCATCACTCTATCATGCTCTACTCTCCTGCTGTTGCTGCCGCTGCTCAGCATTCAAGCATATCACTGGTTCGATGCCGCAATGTCCTTCTTCATTGCAGTCGCCATGATCGGTCTGGGTGTCCGCCTGGGCACATCACTTTCATCCATTCTTCTCATGTCCTATTCGGCGCCTGCTGGCAGTGCGACAATCAAGGACGTGATTTCTGAGATTGAAACCGATAAATCCGTTTCAGCCGTTCAAGACGCCAAGTTCTGGCAAGTTCACTATGGACTCTGTATGGCCAACTTGACTCTGAGATATAGAGCAGCTGACTATGGCCTTGACTTGGCCAAGACGAGGGAAAGAATTACGAGTCTTGTGCGAAACAGACTCGGTGGTGGTTACGGGTCTGGCGGCCTCAAATGGGAGGTATCAGTGCAGTTGATCTCTGAGAGGGATTGATTAGCCCCCTTGTTAACGACACTTATTGAATCACGACACGATATTATGTACATTTCTATATCTCATATCGCATGAAACGAAAATGCTTGCGCTCCTCAAACTTACTTCGCTCGCTTGTTGATGCTTGACCCTTCACGTGACGTGCATCTTGTTTGCCCGCGTTTGCCTCTTGTGACACCTTCACTATGCTACAGCACCACGTTTTCTAATCTGACATATCATTAAACATCGGAAAATCATCAGCAGTCGCTTTTCCATTCGACAAAACTATTTGCGCATCCACTGTTAATATGGCGGCTCCTCAGGACCTACTTGAACGTCTCCAAGCCCATCTTGGCCAGCTGGAGGAGGATCCAACCAACACTGAAATCGACGAACGTCTTTTCGAATCGTGCTCACTAGCTCTGGCTCCCGGTATTTCCAAGAAGAACTCTACCACGCTCATCTCACAGCTCTCACGTATCTTGCCGGTGCTACAGAAGGATCCGACACAACCGATCCAATTCCTGGTGCTTTTACTGGAGCCGTTGAGTTATTCGGACGTGCTCGGTCTGAATGCCGCGGTCGACTTTGTGGGTGGGTTGCATGTGGCTGCCGTGCCGTATAATCGACTTATGCTTGCGCTGCTGAACAAAGCTGCCGGGAATGCTACGGACGCTGCGACTATTGCCGCACAACCTGAAGTTGTGACTGCGTTGGTGAATCTCTGGCTGTGCACTGCGGATGCTGGGGTTGCCAAGCAGGCTGGCGATATCTTGCTTGCTTTGCTCAAGGTCGATCATGCGGTACCTCCTGGTGCTGGCGAGGAAAAGTCGCTGCCCGGTCACAGTCAGGGATTGATGTGGAAGCGTGTGTTTGGCGATCAGGATGTTTATGCGCTGATCTTTTCCGTCTGCTCGTTGAAGCATACTGAAGGTGTGGAGTTGTCGGGGAGCCAGAGGACGCTTGCTCAAGCGAGACTGCTCGAGTGGCTGCCTGAGGTGGGTGTCGTCAACTGGAACGCCATTACACATGCACATCATCCAGAGATTGAGGAGCGCTTCACCGATGGCAAGGGAGAAGGTATGCTGTACTTTGCTGCTGCATGCATGGTCGATGCCGCTGGCGATGTCTTGATGCATCGCTGCCTGGTGGAGTTCTACGCTACCTTGCTTCAAACGATCACGCCGACAGCATCAGCAGGTTCACCACATTCTTCTGCTGCACTGGACTTTCTCGTTCAACACAAGCTTCACGACAAGGCAATGAGTTTCTACCTGGACCCTGCCAACCCTCGCCATGACCCTTTGGATGTTCAGTTCCTGTACGCACCCTCGGCCAACTACCTCGCCGCCTACGTGTCATCGTATCCCTCGCACTTTCTCTCCAGCCCCCTCAAACCAAGCCTCATGAAACGACTCCAAACCTCACTAGACCTGTCTCCAACCCGCTGGGCTCACGCCGAGTCCCCAAAACACGATTTACACATTCTTTCCTCCATGCCTCGCAGTTCTCTTCTACCCGCCAACAACAATTGGAACTCCTCTCCCCTCTCCCTGTTGCCCACAAAATCCACGAATGCAGATGTATTGGCCACTCTGGCGACGATATTCCACGGACCCTCCAAGCAGGAAATCATCAATTATCCAGTCATGAGCCCGTTGATGGATACAACACACAGCGCGCACTGGAAATCAGAAGCTCAAGCTGCATATGCACTGTACTATCTCTATCTCAACCACAACCCCTTGTTGTTCGCCGATCTCGTACGTCACGCTTCCATCATCGCGCTCAGAGAGAATGCCCTTGCTGCGATCAGCTGTATACGCAGTATCGGAACTGCGAATTGGTTGCCCTTGACCGATGTTTCTGTCCCCTCCACCACAGAGTTCAGAGCCTCACTCCCTCACACCGCGCTCGCCGAACAGCAAACAGGGTTTTTGGCTCTCCTATCGCCACCGAGTTTGGAGTATACATTGCCGTATCTGTTGTCTGCGAGCCAGATGTTTTCGAATTTGGTTGGTGGGGTGGGGGATAGTGAGAATTCTGCCTATCGGGTTGCGATGAGCAAGTTTGAGTGTTTGAAGGAGGTTTATTTGAGGTTGAAGGTATATGCAGAGGAAGGGGATGAAGAAGCAAAGGAGTGGAGTGATGTGGTGGGTACGTTGAGGAAAAAAGTTGATGAGGGGCCGTTTGGAGGTAGAGGTGATCAAGCGGGTGGTAGGATTGCTACCATGGAGTTGTAGGTATGTGGAAAAGAAGTGATATGGTAGGATCAGTGGCGAAGTTCCTGGACCAAGAGACACAGAAGACTTTGGGATGCTTGCTTTGGCTTGGTGCATCCCACAGCTTGTAGCGTCTAAAGCCATGCAAGACAGGCACAAAACAACGAAAAGCGAAAGAAATGACAATCAAAAGAGAACTTGATTAAAGCCATCTTTTCCACTGTAAACTCGACAGAAGACTCTACACAACACGTCTACTAACCCTCCTATTCTCTCTTTGACGCTTAACCTTCATAACATCCCTCCTCCTCTTCTTCCAAGCCCGATTACTATCACCCCTATTCTCCCAAAACCATTTCGAAAACTCTGTTTCCTCTTCTGCTTCTCCCTCTGCCGCCTTTTCCTTGATTCCCAAGGGCTCCATGTTGGCATTTTGCTGTTGCCAGTCTTGGTCGTCGTCTTCGTAGCCTTCTTCGACGTCTTGGTCGGCGAATTGGTTGGCAAAGGAAAAGGAGAATTTACGGCCGATGGCGGCCGTGTCGGGGGTGGGTGCTGCGGAGCGTATGTCGCGGGTGCGGGTGTAAGGGGTTGATGGGTAGGTGGGGTCGAAGGGGTGTCGTCCATNTTCTTCGTCAATGTCTTCGGAGATGCCGAAGGAGAAGGAGGTGTTGATGGGGGCGGGGCGGGGTGTAGTGTCAGAGGNGGCCTTTTTCTTGAAGAGGGCTTCCAGGGGGTGGATCTCGCGGGGCGGGGTGCTTGGTTTTGCGTCCATTGCGTCTAGAGAAGGAGATTTTGCGGCAGGCAGAGGTGTTGAAGATTTTTCGGCTAGTGTGTCGATGTCTGATGAGTAATCAGAGTCTGCTGATGGTTCGTCTTGTTGCTCCGTTGGTGCTGAAGCAGCAACCTCCTCGGCACCTTCCTTGATCTCTTCTGCAATCTCTTCCTGTTCGGCTTCCTTGGCTGCTTCTGCTTCCTCGTCTGCTTCGTCATCATCATCACTGTCGTCAGTCATCTCTTCGTCGCTCTCGGAAGACACGTCCGAGCTCTCATCACTCGACGAGTCGTATCCTAGCGCCTTTGCGCCAGCGGTGATATCCTTGTGCATGGCAGGTTCCTTGGGGGCAGCAGGCTTGATCTTGATCTCAACAGGTGTGTCTGTCATCTTTGCAATCCTATCCTCACGTTTCGGCTTGACCTGCACTTCCTCGATAACATTTCCCTCTGCATCCACCCAACCCTTGCCAGGCACAAAATCAGCAGTCGCAGAGGCCTTGCTCGAAACATCGGATTTCAAGAACGAAGGCACGGGCTTGTTCTTTTCGAACTCGTGGATGACGGTGATGTTTTTGGTTGTTTTGATTTCTTGTTCTTCTTGTCCTTGCCCTCTGCCTTNTTGGGCCATCATGACGGCTTCGGGCAGTTTTTGCTTGAAGAGAACTTCCTGCTTGGACGAATATTTTGACTTTTCGCGCCTTGGTGTCTTGTCCTTTTGTCGGCCTTGTCGCTGCTGCTTGACTTGTGGGATTTTTCTTTCTTNGTCCTTGTTGTATTTTCCGGGTTCCTCTGTCCATCCGCGCTTCACTTGTCTGTCGTCCGGGAGTTCAAAACCAGTGATTTCCTTGTCCTTTTTCTTGCTGGATTTTTCCTTTTTGGCCTTTTTGCGCGGTTGCTTTTCTGCCTCTTCTTGGGCGTCGTCGTCCTTGTCGCGGCGTCTGCGCTTCTCGGGCTTTGCTTCTTGGATGGCCATTTTTTGTCCTCGCAGGGTGGCACCGTTGAGCTTTTTGCGCAACTTGTCGGCGTCTTGTCTGGGCAATTCTACAAAGCCAAAGCCGCGTTCGGGAAAAGTTTGCACTTGGTGGTAGGAGATGTTTGTGGCGTTTGGTTGGACGGAAGCGGGAATGATGTTTTGGTAGAGGGTCGCGTTGAAGGGAGTGATGTGTAGGCGCACGCGATCGCTTTCTGCCATGATTGGGATAAGGGCAGCGGTCGGGTGGTGAGAAATGTCTTTTTGGGTCGACTTCACATGAAAAGAGCGGCCCCGCGTTTTGGGCTTGGCACGTGTGAGACTCCGTTCATCTGGCCAACATTGATTGACCATGAAGAGTGACCATTGTAACCAGCAAAGAGACGAGATTTAACATGAAGCAACGACTGCAGTTCCTTTTCTTATGGCTGGCTTTGATAGCCCCCGCGTTGTGTGCCTGTATGCTTCTCCCTGACGCCGACCAAAACACAAGCTAACCCTGTCCTCTTAGCNNTGCAACATCTTTCTGCAAATGCACATGCTTTAGCAACAGCACAATCATCCCCTTGACAGACATTCCCGGCGAAAGCACTGCCAAGAAAGCAACTTGCAATGATTGCAACAGGCAATTTTGTCTCTCGTATAATCTGCCGATATGCAAGGATGCAAAAGATGCCGATGTCTTTACCACTTGCTTTCAAAGAGACTCCACCAAAGATCAGATGATTGTCTATACTTTCATCCTTGTCACTTGCGGACTGCTCATCTGGGCCACTATAAAACCCTATGCTGAGACCTACCTTGAGGTGTGTAATCGCCTGGGAAGCCATATATGCAATGCTGATTGAGGCCAGAGATTCCGAAATCGACACAGCTACAACTCTGTCGCGCAGAATGGCAACTGATGCGTTTCACAAAGCGGCATGGAGAAGCTTTTGGCATGATACCCCGGAAACCGTACAAGTGTTTTTATATTCTTACAAGCAATTGAATGCGACCCAAGCATGAGCATACAAAGCCATCACCTCCTCAGCAACCAGTTTGTCCAGCTCTTTGACTTTTCTTGCACTGCCAGCACTGAAGCAGCTGCTTCTCTGTCCAACGGGCCTCCAATCACGGCCTCTGCGCCGACTGTTTGCGGCTTCTGCCACTTGTGCTCGTCAACCTTGTCTTCCACGGCCTTGACAATACCCAAGTCCTTGACCTTCTCTTTCGCAGCAGTCGCCGTCTCCTTGACCTCGAACGCAGCATCTTGAGCAGCGGCTCTCGCAGCAGCACCCAAGTTTCCACCCTGCTGCTCTTCCTTTGGTGCCGACGAGAAGATGCGGCTAATCATGCCAGGCTGTTTCTTTTGCAAATCGGCGGCCTCGAGTTTGGTGCGCTCTTGATTGAGAAGGAGGATTTGGTCTTCGTCGGCGAGGCCTTGGTTGAATGCCACACGGGCTTCGTCAATCTTGACTTTGTGCTTTGCTTGTTGGTCGGCGAGCCATTCGTTGCGCTTCTTGCGGTTGTGCATGAGCATGTCTCCGATGGCGAAGGATGCGGTGACTCCGCAGACGANCTATTTGTAGAAAAATGTCAGCATTTCAATTCGATCACTTTCATGTTCTCTTTTTGGCTCTGGTGTGTCGCCTTTATGGTGATGTAGGGGGTAGCGCATACCAGTCAAGCCTATCAGTGAGTAGGCAGTCACCCTGTGTGCTCTGTCTGCCCATTTTCTTCCAACCCTGACCACGGCGTCGAAGCTTGATTCCTTGCCCGTTCGTGCTCTGGCGGCCGCAGCTCTTAATCTCGCAATCTTTTGCTGGGGTGTTTCTCCAGAAGGCGCGGCATGGCCCATGTGTACCGGGGCAGGAGTAAACTGGCCCTGAGGTTTGGCGCTGGCATATGGCGTGGTTGCCGTGAAGCGGGTGGCATCTTTGGCCGATCGCACCATATTCGAGGATGTGTGTTGGATATTTGTGTGTGCGTCGAGAAGTGCCGAGTATGTTTTTCCAGAGAAGGAGCTACTGAGGTATGGGTGTCGAGGGTATAGAGCTGTTTGCAAGCAATTGGTGGAGGGTCTCTTTTGCAGCAACGGGTCAAAACTTCAATGATGTCGAGAAATCGCAACTTCTTGCATGATCATGCCTTTCTTGGCGTGTTTTCGGATCTCTGCTTCCGTGTTCGTGTCGAACCCTAACGCTAGCCTGTTTGGTCAGCATTGCTCTTTCCCGCCTTGCTGCTCCAAAACGATCAACTATTGTATATCCAGCAACATTGCAAGTCTATACAAGTGGGAAGAGTGTAGTCATGGCAGATCCAACAGTCCCTCCTGATCTCGCCTCGATCCTAGCGACCCTTGCACAATTCGCACCTCAGCAACAAAATTCACAACAAATCTCATCACCCACAGCCACAACTACCACAATCGCGGATCCTAGATTACAGAGACGCCAAAACAACCGATCATCAGCTCAACCCTTTACTCAAATACCGAATGAGCTTCAGCAAAACAATCACCAGCCGTCAAATGCATATAACCCTCAAGCTACTGTCTTTCAACCTGTAATCCCACAAGGACGAGTAACCACACAGCCATCGAGGACATCGACACCTCAGCAACAAGAACAGACTATAATTGATCCTGCAACAATCACCGAATGGTCTGCTGGGTTGCGATGTGTGACCAAGATTGCCGCACAAAACCAACACTTTGCAGAAAAGATTCGAGGTGTAAGTTATGTTCATAATTATGCTCTTCAATGCCAAACTAATTGTGAATCTCAANNGTTGATCAACGATCAAAGACGAAATGAAATGCAATGGTATGTTCTGTGACGGATTCCGAAGATGATTATAGCTCATCAAGAAACATAGNNGTACTCGAGCAGACAAGCACTCAAACAGATGCAAGCAAAAAGATCCACCACTTCAAATGAATTGCAAAACATCTTGTAAGTTTGCATCCCAACCCAATAACTTTTTGAATACACGCCGTCGTCCAAACCAGCGTCCTTCATGTGCACAATGTCAAATAATCCCATCAGTCTTACCCTCAACTCACACACCTTTCCCAGCAAAACAATCGGCAGCACAGATGCTCCCTCAACCCCCAAACCCCCGAGGAAAAAAGCAGCCGAACTCCACGCCTTTGACCAAAAACTCTACAAAGCCCAGCTCGACATGAATGAATCAATGTCTCAAGTGCTCAAACATTTGGGTGTTCCTTTCTTTGGCACTCATGCTGCGTTGATCTTACCCGATCATGATGGCAAAGAGGGAACGGAAGGTAAGGTGATGGATACACAAGGCGAACGACCGAAATGGTCACCGAGGGTCACAGGCAAGGAGCTGCTAGAATTGAAAAAGAGGATGGTGGCGTATCTGGAAGATATGTATAAGAGTTGATGTGCAGCCAGCTGTTCAGGAGTAGGAGAAGTATTGCTGAGGCTTGCTATGGTGGATCAGCTAGTAGAGGAGTGTTCGCGAAGAGTACTGCTCGAGACAAAACGTGTATCAACTCTCATTAGCCAACGCTTGAGTTCAGATATTTCAACTTCACCACAAAATAATGATGAATGTCTGATATACACTAATTTCATGAGAAGAAAAACACTTTGCTCAGATTCCGATCAAGTACATTCGATACAACAATCCAACACAATCCACTTATTGCAACCTTTTCACACAACTCGCCCTCCTGTCTCTATCCGCCTCTCTACCTCGTTTTCCTTCCTCTCAGCTCATATCAATCCAACCAACTCTCAAACCNCCCTTCCTCCCCAAACCTCCCATACCTTCCCTCCTTTCCCCTCCTTTCTCCATCTCCACTCTCCAGATCATCCTCTCCCCAAATCCCTCCTCCCACTCTTCCACCTTCCTCGGTGCCAAACACACTATCAGCAGCTTTACTCAACACCTCATGTGCAAAACTCGACGCCAAGTCAAAAACTTGAGAGAGACGATTAGAGGAGAGTAAACTTTCTCGTCGCGGGGAAAAAGTGGGNNTGGGGTGTAGGTGTTTCGGCGAGAGTTTCTGATTGTGGTTGGTGGCGAAGCACGGGTGGAAGTGGTAGAGGTAGGAAAAGTTGTTGGGGAGAGGGGGGAGCGGGTTGCTGCTGCGGTTGCGAAGAAGGGGGTTGTCGGTGATGGGGTTGTGGATTTTTGTGTAAATGTTGTTGTTGAGGATGTTGTTGGAGCAGAGGAAAATGTGGGTTTGGAGGTGGCTGTTGATGTTGCTGCTGTTGCNTGAGCTGCCAGAGGAAATGATTTGAGAGTTTGAGGCGCAGATGAAGATAGGGAGGCCCATTGTTTCTTTCGCCAGCGTGTCCATTTTCTGCTTTTTGGTTCTTGTTCTGTGGGATTTTGGTCTGAAAGTGGCTGTTGTACAAGAGCTTTTCGTTGTGGAGAGGATATCGGGAAGCGAGATATCTTTGGTAAGAGAGCAGTGTCGTTTTGTTGGCAGTTTCCGATGAATGGGCTTTGAGAGTTTCCGAGATATGTGAAGAAGATGGTGGTGTGAAGCTCGACCCAATGTTCTTCCTTGGTCGTGCTAGAGGGGTTCGCAACTATACAGTTGGATGGATATGAGACAGGAAAAGCGAGTGTATGTCCAGTAGCGAGAAAGAAAGAAAGCAAAGCATATCCGTCACATCTGGCGCCCTGATAAAATAGCATATGGCTTGATTCAATCAAGACCTTTTCCGGCCGTAGGGCATTGGCATGGTGGTGTTGTTTCTTTGTATTCGTGTGGCGCAGTCAAAGCACACTTTCTTGATCAAGGTATGATGAGACAAAGAGAAGGGAGAGTGTATGCATGAATCAAGCGAAGTTCGCTTTGGGTTGCCTCGCTGTAGTGGAACAAAGAAAATGAGAGCTTGTCGTGTTGTCTGCGGATTATTCAACTGAGCCACCTACTTGAGGGGTCGAGTCCACGACCTCGTGATCGAAGGACGATTGGCCCGCTTGACTGACCTTCTTTTGCACCTTGTCTACCTTGTTTCCCATATAAGATCAACGAAGCCTCCTATATTTCAAGTCCAGTAAAGATCCCAAAACCATGGGTATCGAACACACAAAGATCCATTCAAATATAATACACCAGCCTTCTCTTTTTATAAAAAATCTCCTCGGTTGCTCTTTCATATCTAACCCATAGCCTTCAAGAAATTGGCCTCCTTGATCTTGGCGCGTCTGTTCTTACGCATCGACTTTGTCAATGCATCTCTGGCCTCCATGGCATCAATTGCGCTCTGCAGACTGCCATCTCCAGCAGGCAAATCAATGGTTTGTTCGTGCAGAGGGATTTTCGGGGCCAGTGCTTCGGGGTTGAGCAGTTGTTGTTTGCGCAGGGCTTTGGCAGCTACACGGCGTTGTTTCTTGGACTTGGNCTATGAGAGAGAGAGCAGCATATTAGCAGTGTTTCTTGAGCAGAAGAAGAAACAGGACGCAAAAAAGAACATACAAAACAAATCTCCCTCGACAGATCCAGCATCGGCAGCACTTTCTCCGGCCTTCTTCTTCAAAATTCCCCACAGCCATGAGGGATACTCTGTATCCTCCAAGGCAACAGGATCGTTTTTTCCCTTGACAAAGTTTAGACCCTTGAGCGGCGTGCCAGCAGCGACTGAACTCTTTATCGTGGGAGCGGCTTTCTCTGCGCTTGGTGCCTGCAGCTCTACAGCGGAGGGCGAAGCACTGAGCGGTGTGGAAAAGGGTTGCGCGGCTCCTGTTGATGTGGCAGCGGAGGGTGTGTGAGCAGAGCTGTTTGGGTTGCCCTGTCGTGGCGCGGCCGTGTCGAGGAGTGGTGAGGTTGTGGTGATGGCGCGGCGAAAGGGGAGGGCGAAGGGGCGCTGGACAGCCGTCCGTAGGCAGCGGTTACAGATCATTGTGTTGCGTATTGTGCGTGAGGTGAGAGAGCGATCTAGACTTTTGGATTGCCTGTTTCAATCCGATGCGCTTGAACAAAGATTCGATGGAGGTCGCGTGCCAAGACTCTCCGCGAGCGGATTTTGTTCGGTTGCGCTTTCCATACTTGCCATCACGGTGCTGGCATCTGGACTTCCTCTCTTTGTTGCTTGCATTCCTGATGGACGCAAGAACTGTGCGAGGCCTAGGACAATGGTTTTAACTAACGCAAGTATAGTTGCATATGTCTTAGAGACCAAGTTTGTCTTCGAGCAGTACATCATGAGCCATTGAGATCATTCTAGAGCTCACATTTTGCATTCACATATGCACAGGAGAGAGTATCAAAAGGCAACATGGCATGACAGCCAGGGGTATATTCAGTTGTTGTAAGGAGCGAAGGGAAAACAAGGAAAGAAATATGGTATAAAAACAAAAGCAGAAAACACCCCCTAGTGCAAGTGCTTGTGCAGATGAACACACCCATCGTCAAGTCGTAATGTAAAAAGGCTGGCCGTTCTTTGCCAAAAACAAGAATCGAATGCTCGTCAAGCCCAAGGGAACCGTGACGCCGGTTGGTCATAAGTCGTGTCTGCATCTCAAGACGGTTTGGGACGGATCGCTAGAGTCTATCCTTCGTCGATGCCGTCTTCTTCAGATGTCATGCTTCTGGCATTTGATTGTGTGCGTGACTTTTNTGAAGGTGAAGATTGACTGTCTCCAGACTTGCGCTTGGTTCCATTGGTAGATTGCTGCTGCGGCTCTACACCACCATTCTTTGCAGCTTCAACATCGAGAGCGGCTACTTCCTCGGCTGTGAGGAAGCGCCCTCCTGGTCCACGCGGTCTTCGCATGGCATGATTGTGGCGAGACTCGTGCAAGTAGGGCTTTCTGCCCTTGCTTGTGAGGCGCAGTTGTTCCTCGAGTTTTTGTCTGGCCAAACGTCTCTTGAGAATTCGGTGGAATTGTTTCGCGTTGACGTATAGAGGTGACTCCTCGGTACTGCCACCATTAGCAGCCTCTGGTGACGAGTGCTGTTGAACGACCTGTTGAACCATCTGAGGCGCGACTGATGCGCGTCGTTGTTGCTGCATGACAGGCTGAGAAGGCTGGACTGCCTGGCTCATACGGCGTGCAACCATTTGTTGGGGTATTGCTTGAGGAGCAGGCATGACCATTTGACCAGCCATACTTGTGTTGACATTCATGTGACTCTGTGATGGCGATCTTGGTGTCTGTCTCTGTTCACTCTTGACAGATTGTCCCATACGTGGTGATTGTCTCGGATCTTGTGCTAGTGGTTGCATAGCTTCCGGCATATAGTTGTAGTTGCCCGAGGCAGCTGCCGTGGCCATTGCGGCGGCTTGTGTAGGAGACATTTGGTTTGCGCCCATGCCGTAATGCATGCCTTGGACTGGATAGCCTTGCTGATACATTGGCATGACCTGGTGAGGTCCAACGCCGGAGCCTGGTTGTTGACCGTAGGCATGGTTTTGTTGTGACATGATGGGAGAGACCTGATTTTGTTGAGTAGGAGAGGTCACTGGCGGACCAGATTGGCCGTTGTGAGTGGGCGCGTATGCGTTGTGAGTATGCGCGTGCGGTTGTTGGTAGGTTGTGTAGTCCATGGCGACGGTGCGTTTGTGTTAACCACGAAGGTATATAATCGATGGTGGTGTTGCGCGATGATCCGACGGGATGGTTGAGCCGGCACGACGTGGGTTTGCTATTCGATATAGCAGATGGCGAGTTGTCCAGACGAGGCTTTGTCAAGTGCGAGAGCCGTGTCGGGGTTTTGTCGCACAATGGGATTGTTATACAAGGCTTGTTTAGTTCGATGTGTATGGGTGACGAGGGTTAGTCGCATCCAGGTCGAGCGGGCTTCCAGAATCCGGGGCGGACGGAGAGTCGTTGCCAAACAAGTCAAGCTTGGGAAGCTTTGTTCCGACGCGTCTTTGGCGACGCGATTGTTGGAGAGGTGATGGGATTGGTAGAAATAAGATGAAGAAGCGCAGCAGGTCGACCAAACAGAACGCGAGGGTGGTGCGGATCTAATCACGGCCGGGACGTTAGCTGGGGGGAAAGCACGAAGGATGATGGGAGTCTTGAAAGCGGGCATCGAGGTCGCGGGCGCGGCGTGGCTGTGGACTCTTGCTGCGGTGTGCGCCGTGTTCAAGGCGATGCGCTGGCAAGCCGCATGCAAGCCCGACGCAGCCTTTCTGCCGTTCCATTCCCTTTGCTGCCTTACCTGAATTGCTTTGCTTATATGAGATGATGCGACGAGTGTGACCTCTTGCGCTGGCGCAGACGCGTGCAACGATGATGTGGGTTGCTGGCGTCGGCTTGCTCTCTGCTCTCTGCTCTCTACTAGACGGCGCGGTTAGCATTGCGCGCTGCGAGCATGGAAGCAACGGCTACGGACCTTCAGCGTGACACTGCAGGTACGCACGCGCAGAGAAGGTGTATGCTTTGGATGACAACCTATCAAGCTGCTTGATCTGCTTCGCCGAGGCTTCGACGCGACTCAAGTTGGTAGCAAGCTCCAGATACGGCGGCTAAAGGCGATGGGCGAGGCGATTGGTTGATGGTACAAGTTCCCTGGACGAGAGGCCTGTGCAGGAAATGGAGGAAGATGACTGGCTGCTGCAACCTCGAAGATTGAAATCTCCACTTTCTGCTTTGGCGAGGCCGAGATCACGTGGACGGCATCATATCGGTGCTTCTTGCTCTCAATCTTCCAGACCCCGCCATCAACCATGGCCGTCCTGCTGCTCGTGTATCAGATGCGACGCCATTACTTGATGGCGTGCCGTGAGGATGGTGGTTACACGGCATGCTGTGCCTTGATCTCGAGCCGGATTCCGTCAACAGCACGCGGATGGGCAAGTCGTCTTGTCTATATGACCTCGGCAAACTCATTTGCACGAGCATGTGTCGCAGGGGTGTGTTCTTGTTCCATCGTCTCAGACGTCCATGGAATGTTGCGGAGAACATATCAGCATCAACCGGCTTCGTTTGATATTCTTGAAGGCTAGTTATAGACAGACGTGTTTGCTCTACTGATTTTGAGAAGAGGCAACACCCACTGAACAAGGTTGTAGGCCTGAAACATATATGGAGCTGTATTCGGCATGCTTTCATCGTTGCTCATGATGTACAGTAGGAAGAGTATTCACGCGACCAGTACACTTGGTTAAAAGTTGTTGTTCGCGTTGCACAAGGCATTTGATTAGGCTGAAGCCTTGGTTGCGTGGTCTGTGATTCATCGTTGGAACCAGGAAAGTGAAGAATGTGTCCGAGAGTTTGGCGTGGCTCCAAGACTTGATCATCTTTACCCCATAGACAGGCAGGCACTACTTCTTCTTTTGAGCAGATGTGTAGAAACTACGCATAGAAGCAGGAGAATCGTCAAGACCCTCGAGCGGTTCCCGAGAAGAAATCGCGATCTGTGGGGAAGTCCTGCCTGGCCTTGGAACAAAAACGGCATAAAATCAGCACAGACTCGAGCACAATAATCGACAGTCGATATCATGGCCCTCAGCATCGCCAACCCGGCCGGCCCATCGCCAAAGACATCGGCATCGCCTCCTCCCTTGTCGACATCGCTGTCATCATCAGCGCTGAGGTCGCCATCACCACAGCCGCCTCCTGCAAGCCCTCTCACGCCTCGTGCCCAACCAGCCAAGCTCGCGACCACAACCCCACCCTTACCCATACAACAACCACCACCGCCTCATTTCATAGAGCAGCCACCTTCGCTGCCCTTTTCCAGCCATGATTCAAGTGATGCCATAGCCTTGCGCGCCGCCATCTCCTCTCTCCAGTTCCAGCGCCTCCAGGCTCAACGAGACTTGCGCACTCTCGAAGACATCAAGCGCCAGGCTGTCGAGCGCCCCGAAGAATATCGCCGACATGTCATCGCAACCGCTCACGCTAAACCTTCACCTCCTCCATGGACTGTAAAGGACTCTCCGGACCAGGACATGGAGGATGATGACGATGCTGTTCTCGGCGCTACCAGCATGAGCGAACACGATTCTGTCGATTCGCAATCCGAGGCCACGACCAAGCCATCTCCAGTCTCATACGGCTCTATGTTGCACTCACAAACAGCAAAGAACACACACCAGCCTTCCACCTTTCCCGCTGTTCCGTTACCACAAGACATCGTCCGCTGTCCCCCCATCGAATGGACAAAGTACAACATCGTTGGTGAATCCCTGGACAAACTTCACCGCGACCAACAAGCACGTCCAGGAGATTCTGCTTCGCCTCAGCGCGATAGTGTTGTTGCTGCTCCCTACAACCCTTTCCTGGACAAGCTAGATCCGCGACCAGTGCCGGAAGCCACTCCGTCGTCGAGAAAAGACAGTGGTTCTTCTGCATCAGGTCAGCACGCGCAACGCAGGTCTAGCAAGCCTGTCATGTGATTGGTCTTCACAATCGCTCTCAATTTACGCTACAAGACATGAATTACGTGTTCGGATATTTATTATGAGACTATTCGTCAAACAAAAAGTATTTTCTTCTCCATCCACAAACACCAGCTCAATCGTTTCCATGATAAAACAGCGATCAGTCAATCAAGCGCCAATCATGTGAGCACAAAGCAGGTATTTTTATATTGACCTGGCGTTTCAAAGACCTCAGCGGCTGCATATCTTGGCGTTTGTCGCAGCCCTGCTTTCTGGCACGACAGTGCCAGCACTTCATTGGAATGAGCCAGACGTCATGTTTGAATTCCTTGTAACTATGCCAGAAAAACCGTAGTAGGTTGTTTGCTGTGGTCTCACAAACAAGCTGGGTTCTGTTTCTGGTTTCCTTGCTCCTATTCAATCCCTCTATCCCTCTCCCTCCATTACTTTCTCTATTGCAATACTCGCATTCATAGTAGAAAATTTTTCGTATCATTCCAGTAGCTGCCACTACAGAATCCAAGTTATGCTGCGCCCTACAGCACTGATACCGGTCATCTTTGGCCTTGCAGCCTTTGTATTGACAATGCTGTGCATCTTTGCCGGCAGTAAGCCAGACTTTATGCAGGTGCGTCAACCATTCATCTCTCCATTCCCTAATCTTCCACTAACGCGATTGNNCCAGGACTACTCTATTGTCACACTCAACACATCACGGATCGGCACCAACGTCCTCAACACCACTTCCAGCACCGACTCCGACTCCAACATCTTCGAGTCAATCTGGGATAATGTGACCAACAGCATTGAATCCTCTATCAACGACAAGATAAACTCCTTCGCCAAAGACTTGGGTCTCCACGACTTTTACTCTGCGCATTTGCTCGATTATTGCGAGGGCTACTATACACCTACCTCTTTGCCTAACGCCACAATCCCAGCCTCCAAGATTGATCAAAATGTCACGTTCTGCAGTGACCGCACTTCCTTCTTCCACTTCAACCCTACCAACGCCCTGCAGAACGAGCTCAACAAGTCAGGCTTAGGCATCACCCTGCAAGATCTACATTGGCCAGACGCGGTCAACGACGGCATGCACACCCTTCGCATAGCCCAAAAAGCTGCGTTTCTGCTCTACTGCATTTCCGCCGGTCTGATTCTCATCGCCACCTTCTTCTCCCTCGTCTCGTTCTTTGTACACGGCCGTCTTTCTGCATTTATCGATATCTTGCTCTGGATACTCGCGTTTTTGGCTGCGGTGTTGGCGTCGGCGATTACCACTGCTGTTGCGGTCAAAGCGAGTAATGTTGTCAACAAGCATGGAAAGAGTATTGGTGTGCAAGCCAACAGGGGAGGAAAGTTCATGGCGTTGACGTGGGTGGCTGCTGGACTCTGCTTTCTGAATGTGTTTGTGTGGGTGTTTGAGTGTTTGAGGGGGAGGCGTAGGGCTAATCGGGAGAGTTATGTGGGTGGTGTTGAGAGGAAGTGATTTTTGAGATGGTTGTTGAGATGTGGGTGTTGATGAAGGCGGATAGGCAATGGTAACGTTGTGGTAATGAATGTTTCTCTATTCATCTTTGCAGTGCTGTGTGAGATGGTGTGTGTTTCAGGTTGTCCTGGAGGTAGAGTATACTAAAGGGGCGAACCAATGCTCCAAGTAGCATATAGGTGCACGGAAGATGAGATGAAAAAAGATGGTTGCTGGTGTGAAGGTCGGGATGTAAAAATCTGTTGGTGAGGTTAGGTGTTGTGATTGTTCTGATGTAAAGCAGATTCGGAAGAAGTCTTCCGAGCAGTGTTCTTGTATCTTCTGGTTAGATTATGATTGCTTCCTAAACTCAAGCTCGTGCTTGTGCTTCGGTATCTAGACAATACAGATACCAAATATAGTTTACACAAGCTGATATAACTATGCATCTGACAATGACATCGACGAAGGCTTCGAGTTTGGAACATTGTTCTTTGTAAGTGAAAAGGTAGGAGTTTGAAGCATTGTTCCTTGTCGAGAGAAAGTCAGAGAAGTGCAACGTCTCATAGCATCAGACTTCCATCGCAACAACGGGACATTGTTCTCTTTCTAGAACCTACACATTTCACCTCTATTAGATACGAAAGATCATTCTAAGAAATATATATCATCTTATGTCAAGTCTCTATCACTTTCCTCACGCACCAATTCCTCCTCAAGCAATTGCAACCCACCACCACCAGCACATCCTCTCGACGTCTAAACCTCTCAGAACCGATTTACTTCCCTCCTCTCATCACTCTTGCCATCTCGCCTTATCTGCATCATCCAAATCCATGCCTGTAAAATTCAACCCCAGCGAGCCTACCCCTAAAATGCCCAAGCCCTCTAAAGACACTGGTCTCAAGGGCTTCTTGAAGAAAAGTCGAGAAAGAGAGAGCTCAGAACAAGAAAAACATCAAGGAGCAAAGAGAATGCACGCGCGACGATGGACTCGAGGAGTGCTTCAAAAAGATGAATATCGGCAAGTAAGGATAAGACCTCCAGGTTGTCCAAAGACTCAGATGTCAAGAATGTGATAGGGAAAACAAATGACATTATCCACACGAAGACACATGCATTGACCATCGATGAACATACGAGATCTGTGAGAATGGTAAAGGATGTAGTGAAGTTATATTACACTATTCTAAAGCTATATCTAAATAGTCATACAAATGATGAGAAGTGGATTAAGGAGAGTCATAAGTTGGTTCGGGATGTTTCATACTCCCGGAGTTTTGGTTCTGGTACCCAATGGTGACCATGCACTTTCATGCTTTGTTGTGAAGGTTTAACTCAACACTCTTAGTTGGCAACAACCCAGAGGCCGATGGGGCAAGGGTTCCAGTCCTGTGAATGATCAGTATTGTTGTCATGTATAAGAATCGAGCATTGGTTACTAACCTGGAACCAGCTAGCCTGGTAGTCGCCAGTGGCGGTAAGCTCGTAAGAGATAGACTGGCCAACTTGGCAGTCGCCAGTGGTGATCGGGTAGGCGTTGCCAGTAGAAACACCCTTCTCACCGAAATCTTTCAAGACAGCTGGAGAGTTGTTGGCGGTGGTCTTCTCATCAGCAGCGTTCTTCAGCTGCTTGAAGTCGATGCCGCCGTTACCGGACTCAGAGACGAAAGAGGTCTCAAGCTGGGACTGAGTGGGGAAGGTGAAGACGACCTCGCACTGCTTGCCCTCGTAGCTCTGAGGAACGTCGAAGGTGAAGATGGTGCTGTTTCCGTTGCCGACGTAGGCGTTGTACTGAGTGCCGTAGGCCTTGTCGGGGCTGTTGCTGTTGACGGGGACGATCAGGCGAGGCTTGAGGTAAGAGTCCATGCCGGGAAGATCACGGGGCACTTTCCAGAGCTGGAAGGAGTAGCGGAAGGCTGCTGGGCGGAAGAGGAGGGTGCCTGGGAAACAGTGGTGGGCTTGGCGATGGAGGTGGTGACCTGNCTCAGTGACAGACTGGGTGACGGGAGGTTGCTGAACAGACCTGGTCTCAGTGACTGGGGGCTGCTGGACAGTAGTCTGAATAGTCGTAGGCTGCTCAATTGTGGTTGGCTGCTCAATGGTGGTCTTCTGAGTGACCTCTTCGGTGACCGGGGGAGCTGTGGCTGTCTCGGTCTGCTCCTCGGTGCGGACGGAGGTGATTTCCTCGGTTTTGAGGACAGTGGTGGTCTCCTCTTGGGTCTTGGTTTGGTAAACAGTGGTTGGTACAGTCTTTGTCTCGTTGATAGTGCTGTATTGAGTGTTTGTCAGGTAGATAGTGGTGGGAATCTGCTTAGTTTCGGTGTGCTCCTGGGTCTGGTATTGGGTCTGAACGATGGTTGTGGGGACCTGGTTGGTCTCGGTGACTGTCTTTACGACGGTAGAGGGCTGGCACTGCTCAGTGGAAACCGAAGTCAACACTGAGGGAGCAGGGACCGAGACAGAGACAGAAACTGCAGTAGTGGCTGAAGGAGCGGAAGAGGCAGGAGCCGATGAGGGGGCAGCACAGGTTCCATCAGCACTGCTCAAGCCAACCTTGACACACTTGGGCATGTTGTCGAGAGGCTTGGTGTAGATGTTGTAGTTGCCGTTGTCGTCAACAGGGCAAGCGTAGAAAGTGGAATCACCGTCGTGCTGGACCTGACCGGAGGAAGCAACGGAGAAGCCTTCAGTGGGGCTTGCATTCTGGTCGCACTGAAACTGCATCTCGGGGCTGGTAACGATGCATCCTCTGCCGTTCTTGTCGGTGATCTTTCCACTGTCGATACAGAAGGTAGCACCAGATTGGTTAGGACCAAAGCGGTTCTGGCCATCCGAGAGCTNGATTGAGGTTAGCGGCAAGTCTTCTTTCATGTCTGCACAAAAGCAACGTACCTGTCCAAGAGAACCGCCCTGGACACCGTCGCCAGAGACGTTAATACCAAAGCAGCATGACGACTGTCTGGTGTTGAGGACGCGGGCAGATGCGACCGAGGCAAGAGCCAAAGATTGGAGTGTGTACTTCATTTCGGGTAAAATGTGAGCGGAGGTAAAAAGAAAGCGAAAGAAGAATGAGATGAGAAAATGTCTCTGTTGTCGTGAGAGTCGACAAACGGTTGTGAATGAAAGAGCAAATATGGGAAGTCGAACACCACCTCTTTATACACGCTTGTTGAAAGGTGCGAGTATGATCAACGTAGTGTATCGACGATGATCACCAGCCATTCTACCAACAGATGTCATACTCCGAGTAGTCTGTTCTAGCATCAAGATGGAGACGGAAACTCGAAAGTTGAGTTGAGCGTCATCAATACGGGCTGCAGCTCTGCATTGGCTCGAGTGTAAGAAGTGGAGGTGGATGACAAAAGGCATCCTCTTAGGTAAAGGTCCAGTCACAGATCATGTTGTCCACTAGGGTCACGAGTTTCTGACTCAAATTTGTGTCCCAACAAGAGCAGGGCAAGAGAAAGGATGGGGTACTCGGGTACATATGAATATCACTTCCACATGTCGCTTGTCCGCCGAGTTTGCTTACCACCAGCATACTTGATCCATGGAGGATACTGCTTCTTGCTTGACATGAGACTTGCTTACCAGAATTCTCCGTTGGCCCTCAATGCAGAACAGCCGTCACTGTGTGTACTGCTGAACTTTTATAGTAGAACAGAGTACTGCGTGAACCAACACATTGGCGAAAACCATTAGTTTCCACGTTTGCGAGTGTCGGCAGCAGGGCCGAAGAGGAACAGGCAAGACAAGACGAAGATCTTGGTGGCATCAGTTCCAGCGAGACGGTATTTCGATACGTGCGAGTACGAGTGTGGGTAACATGACGAAAAGTCCAAGGATGAACGAATGATGTCGAGAAGAAGCTCAAGAAACCCTGCCGTGATCCCGTTAACTCAACTGGGGTATTCTGTGGGGTCCTTCAGGAACAGAAAGCGAATCGATCGCCAAATAGCAACCGGAAGGCGGCTGGGAAGAGGGCCGAGGAAGAAGAAGAAGTGTTTTGTGGGCGTGTGGTCGAGTTTGTGTTTGTGCCCGCATGGCTTTTGCACGAGCGATGGATGTTCTCGTTGCCAAGCCTGACCACGATCAACGCCGCACCTTCTCCGTTCGAACTTCCCCTGAGAGCAAGCACGACCTCCCGCTGTCGTCCATCACCATCACGGCACGAGGGTTATGTCATAGAGTTGACGCGGCCCGCGGGATTCTCGCTCCTTCGTTGGGTGCAGGTTCGACCTGCCAGCTTGAGTCGTCCGAGGCTTGCGAGGTTGCTTTGGGGGCGAGCAACATGCCACCGCCGTGGAAGCACTCGGAGTCTTTCTCCTTGGACACACCAACCGGAAATCATGTAAATCGAGATCTGATTCGCAGTCAAATCGCAGGCGAGATGGAGTCCTGAACCACAGACGAAAGGATCGAGTACCCAGTCTTCTGCCTTCGACCGCCCCTCTCGGCCATTTCGTTCTTCGCCGACACACGAGAGCTCCATGCTCTGTTACCCGCCTTCATCCTTAGGCACCGACAAGCGTCTTGACTTGGCAAACAACCGCCAGAGAAGTCCTTCGAAGCTTCGCAACGTGTCTGACCTCCACTCCACTACCTCTGACGCTTGTACGATGTCTGGGCATTCAACATGTCAGAGACAAGGCGAGGTCGAATGTAGACCAGAAGCATCACAGGCTTTGGTGGAACAAGAGGAGGATTCCGTTGAGCAGAACGAAGTGGCGTTGTGGGACAACCAAGGCTTGTACAGCAGGTCTGCCTTCTCGCGTGCTGGAGTATGCAACGCGCGCATCTATGGAAGTGCACAGTGCTATCAAGATGTGAAGCATCACCCACTGAGAGCCGCCAATATGATTGCTCTCCTTGGCTCCCCCTCTGCTTCGGAGGCGAATCGTGCCTTTCTACAGCGTACACTTCTCTGTACGCCTTTGTGGGAAGCCAGCGGAGTTATAAACCTTAGCACATGGGGTGGCTACAATCATAACTTACGAGAGAGGAGTCCAAAGTGAGAGATGCACTGATAGAAGTCGATCATCAACTTCCGCCCGAGTTGTGCTAGAGTGCTGTATCGCTTTTAGGAATAGACTCAGTGAGGTAGGTCGTATCTCACATAGGGTCATTTTTCGTATTAGACACATCATAAGACTGATAAGAGAACGAGCCCGTTCGTGGCGGAGGACACAGCGGATGTTTCGATGGTCAGAATGTTCTGTATGACAGGGTCATCCTCATCACAAGAATTTTCGCATCTATCAATCGCCTACTGGCGCCGATAGCACGCGCCAAAAACATATTAGGATTCAGTGTTGCTCTGTCGCATTCCTAAGGTACCATAGCATATCTTCTAGTTGTCACGAGTCCTCACCACTTCGTTTTGAGTGGTCATCTGGATTGTAAATCTCTTGTAAGTGGATATCTAGCAATCCTTGGAAAGACGGAAACAGAGCTTTGCGACTTTCTGATCACAAAAGCTGTGAACCCAACTTCTTCCACTTGTCTGAAGGTCTGAAGGTCTTTCAAGAAGACCGTGACCGTTGGTATCCAGAACTTCAATCATAAACACGGCCTCGCGAAAGAAATCGTATGGCGTATGGCGATTGAGCATAGGAACCACCAAGCCCATCGACGTCGACTTTACGGAACGTCCTCCACCCTCTGTACAGTATGCAAAACTCAGTCACAACCTCGGGATCATAATCCCTCCCACACTGTGAAGCTGCTACGATGTGCTGTGAAAATGCACGATCATGTCCTGGAAAAAGGCGTAGCCATGGAGATACCCAAGGACAATTGTCTCTCAGTGCATCTCGATCTATCATTGAACCTATCGTGCATTTCTATAGCTACACGTATGACCGTCTTTAGCACGAGAGTGCCGCGTATTGACAAGACACCGCTTCCACGAGCTCGACAAGGGAGTATCTAGCCGAGGGAGGTCGTTCCCAGCCCCGTGCTGGAGCGACATCCTACCTTGCCTGACTGATAGAAAATCTCGCGTCAGTTTCATGTATAAGCACCACACATAGGTACTGCTCATGAAGAAGTAACCACACGTAGGTACCGCTCATAAAGTAAAAAACCCCTTCACGTTCAATCACGCGGCCGCAAACGCGACGCGACTTCGATGGTGATCTTACATCGACTCACCACGCGGACTAGAGAAAGCAGGAAGTTCTTCATTCTCGAAGCTTAATCCTTTGCCAAGTGGCCGAGGAGGGGGTATCTCTCTATTGATGAGGGGAAAGAACTGGAAAACATGGACTGACTTGGGAGTTTGTTGGCGAAGACAGCCTTGGCATGGCTGTCGCACCCCACGATCACCTCCGCCTCGCATATGCAAAGCATGAGAGAGCATCATCGTGTGGCTGTATACGAGCGGGTTACTGGCTTGGCTCTGGTCGGCGAACTCAAAACTTCTAGTATCCTTACCTTGGAGACTTGGCCTACGCAGGTGTAAGCCTCCAAGAATCCCTCTCTATTCACACCTTCCCGTTTCTGCCACCAAGATGACCCGTTACAACGGCAAGGAAGCCTCTGAGCTACTTCAGACGACATACTGTACAGCACAACCTCGGCGCATGCATCTCCGAAAGAACCGCCGTGTATATGATCAATGTTCTCAATAGGCACTGCTCTGGTGGCTGTGCTACTAACCTTTATTATAAAGCTGGATCTCCCACGCGTGAACATGACAGATATCGATATCCGAAGATGTTGCTCAAAGCATTGTTTGGACTCGCGCTGTCGCGCAGCGTTTTTGGTGCCGCTGTACTTCGGAGACAGGCAGCTGAAAATTCCGACGACTGTCCTGGATACTCAGTGTCAGATATTGTCAATACCAATACTGGCCTTACTGCCAAACTGACCTTGGCTGGTCCGGCTTGCAATGCATACGGGACTGATGTTCAATACCTTCGTCTCGCCGTGAATCACGATTCTAGTATGTCCAATGAAAGCTTGTAATCACAGATGATGCCGCTGACAATCTCCNNAGAAAAGCGTCTGCACGTTAAGATTGAGGATGAAGGTCGGGTCGCTTATCAAGTCCCCACTAGCGTGTTCCCTACACCGGATGCCAACAACTCGGTGTCATTTGGTGATGCGACTCTTGAGTTTTCCATGGAGCAGAACCCCTTTAGCTTCAAAATCACTCGCAAGTCAAATCAAGAGGTACTCTTCGATACTTCCAAATCGCCTATTGTATTTGAGGAGCAGTATCTCCGGCTACGTACTTCGCTCCCCGAGAATCCCAACATCTACGGTCTTGGAGAGCACTCGGATTCTCTCCGCCTCAACACTACCGACTACACTCGCACATTATGGTCGAGAGACGCCTATGGCATTCCCTCAGGTACCAACCTTTACGGCAATCACCCCATCTACTTTGATCACAGGGAAGAATCTGGCACGCATGGAGTCTTCCTACTTTCAAGCTCTGGCATGGACATCAAGATTAACAAGACCGACGCCGAGGGTCAATACCTTGAGTACAACACCATGGGAGGTATCATCGATTTGTATTTCTTAGACGGCCCTAGTCCTGTTGAGGTTGCGCAAGAATACAGCAGCGTCACTCAGAAAGCTGCCATGATGCCCTACTGGGGATTCGGTTTCCATCAATGCCGATATGGATACCGCGACTTCTATGCCATCGCGGAAGTTATCCACAACTATTCTGCTTCTGCAATCCCGCTGGAAACCATGTGGACTGTGAGTTTGCTTACTGCTTAATTGCATGGGACTATTCTAATGGCACCTTTGCTCTAGGATATCGATTACATGTATGAACGCTACATCATGACAACAGATCCGGACCGCTTCCCTCTAGCTCGTGTTCGCGAATATGTCAATTACCTCCATGGGCACAACCAGCACTACATCGTTATGGTGGATCCTGCCATGGCTTATCAGACCGAGCGTGAGAACGGCCTACCTTACGAGTCGTTCCTTCGTGCTCGTGATCAGGGCATCCTTCTGCAGAAGAATGGATCTATCTATCAGGGCGTCGTCTGGCCCGGCGTCACTGCCTTCCCTGATTTTTTCAACCCCAACACTGCAGAGTATTGGAACAACGAGTTTTCTGAGTTTTTCGACGCTGAGAACGGTGTCGATATCGACGGCCTTTGGATCGACATGAATGAGGCAGCTAATTTCAATTACTTCGGGTCGGATCCTCAAGAAAGTGCAGAAAATCGTGGCTTTCCNCCCACAAGACCAGCCATCAGATCTGCTCCACGCCCCATCCCAGGCTTTCCAGAAGCCTTCCAGCCGAACGCCAGCAGTCCATATCCTCCAGATGATCTTGCATATGCCCCTCCATGGCTCGCTCCTGCTTCTGACCCTGGTGCGACCAAGCGCTCGGTTGACGTTGAGAAGCCTGCCAAGCGCTCCATCCCTTTACAGTACTCTCCTCTCGACAAGCGTCAATCGTCTGCACGCATTGGCTTCCCAAACCGCGATCTCCTCGCCCCTCCTTACCAGATTGACAATGCAAACACTGTTGAAGCCTACGGCGGCGTCAGTAACAACACTCTGGACACTGACATTGTCCATTACGATGGACATGTAGAACTCGATGTCCACAACCTGTACGGAACTATGATGAGTACATTTTCGAGAAATGCAATGGAAGCACGCAAATCCGGAAGAAGACCATTGGTCATCACTCGCTCGACCTTCGCTGGAGCGGGACGAGCTGTGGGGAAGTGGCTCGGCGACAACTTGTCGACATGGGAATTATACCGTCAATCGATCCAGGGTATGCTCGATTTTGCCGCTATCTATCAGATACCGATGGTTGGTAGTGATGTTTGTGGTTTTGGAGGTGAGTTTGATAAGCTGAGCGCACTTGTTTAGCCAAGGCATGGTGCGCTTACATCCTGCTTGTTGAAAAATTGCTAACTTTTGTCTCCGCGAATAGGCAATACCACCGCAACACTTTGTGCCCGCTGGGCGTCCCTCGGAGCCTTCAATCCTTTCTACAGAAACCACAACGGCGACTCTTCGATTCCACAGGAATTCTACCTCTGGGACACTGTTGCCGAGTCAGCTCGCAAGTCTATTGACATTCGTTACAAGCTTCTCGACTACATTTATACCGCAATGCATAAGCAGAGCGTGGATGGAACTCCACTTCTCAACCCCATGTTCTTCGTCTACCCTCACGACAAGGAAACTTCTGGTCTCGACCTTCAGTTCTTCTATGGAGACTCGATCTTGGTAGCTCCTGTCACCGAAGAAAATTCGACCAGTGTGGATGTCTACTTCCCTGACGACAGATTTTACGATTTCAAGACATTCAAGACTGTCGAGGGCTCAGGCGCTAACATTACCATCTCGGATGTCGACTTCACCGATATCCCTTTGTACATTCGCGGTGGTTCAATCATCCCCATGCGCAACGCATCCGGCTACACGACTACCGACGTGCGTAAGCAGCCATTCAATATCGTCATTGCACCAGGGCGCGACGGCAAGGCCACAGGCTCGTTATACCTCGATGATGGAGACAGCATCAAGCAAAATGCCACCTCTGAAATCACTTTCGAGTACGAGAAAAGTGTCTTGACCGTTTCTGGCTGCTTTGACTACCAGGCTGAAGACAACCGTGTTGTTCAAGTAACTCTTCTGGGTCAGAAGAGTCACTCTGGCCAGACACCACAGTGGAAGCAGGATGGCGATGACCATGAATGGAACAACTGCGGAGAAAATGACTGGAGCTTTGATGATTCCACACACCATCTTTTGGTTCAGTTCGATCAAAAGCTCAACGGACCTTTCGTGGTCTCTGTGTAAGCAGCCTTGCGAGGCACTTGTCATACTTTGACTCCGTGACACCGACTCTTACGCTGAGTCAAGCTTTAGTAGATTAATCTTTTCCATAACCTCAAGGTGCTACAATAGCTATAACAATGCACAGTCACTTTCTGAATTAAACTGTGGCTACAGAGATGCTTAAGTTGATCCCATCTCCGTGGGTCTTATTTTTTTTGTGGAAAGTATCATGCATTTCTACAGCTAACGGTTGATTGTTCTTACGTACGGGGAAGTCAACTTATCAACAATTGTTCCCGCCCTACGATTTTCTCTACCTCGCATATGCAAAGCGTGTGGTATAGAGGAGCAACAATAGTATGAAAGAACCTCAAATGGAGAACCAAGCGCTCGGGTATGATTTGTAGTCCAAAAATGTTTTCTCTTCATCACATCTGCATCGAGGATGAGGATGGTGATCTGGAAGCGTGTCATGAACACATCTACCGGCATATGCACGAGTTTGTACACCTGCCCCGACGACCACAATCCGCAGGTCAGCGGATCTTTGGAAGGCACCAGGAATTGGATGGTGCCCGATGATTATGGCGTGGCTTGTAAAAGCTGCTACGAAAACCTGAGAGAGGCATGCAGGCGCGGCATCAGCCAATGCTGTAGACATGCTAACCCAGCGCAGTGTGACAAGTTGAAGCACGATGTCAACGATCCGCTTGACCCTTGCTCCGAGTGCCGTCAATTTGGTGGAGCGAACCACGAGTGCACCCTTGAGCCCAGCCTCTCCTACAATGAGGTCGTTTATAACCTCATGAAGAACCGAATTGAGGAAGGCTACACCCTTCTTCCTCCCAAGGATCGCACCGAGGGCACAGAAGAGGAAAACGCTGGACCAATGACCCAAGTCAAGGAAGGCTGGAAGGGCGAAACCCAAGAGGAACTCCTTGCAAAGCCTGACTTTCTGCCTGAGGGCGTCCGCGATTGTCCCAGAGCCTACGTTACTGACCCTGGCAAGTCCGAACGAACGGCCAAGAGCCTTCAATATTGCCTGGATCACCCCGAGGAGTCTGTGCAGCAGTTGGGAGTGGCCTCACGTCCTCACCCTCGCAGATCACTGAGCAGCAACCAAAGCACTCCCGCACCTTCGAAGGAACAGACACTTTTGCCGGCGCTATGGATCTTCTTTCCGATGAAGAAGATAACAGTTACGCAGGCAATTGCATGGATTTGTACTGATCATCTTGACCATCCGCCTGCTCTTGAAGGTTTCCTTCTCTCTTCCATCTACCACTGTCGACCAACTTCCGCAGTCCCCTTCTTGGATCATTATCGAGTTAAATCCGCAACCCCTGCTCAAATCGCTGTCGAGTCACGTCCGCAGTTCCCTTCACACTTAGCTGTCGAATAAACTCCGCAGTTCCTTTCCAACCACGCTGTCGAGTCACATCCGCGGTCCCCTATCGTATATCGCTGTCGACTAACCTCCGCAGTCACCTTAGGCCTCACCACCCCACCGTCAAGTAACATCTGCGGCCGCTGTCGATTCACTTCCGCAGCTTCTTGCCTTCAAGTAGATAGCTCAACGAACAATGCTTGATCCTTTACCGAAAGAAAATGTGCAACAGCTTCCATCCAATCTCAGTGCTTGGCTGCGAAGAAAACGACTGGACTTTTGATGGTGCCATCCACCACCTTCTGGTTCAATTCGACCAAAAGCTCAATGTGCCTTTCGTACAGCCTTACAAGGTACTTCTCGAATGCCAAGTCGGTGACAGCGACAATTCTTTTGTATTGTCCATAATTGAGTCAAGCTCCAGTAGATAGAAGACTAACGATCCAGGAGTATATCAAAGTTTCAAGAGTATGTCTCATAGGCCGCTGCCGATTTTTGCAATCTTCTTTGAGCAGCTGAGAAAAAGCCTCGTCTTGATCCTCTTAGATCAACGAGGCGAAGCATTCGTGTACATGTATAGTAACCACTAGCTTGTACACCAGGTGGAAATGAGTTCGCTTCGACTTTCAGACACTGCGCTGGGATTTTGGAGGTCTGTGTTATAACCGTTGGATCTAACGAGTCAAGAGCGGAACCACTTATTCAAGAGCGGACTGTCCGCGAGTTAAGAGCCTGGATGCTTAGGACTCAAGACTCGCAACTTGAGATACCGATATCATCCGCTCGTTCAGTCAAGGTGTATGGCCGACATATGCGCAGTGTGTTGAGTGATTTAGCTTGAGCTCTCGGAGACGTGCGTGTCAGGTCAACAACAGGTAGGCGGTTCCACCTGGCCAAGACATATGACCACATTTCCAGCCTCGCGTAGACGTTCCCCACAAGCCACAAGCCACAAACCCTCTTCTTATTACTGATTTCCCTTGGCATCTCTGCTACACCGATCTCCCGTCTTGACTCCCAGCAACACGGCCATACTGAGGTCTGAGCAGGGCATTTCGCCATAGGATTCTCAAGAGATCTGCACTAGTGGTACGGAGCGTCCGTCTCTTATTGTTCAGCTCAGCTCTGGACTTTTCAACATCGAGGTCTTTGCAGGTCTCGAGGACTATTCACCGCAATGCACCGAGTCGCTTTGCTGAGGACATTGTACCTGAGCATTACGCCTCCTGCGTCTTGATGTAAGTGCCGCAGTCTCCGAAGCCTTCTGGACGCCACTCTCTATACACGAGCCTGTCTTCGGTCAATGACCAGCCACCACCTCTTTCCTTGTATGGCTTCGTCTCTGCAAAAGCAGTCCGTGACAGTCGGGACTTGTGGACTCCGGAAAACTCAGAAGGAGATGACCGACAAGATACCAAGACATGGGTATAGAATAGCAAGTCAAAGGCTGAGATATAAGAAGGAGCTCAAGCTCTTTGTATTCCAATATCATCTTCAGTCGGTCATCACAGATCAACTAGACCATTTTTTCTCTCTTGTTCATTGTTTCCGTTTTCTCAGTCGTTCATTCTCTCCCACCAAAGTCACTCTCTCCTATCACCATGCGTTACTCTCTGGCCGTTCCGGCTTTTGCAGCCCTGGCTGCAGCCCTTCCTGCTCCTCAGCTTATCGACCTTGACATGGTCATCGCACAGCCCGAAATTTCCTACACAACCACCGCTTCAAGCGTCACCTACGATGCTACCTCTATCGCTGCACAGGCTACGGATGATATCACCTCGGTCTCCGTGGACGTCAGCGCTATCGCTACCGCAACTCCTCTTGCAATTGAGAAGCGAGGTGCATGTGCCCCTCAGCCTACTGGCGTCCTTGGAGCCTACGGCCCTCCTGCCCAAGCAAGCGACGATACTGTAGCAGCTTTCGCTGCCAACACTGCCTTTGCAGCTGCTGCTTCTAACGCTCCTACTCCTTCTGGCTACTCGAACACCTTCAACAACCTGAACGCATCTAACAATGCCTACGGTTATATGGGCTACACTACCCTCACAAGCTATGACACTGAGAAGTGTGCCTCCAAGTGCAACGCTATCAATGGCTGCATGTCCTTCAACTTGTACTTCGAGCGTGACCCATCTGGTATATACACTGATATCTCCCGATTGTTTGAGCCACAGCTAACTTGATGCNNAGTCGACCCTGCCACTGGATGCGAGAACCCTACCAGCAACACTATGATCAAGGTAAAATCCAGCATTGTAAATGTTTCGATATGCGTCTGACAACTCGCCAGNTGTGTGTTCTGGGGAGGTCCCGTTTCTTCTTCCAACGCCAACAACTATGGTCAATGGCGCAACAAGTTCCAGGTTGCCATCGCTGGTTCCAATGGTTACACCAACCAGACTCTCGAAGTCCCTGCTGGCTTTGGCAATGTTCAGTACCTCAACAACGCTGCTATCAACGCTCCTCTTGATCACGAAGGTTACGACACCTACATGGGCTCTCGTATCTTCACTGCTGGCCCTTTCAATGCTTCTCTCTGCGCCGCCTACTGCCAAACTCAGAACACCTACAACATTGCCCACCCTCCCAACAACGGTGCTCCCGTTAAGATCTGTAACTTCTTCAACACCTACCTGCTTTATGTCAACAAGACCTCCAACATTGAAGGCCAATACTGTGCTATGTAAGTTTGTCGTACCGTACTGCACAATCAAGACTAATATTCTGTAGTNTACACTGAAGCATGGGACTCCAGCTACGCCACTAACAAGGGCCAGTACCGTGGAAACGATCGTGAGTCTAGCAAAGCTTGTGCTGATGAAGCAATATCTAACACTGGCCAGACNTACATGATTGAGTACTCTTACACATTCACCAACACATCCAACCCCGGCTTCAAGCCCTCGAAGGGTGACACCAACGGTGCTATCCACCAGGCTTCCATCGACATCGAGCACGCCACTCTCCAGCCCTTCTGCTCCGCAGCTCTTGGATACAGCGATCTTCTTGCAACCGTCACTCCCACCACCTTTGTCACTCCCGTGGCCACCAGCACAGTTTTCAGCACCACCACAGCTACCGCTTCTAGCATCAACAAGCGCTCTGCTCTTACTACCACTTCTGCATCTTTGTCAATTCCCGCTGTTCTGAAGAAGTANCCCTCTTCGATTCTGTCCAGCGCCTGCTCCATGGTCGTCACTCAAGCTACCAGCACCTCCACTTCCACCGCCACTGTCTTCACCGTCACCGCTTCTACGCAGACCACTCTTGAGACTTTGATCCAGACCGTCACCGCCTCTCCTATCCCCAGCACCTGTGGTAACAAGGGTATCAAATACGCTTACTACGGCGGCGACTCTTACCACGAGGGCGACCGTGTCAACTATGTGCAGCCATCAAACTACGCAAATGTTGAGCCCACTTGGGAGTCTACCACTAGTATGGTCGGTGGCGTCAACGTTCAACCAGGTACCTCTATGCAGATCTACGACTCAGGACGTCTTGTCAACTCTGAATACTTCATTCTGAACCACCACGGCTACGTAAGTTCCGTTCCACTCAAGACTGGTGTGCACCACTAACAAACATTTGTANNGATCTTCGCTCAGGTTTCGGGCACATACACCTTCGAAATCGGCAACCCCGATGACGTGGTATTCTTGTGGCTTGGTGAGTATGCTCGACAGGGCTGGAACAAGTACAACGCAGATGCTGCTGCCTCATTAGCCTCTGATACTGGTTTCGGCTATTCCGATTCGACCGAAATCACTCTGGAGGCTGGAAAATACCTACCTTTCCGCATCCTTTTCGGCCAACAAGGAGGTCCGGCTCGCTTTTCGTTCTCTATCACTGCTCCTGATGGCACTGTCATTCTGGGCAACAACACTCCTCAGTCGGATGCTATTGTGCAGTTCTCCTGCGACGGCACTACCGCTCCCCAGTTCCCTGCTTTTGGCCACGAGTAAATCAGATATCTATGCGAGGAGTAGTTGCACCTCCTATCTTATAATCTTCTGTCAACCTTAATTAGTAATTTCTAGTCATAAATTTGTTGCCGAATAACTTTCGATATACTCTGGTCAAACAACTGGTTCAAACAAGATATACATATTCGCGTCTTTAGAGGAACATATCTTGTGTAGCTACACTAGTAGAAGGATCGTGATTACACATAGTTTATAGCATTCGACAAAACTTTGTTCGTTCCAAGTGGCATGTGCGTGAAGCAAAGCGTGAAATCATGTCCTTGTGGTACTTGGGGCGCACCGTCATGGAGATTCTCTTTTGTCGAGCTCAGAGGGCGGACGAGAAGACGCCACAAACTTCCTTCCATCTGCATGACTATCGCAAGCGTTCATTGGTTCTCAACAATCTGTAAATGCACGTTTGCACGGTCATGCAGCAGGCAATTATCAGCTCGATGAGGCTGAGTAATATCGGTCCGCTTGGTCGGTCAACAGCACACTCAGCTTTGTTCCTGAAGCCCTGCGGCTCTGTTTAATATATAATATGTTCGGTGGAAGATTTTGTGAAAACTATATCTCTATTGGTGATTACTAGAGGAACTCGCAGTCACAAGTGAGTTTATCGCAGACAGGTTGCTGATGGGTGTTGGCGCACTTGAAGCGACGCCCGTCGATCGTTGCTTCCAGCCTTGTGTCGACGTATATCCCCAGCCACTCAAGCCTTCCTCTATGCTGCATCTAACTATTTCTGTCTTCCCGTGTCATCCTACTCCATTGCATACCAGCGCTCCATCACCCTACATTCGAACATGTACAGCATGTATCTGCAGTTGATAGAATGCGCACACCGATGCGTCTGCATCTGAAATCATTACAGCGAATTGCAAGCGTTATCAAGCTTAACATAAGCAAACTGCAAGCCACCCACTATATCGGCTGCATGTAAATGGCAAGACGCCTTAGCCCATGCAGAGGCCTAACGACGATCCTGTCTGGATCGACTATTAAGCACCCCACAATCCATCTTACGCTCTTCTCGACTTTTACTCTTCGCTGTATGCACCCTTGAACACTTGACACCGCGACTGCCTTGCAATACGTTTGCCATTGACGTCTATGTCTGATACAATTTCCGAGGCTTTCGAGAACAGGCGGGTGCGAGGCACTGAAGACGAAGCATTGAACCATGGTCGGGGTGAACAGCATGCAAGAGAGAGTGCACATCTTCTTATCAACAACGATGCCCATTTACAAGGCGAAAAGGCACAATATGAGGTCTCGGAATGCTCAAAAATTCGCAGTCCCCCAAAGATGTGTTTTGGCTTCCGCTCACCCTACGACTACCCTTCCTGGGCTTCACATTTCTTACCTCCTTGGTCCTAATGATATTGGTATCGGCACTCACAGCCTATTCTGCGACACATCACGGTCTGAGGAACAATAGTAGCGCGTCCGGTTTACTATTTGGATGGCGCTACTCGCCGACTCTGATTGCAACGGTATATGCAATCTTAGTGGGATCCATGTTGAACGATATTCGAAGGACCGAGATCTTTGCGCGTCTCTCGAGACTAGGNGGTGCTCCAGCTACGTACACACTCTGCTATCCCATCAGAGCTTGGTGGAACGATCCTGTGGATGCATTGAGCAAAACGAAGAACAATGGCATACGAAGTTGGGCCCTCTGGTTCGCCTCAACAACCAATATTCTGGTTTTGCTGGTCATATCCCCACTATCTGCGGGCCTTCTATCCCCGGCGCTCGTCCAGATACAGAGTGAGACACGCTTCAACAAAGCAACTCCGGCAGAGAGTTTAGCCTGGCCGCTGGACTCGATGGACTTGACCATGTTCCGGACTATCTCTGGTGGGATCCTCAAACAACCTACATCGGCATGGTTATCAACAGAATTCGCGATCTTGCCTGCCTGGCCACAAGAGTTACATACTGTCCCTCTTGGCTCGATATTGAACATCAGTACCGCTTCTCAGCAATGGGCGTTCCGAACCACAGTGTACAAATCCGAACTCAACTGCATACCTATGACCTTAGCAGACACACACAACGTGACTGTTAACATGTCATATCCACTAGGAGAGGATGGTCCAAAATTTTATGTTGTCAACATGACGACACTGCGACTAGAATCAGACGATGGATGCGTTATAACCATCACCGACATACCAGGGATTAGCACGATGTTCGACACTGTGCCCTGGATGTCAGATGGTGGTGGTTGGTGGTCCAAGGGTCCAAGTTACAACAGCTCAATACTGTCAAAGGGGTCGAGTAACAGCACTAAAGAGTGCGACAGTCGATCAATGTTCTTCGTGAAAAGCGGGAAAGCCCCTCAACTTGAGGCGCATCTCTGTCAGACACAGTATTACTCGGCGGATGTCCCGGTCACTGTCGTGCTCAATCAATCATCGACACAGATCATTATTGATCGCGAAGAATATTCACGGAACAGGCAACCCCTTGATCCCTCCAAATACAATACTTTGCAGCTTGAAGATGCCTTCCTCAGTCCCAGCTGGTCAACTAAATTTGCGACCTCATCTCAGGCTCACTATGCCGGCCCTTTGCTAGCTATTGCGGCAGGTCCCGGCTACAACAACGATCCGGAGGAAATCCTCGAAAGCACCGACGTGGTCCAAAGAGCTTCTGAGATGCATCAGCAATTTTTCGGAGAGATGGTTCTTCTCGAGCTCGAAAACAGGCTAGACCAGAGCATTGAAGCTGCTTCAGGTCTGATAACCACCACAGAACAAAGAGTCATCGTTAACATTGGGGTTGGTATAACATTAGGGGCACTTCTCCTGTTGACAACCTGTGGTATTGTGGCAGTAACTTATTACAGCAATCTCAGTCGAAGGTCTCTCAATCTCCACCAAGATCCAGGTCAAATCGCTGTTGCAGCTTCACTGGTCGTTGGAGACACAAATGCAAAGTCAGCCTTCGCTGGTAGTGGTCAGTTGTCGAAGGAGGCATTAAGCCAGAGACTTGCTAGCTTTCGATTCTCCATGTACCGCGGATCCCTGTTTGCTGCTGTCTGCGAAAGAGATNNGACCTCGAACATAAAAGTAGGTTCTTCATCTAAAAGTCTTGACTACTATGGCTGACTATTGAAAGTCCCAAACAAGCCTGAGGACTGTGCATCTCGGTCTGAAAATCCAATACCTGCGATCCTTCGAACCTGGATGTGTCCACCACTTCTGGTATTCCTCTTTGTCCTATTGGCCTGTATCGCTACGTTCTTCCAGATCTCTCGCACAAGCGGTATACACCAGGCGCCCTTTGTCTATGAGTTCAAAACGCAGATTTTCAACACTGCTGCCAAATTGGCTCCGTATTCTATCCTGCCGACTCTTCTTGCGGTCGGGGTCAAACTATGGATTGCGGCAGTCGGAGATACACTGAAGAGGTTTCAGCCTTACATCACGATGGCAGAAGCTCCTACGCTTCTTACAGATTCCGTCTTAGTCGAATATCTTAATACACCCACTGCTTTGGTCTCTCTGAAGGCCTTTAGACACTCTCACTGGATCCTTGCACTAGCTGGTCTAGGAGCATTAGCCACTGAATTTTGTAAGTCTCACTCTTCCATGTATCACTGCATTGGACTGATATCACACTCCATAGTCACTGTCAGTATATCTGCACTTTGGGATCTAGAGACCAAGAATTTGGACCGTTCAATCAGTATTACTCATCAATTTGAGATACGCCAGGTGCCCAGAATCGATGAGTATATCTTGCCCTACCATGCCCCTGCCTACGCCGATGTTCAAAGGTATTATGTATTGTCGAGTATCTACTCATCTTCACTGCAGAGTTGGTTGTATAGCGCCACTCTGGAGCTGACTCATCAGGCACCAACACCACCATGGAGCAAGGACGCGTGGAGCTTTCTTCCACTTGACACTCGCAACCTCTCGTACAATGATGCCTTGATCAAGGACATTTCTGCGACTGCCCTGATACAAGCTCGAAACGCCACGCTTGAAACCCTTGCGGTCCGTGCAAGGTTGGACTGCAAGCCAGAGACTTTCGTAGCCAATACATCATCTTGGGTAGAGAAAATCGACTTCAAGAACAGGACAATGTGGAATTCTACCAACAAGCCACCGAATCTGGACCATGGTTACATCTTGAGAGGTCCTGCTAACATGGGATCTGGAAGCGAATATCTGACCTGTTGCGGGAATACAACAAATGGCACTTCTGGGACTGCAGCCGTTGGTTATTGGTCCAACCTAGACTATTCAAGTTCATCGATCAACACCGAAAAGGAAACGTGGTCCTATGAACAGATGTCGATGACCTCGAAATGGATTGTAGGCCGTCCTTTGGACACGCTTTATCAACCATACCCTAACAACACAAACAATCCTGCTCGTTGGATCTGGTTGGAAGAACCGCAGATCGCCGCAATAACCTGCACCACCATCATAGAGAAGGCAAATGCTTCCATCGACGTTTCAACAGACACGGGTGTGGTCTATGACTACAGGATACTGGACACACCGGTCAACGCCACAGAGGCCTGGTTGGATAAATACTTGTCCCACAATACATCCGTTGATTACTCCGGTGACATGACCTACATCGGGACGAACGGGGGTCTCTTTCTCTTGAAGGGAGTCTTAGAAAGAACANNTAACCACCAGGTACATATGAGAGACTCATGAGATTGAACAGTTGCTGACCTCATCAGCTGGGGATATATCTTTCTAGACTCTGTCATGAATTCTGGTCGTGCCGAGGATGTTAGCACTACCCAATGGGAACCCAATAAGCCGGAAAATCTAGAAGACCGCGCCTTCAACTTCCGGATCAGAGGGCTGAACGCTGATTTCATGTCTTACTCCATGCTACAGCTCGCCAACAACAGCAAAGAAGCCTTGCTTGATACTGATACACTGATCAGTCTTGCCAACAAGACATTTGGCGTCTTCTTCAAACACTTTGCTTCCGAGAATGTCACGAGTTCGTTGGGAGGTAATGTATATCAACCGATTGGTGCAAAACTACCTTGGAGTCTGGGGTTCGTGACAAACAATACCATGTACGCAACAGCCAGCGACGTACCCGCTGCATATCAAGGAGCACTGGGTGTCGAAAATAGTACAGCATCAACACCCAGATCGACGAGCGCGATACTCCATGTTCCTGTGGAGCAGCTAGTCATGTCGCCCACTGCAGTCATACTATGCTTGTCCCTGCTAGCCTTCTTGATCTTAGCCATCACAGTCATTTTTACCGCGAATCGCAATACTATCAAGAAACTTCCTCGCGACGTCGATACTTTGGCCAGCACACTTGCTTTCGTATACGGTAGCGAGAAATTGCTCGACTGGGTACAAACACGATCGGAAAAGCAAAAGCCGTGGTACAAGGGCTGGACTTTCAGAGATAGTCAAGCAGGAGCAACAAAACAAAGGGCGATGATGGGGTCATTCAAGAATGCTGATGGTGCGCAGCTATGGGGCATAGAGCTTTGCGAGGAGGATGACTATGTTGATGAGGGTGTAAGTGCATCTCGTAGTGATTCTATAAAATTGGAGTCACTGGAAGTAAAGCAAGCTAACGGTGATGGGTCTGAAGAGCATGTGAGGTTTCTCGGCGAGAGGAGGGATGAGAGTGGTGAGGGGACATGATGTAGAATGCTCACTGCTTCATTGAAGTGTGCTCAGTAAGAATCAAACTCCTTCCGTTTGTTTCTGATAATCCTACCATACACCTTGAACCTAACATCTATAGTCTCACGATGTTGCACAATTGTATTTATATTATGTTGTTTGGAACCATGTATCCAAACAAAGATTCAGTTCGACTGGAGCGCTCATTGGTCATAAGTAGTTGGTAGATGCACGTCTGCATGACCATGCGCCACAGGATGTTGTGATTGGATGCAATGTAGATTAGTATCACGAGTTGGGCAAACAACCAGCGACAAACCACATACATTACAAACACAATAGCTCTCTATACCCATCTAAAGCAGACAGTCCTGCGCAAAGAGAAAAAGAGTGAGCGATTTCGCATCGCAAATCATCCAGCCTTGCTGTTTCGCCAGAGAAGAAAAAACAAGGGCGACATGGACTGCAAGATCAACGTACACTACACTTGCTTGGATGGCGACGTGCCTCCTATGCCATCCGACGCCGCCATTATCAAAGCTTGCAACAATGCGCCAAAGACGCTGGATACCATGACTACGAGCATAGTGTTTTCGTCGGCAGAGCTTGTCATCAAGCACCTCAACGTCACATTCGAGGAATGTCGCAATCAGATAAGAGCGCACGAATTGCTGGATGCATCCATCGTCGTGGTCCCCAAGGTATATCGTTGCTTTTCGCGTGTGGACGATGGCAAGATGTATCTTATTATGCAGAGGATCCGTGGCGAGGTCAGAGATAGGATTGAAGACTGCGCGAGTGTGAGGCGAGTGGCGGATATCGTGCGCCACCTTCAAACCCACAAAAGCAGTATACCTGGTCCATTGGAGGGTGGCATTTCGAGAGGTCTGTTTTGGGAAAACGAACATGTGGATCTGAGAGGGGAGGTTGGGAGACTGGCGGAGTATATACGTCGCAGACTGGTGGGTGGGCAGCAAGGGTGGGGCGTGGGATTGGGCGAGTTTGTGCTGAATCACAACGACATTGCGCCGAGAAACCTGATCTGGATGACCGATGGAAGGATTTGTCTGATCGACTGGGCACATGCTGGATTCTATCCTAAGCTCTTGGAACTGGTCGTCTTGGAGTTCAACACACAGGAGGGCAACGATCTGGGCTTCACTCTAGCGCTATCCGGAGAACTTGGTCCTTTGAGTAACGAGGAAGAGAGAGAGGTGCGGTCGTTGAACATGGCTTGGTTCAACAGTCACAGGTACAGAATGTAAGTGCAAGTTTTCTGGCCGTGCTTCCTTCCAAATCGTAGCTGATGAAGATTTGACACTAGAGAGCCCTTGGATGGTTACATCAGCCATCCACTTGGATGCTGGTGTCCGCCCTGCCTTTGTTCTCGAAAAGACTATCAGCCATTACGGTTGGCGATGCCGATTGTAGATGCTAAGACTGCAAGCGAAAAGGCCTGGCAGGATCTTAGAGAAAGGGGCCTCGTGACCAACTGATTGTAGAGCGAATATGGTGAGATCACCTGCATCTGCAGAGCTTGATGTTCATACGTCGAGTCGAGGTCACGGAGATCATGATTAGGCTTGAACACATACTTTCATTTCTATTGACTAGCCACTACTACATGACGTGATGGGCTGTATTGACCGACATACCCTCATTATGCACTCATCGTAATACGAGGTATAAAAATCTAGTAAAAGGTCCCGTACACCATAGAAAGGGGCGTCCGGTCTTGACGAGACGAGTATTTGAACAAAAGGTCTGGCCAGAGAGATGCCGCAGCGTCGGAGCGAATCCATCCCACACTAGCCAGCGTGAATATGACAGTATNACCTGTGCCAGAAGGTCAGTCCCGACACTTTGCACCTGCACCGAACGCCTGAACTTACACCCACCAACGACATCCAGAGCCACCGCCAGACATGTCGTATTGATGGTAATGCCGCTGCGTCACCAAGAGATCGTAAACCANTCCTGACGCAGTGACGCTAAAAGACGCAATGGCATCATAGTCCCAGTGCCGCAGTGTCGAGTGACTGAGCACATAATCAAAAGATCGCATTCTGAGCTCTCCGTTGATGTATCCAGGTGGAGCTGCCATATCAAAGCGAACACTCTTATGGTCGGAAAGCACAAAATATATTGACCAGTGATTGTCACTGGCATTTGTGTTTGGAACTCTGCCAGCTGTATGGCATACCACTCGAACTTTTGAAACCTGGGTATCCCAGTCGGAGAGTTTTGCGTCCATATCGTCTTTGAAATGATTGGTCTGGAAACGATGGATCTCTTCGTGAGATGTCCGAGGTGGATTGAAGTAAACAGGTTCTGAGGGAAAATCATGAGGGTCAGGTTGATCATTCTAAGGGCTTTTATACCTTCCACCATCACCACACCCTCGTCTGATGTGTAGACACAATCTTTGTTGCCCAACGCTTGACCGAAAGCGCGTCTGATACGCTTGTTGTTGGCGATGTAGGTATTACGATATTTCATTGGACAAAGAGTGTCAGACTTACCAGCATGGCGGCTAATCCCTAACCGCCAACATCTTTAGGGTCGACCAGCGGCACATTTGCCGCCCGTAACATGATACACAGAGTGTTTCTGCATTAGATGATCAGCGCGCAGACCGAGAACCGTTGATTTTCGCCTTGGTAACAGCTGCGATTGGTCGAACAGCCTGGTTCTGCTAGGGGGAGATCCTGCAGACTAACCATCTGATATGGAACCACCCTGTATAGAGGAACTGGAAAGTGCAGATAGTCTTTTGATTGGTAATTAGAAAGCACAGTCGCTTTCTAGATACAGGCCTGACAAAAGAGATGCTTCAAGATGACACTTTCTCCGTTGATCTCACTTTTTAATGAGAGATGTTGTGCATTTTTATAGTATCACTGGGTGAATGGGGAGAAAGGGATATCCGTCAAGTCTTCTTCGTGGTCCGTCTTGTGATGGAAAGTGTATCGCTATTCTCTTTCTACGTCTCAACGTTGACGATATCGACACTGACCCTATTATCCGTCTTCGCAGTCGTGGCCTCTGTATTTCCTACATATTCCACCTCGTCTCAACTGCTCTTCTTCTCTTCAATAGCCCCACAACCACCTCTATCAAACTCAGCCATCCCAACATCGACACCAAACCTCCTACCCCCATTTCCATCATCCCACCACCCTGAAGTAAGCTCAATGCCGAAACTCACAATTCCTGTTTCGCAATGGGGGTCCGGGAGAGTCACATCTGTAAGCCGCAAGATCAGGGTGGGTGAAATTCAAGAACGAATTTCCTGCCCTTCCTCCGTACCATACACCCCCGGAAGTCGTCTCATCGGGATCATTGGAGCCATTGAAGCCCACAGTGTACCTGAAGCCAGTCGGATCCATGACTCTGCAAGTGATATTGGACATGATCACACCCACATCCACGTCAACAGAAGTGGCATTCGACAGCTTCGTGCCAATGGGTAGGGTGATGTTATCAGAAGAATGCTCCAGGTTCCGAAAGATGAATTTTTGTAGGTACTGCACGGATAGCTCCCGTAGCCCTGGAAAAGAAGATTGGCGGCCCAGAGAGACGCTTGGCTCCAGTCATCAAGACCACAGTTTTGTCCTTCGGGGCTCGAGACGTGGTCAGCAAGAGGGATGCCGATATTCTCTGTCCTTTGTACAAGCTGAAGAAAAATGAGGCCGCTGACAATAACAGTCAAAAGAGGTGCTAGGAGTGCTGATACGCCTGTCGCGAGAAGAGCGTAGCGTCTAAGTCTCAAACCTTGATGAATACTCACGATGGTAACTATAGTAATACACGATACTTTCTATAACAGATGAATCTCCATTGAGACAACATTGAATTCAGTCATCTCAATGGTGACACCTCTGTTCTGTGCATTTCGATGGCGTATAATGACACTACATGTTGTTCAGGGAGGTTGCCAAAGCAGGGTCTTCCCCAAGCACAGCAGTCACAAAACATCTACAATCGTAGGAAATCGCTGGGACTTTGTTTGTTTCTTTGCCAGATTGACGACAAGAACATACTAGTAAGCAAGTTCTGGTCATCAAGAATGCATCGCGGTCCACGAACAGTTGCATTGAAAAACGACACAAAAATTGTTATGCAAAGAACTCGCGAAATCGAATTTAGAAATACACAAGGCGCTGCTATTTGCTAACGCCCTCGATGAAAAAACTCCCCACAGGCCGACTATGTACGAAGAACCCCATCACATAGGAATAAGAGAATTAACGTTTACGCTTACTCGCCCTTGAGCTTGTCTTGCTTCACGTTGAAAGCGGTGTCCAGTAGGTCTTGCTCTTCCTTCATGTGGCTGCTCTTGAGACCAGTGGCGACACTGGCGCTGGGGTTTCTACCGGCGTAGAGAACGTGTCTTCTGTTGTGGTGCTCGGTCTCGTTCAACAGAGTCTCGATACGGGGTTGTGTGAAGGTCCATGAACCAGCGTTCAGAGGCTCCTCCTGAGCCCAAACAATGTTCTTGGCGTTGGGGTAGGAGTCGAGGTTCTCCTTGAGCTGGGCCCAGGGGAAGGGGTTGAGCTGCTCGATACGGGTGATGGCAGTGTTGGTGATGCCATTCTGCTGGCGGTACTTGTGCAGAGCAGCATAGACCTGACCGGTACAGAGGATGACGCGCTCAATCTCCTCCTTGGGCTGAATCTGGTGCTCGCCTTCGGTGTGAGCAGGGTCAGGGATGATCCACTGGAAGTGCGAGTCGCCGGTGAACTCCTCGATGGATGAACGGGCCAGAGGGTGACGAAGAAGCGACTTGGAGAAGAAGAGGATGAGAGCNNTAGAGAATTGTTAGAGCATGTTCATCATCCAGTTCTCAAACAACTTACGCTTTCTGAACTGTCTGTTCATCTGTCTACGGAGGATGTGGAAAAGGTTGGCAGGGGTTGTGCAGTATGCGATCTGCATGTTGCAGTCCTGGTGTTGGCGATCGAGCTTGTTAGGGGCAGGGAAGATACGGGGATCNNCTGTTATTTTGTTAACGAAGAACCATGTGCACCAGAATGATGTTTTACTCACCTCGTTACACAGTTGCAAGAATCTTTCCATTCTGCCGGAACTGTGCTCGGGACCCTGACCGTCGTAACCGTGGGGCATGCTCATGACGAGACCAGATCTCTGGAGCCACTTGACCTCACCAGAAGCGATGAATTGATCAATAATACATTGTGCGTTGTTGGCAAAGTCACCGAACTGGGCCTCCCACATGACAAGGGCAGAAGGAGAAGAGAGCGAGTAACCGTACTCGAAGCCGAGGACACCGAATTCACTCAAACTAGAGTTGGAAACCACGAAGCTACCCTGGTCCTTGCCGAGGTTTTGAAGAGGGGTGTAGATAGCCTCGCTCTCTTGGTCGTGGACAACAGCGTGTCTCTGGGAGAAGGTACCACGTTCAACATCCTGACCCGAAACTCTGACGTGATGACCCTCCATGCACAAAGAACCAAAGGCAAGGGCCTCGGCAGTGCTCATGTCGATGTTCTTACCATCGTTGACGGTCTTGGTGCGGTTGTTGAGAATACGCTTCAAGTTGCGGTGGACGTTGAAACCATCCGGAGGAGTTCCGATCTTGTCACCAATGTGCTTGAGAGTGTCGGCCTCGACGGCAGTAGGGAGATGAGGCAGGACCTCGGTAGCAAGCTCCTTGGGACTCTTGAATCCGTTCCATGCACTGGTCAACCATTCCTTAGCGGTAGGCTGGTAGTCCTTGCTGCGAGCAAAAGACTCCTCGAGCATGCCCCAGGCCCACTTCTTGTGCTCCTCAACGTCATCCTGAGTGAAGGTCTTGTCCTCAATAAGCTGGTTAATGTACTTGTCGAGGGTAGGCTTCTGCTCGCTGATGCGCTTGTACATCAGAGGCTGAGTGAATGAAGGCTGGTCAGTCTCGTTGTGACCCTGCTTGCGGTAGCAGACAATGTCGATGACGACATCCTTCTTGAACTCGGCACGCCAGTCAGCAGCAAGCTGGCAAACAAAGTTGACAGCCTCGACATCGTCACCGTTGACGTGGAAGACAGGGGCATCGATGGCCTTGGCAATGTCGGAACAGTAGGGGGTTGAGCGGGAGAAACGGGGGTCAGTGGTGAAACCAATCTGGTTGTTGACGACAATGTGGATGGTACCACCAGTCTGGTACTGGGGAAGAGCGTAGAAACCCATGGTTTCGTAGACGATACCCTGACCAGCAAAGGCAGCATCACCGTGAAGCAAGACACCCATAGCAGAGTTGGCATCCTTCTCATCGCCGTTGTAGTGGAGAATGGCTCTGGTCTTTCCAAGGACAACGGGGTCCTCGGCTTCCAAATGCGAAGGGTTGGCGACCAGAGACAGCTGCACACGCTTACCAGAAGGAGTGGGACGCTCGAAGTTCATACCAAGATGGTACTTGACATCACCAGAACCCTCATCGGCGGGCTCAGCAGATCCGGCAAATTCGCTGAAGATGGACTCGTTGGGCTTGCGGACGACGTTGGAAAGGACGTTGAGACGACCACGGTGAGGCATGCCAATGACGATATCCTTGACACCGTAGTCGACACTGCGGTCAATCAAGGCCTTCATTCCGGGGATCAAAGATTCACCACCCTCGAGACCGAAACGCTTGTCGTTGGGGTACTTTGTGGCAAGGAAGCTCTCGAAGCTGGAACTCCAGATCAGACGGTCCAAAATACGTCTCTTCTCGTCGACCGAGTACTTGTAGGGCTGAGGAACCTCGATGCGAGCACGAAGCCAGTCGCACTGCTCACGGTCGGGAATGTGGATGTACTCGATACCGTAGCTACCGCAGTAGAGACGTTCGCATGCGGCGATAATGTCCTTGAGCTTCATCTTGTTCTGGCTTTCTGTGGCGAAGCGAGGCAAGATACCAGGACCAAGGCTGAATTCCTGCTCCATGTCGGCCTCGGTGAAGTTGTAGTGCTCGAGGTTGAGCTCGCGAGGGTTGCTGTAGCCGAACTGGCTGGCCTCGTTGCGGATACCAAGAGGGTCGATCTTGGCCTTGTGGTGGCCTCTGGCCTGGTATGCGCGCACCAAGAGCTGCACCTTGAGATGGTTGGTCAAGTCGGAGCTTTCGCCGACACCGTGGGCAGCATCGGGAGAGAATCCAGGAGCTCCACCTTCAGCGGAGGGAACAATGGTAGGAGGAGGTTGGAAGGCCTGGGACATGGGCATGTCGCCCTTCTCCATGTTGCGGAAGTAGACCTGCCATGAGATGTGGACGGACTTGGGGTCGCGCTTCCACTCCATGTACATCTCGTCGATGTAGTTGGCAGTGTTTCCCTGGAGGAACGAGTCGTTGGGGTNCCTGGAGCATGTGTGTCAGTGGAGAGGAGTAGAGTGTGCGGATGCGAGCAAGCATACAACGCCCTTGTTGGTGTCCTCGGCAGCGACAGCATAGTTGCGGAACTGGCTGACAGCAAGGTCTCTCCTTGTCTGGGACAGAGCAACAACAGGTCTGCTTCTGGCAATGGTGGAGAAGCTGGTGCGGCTCCCGGCAGCGGCCAGGCGCTTGCCTGCCTGTGAAAAAGAAGCTCTCAACATGATGAGCGCTCGCCAGTAGGGAATGGAGAGTGCGAGTGACTCTTTGCGGGCGGAGACTTGAGGTATGCGAAGGAAACGGAAGTCGCGAGGCAAGACCCGGCTCTATCCGTGCTCCCCTCGGCTTCAGCCAAAGCCCAAACAACTTTTTCGTAACATCAGCGAGCGTCATAATCTGGACCAAGTGCCGGGCCATTTGGTCAGGTGCATCTTTATCTGTGCTGGCAAGGCATGCACTGTTTTTCCCTGCCCTCAAAGAAAGCATTAACAAGGTATACGGCTCTCATTGCTATCATTAAAAATAATCACGAGAGTCGAATACTTTTAAAGATCGATAAACTAGGTTCTTGTCGGGAGGCACCTGCCGAAGCTGCGAGGCCTGGCTGTCTGCGACAAAGTCCCACCCAACTCACACATGAGAATAAGTCGCCCACATTAATCACTATCCGATCTACCGCCCGACATCATCTTTACTGCCGTCGCATTCGTTTCGGATTCATAACAGTAGCGGCCATAGTAATCCGAGTAAGTCGCCGGCCTGCAGAGTCGCTGTTGGCGCGCGCTCACGACGTGAAGCATACGTCGTGCACCTCTTGCATTCGCCAACATGCCTCTGTCCGAGACGGAGCTCACGCTCGTCGAGGCCATGTTCATGAACAAACATAACGTGAAAGCCGTCCTCCAAGTCTTACCGCATGCCACCGTCTCGACTCTGTACAGGCAGAAGAAGACCTTTGACACCCATGGCTCTATACACAACCCCGAAACCACAAAGAAGAGAAGACTAAGGAAACCCGTCGTAGTTGCTGCAGAAGATACCTCTCCAACCGAGTCTGAAACTTCTCCGACCAAGGACCCTCTATCAGAGACGGATCGCACCGTAGAAATGCTGTTCTCGCAAGGCCTTTCCGTCCGCAGTGTGCAAACCTGGTTCCCCAATCGGCCCAAGAGTAGTCTCTATCGCATGCAGAAGAACCTCAAAGTCTATGGCTCCGTCAGAAAGCCAGAGACCATGCATAAAAAGAAAGGGAGACCTTCGGCTGTCACGCAGGAGATGAAAGAATGGTTGATCGAGCTGGTCAAGGACGGTAAAGAGATGTGGCAGAGAGACCTTGCCTATGAGCTCTTCACAAAGTTTGGTGTCTTTGTGTCTCCTTCCACCATCTCTCGTCTTCTTAAAGAACATAATGTTGTCAAAAAGCTGGGTCCTGTGGAAAGTGCAGACACCGAGGGGACATCAGATGCAGATGAAGATACGCTGACTACTGACCTGACTCTGGATCCTCTACTCCAATTGGCTTGACACGTCTCAAAGTGCTCTTCCAACGGTATAGCCAGTACATCATTGTGGCCTAAGACCAAGTAATGATGGGCTTCACCGTCTCGCCCGTGTGCATCTCGTTGATACCCCTCTCAAACTCCTCTGCTGGCATAAGCTTGACCAGCTTATCGAATGGAAACTTGCCTTCGCGATACCACCCTATCATCTTTGGAATGAACTCGGAAGATATGCTGTTACCCTCAATCGCTCCCATATATGCCTTGCCGCTATTCATGAACAAAAATGCTGGCAGTTCGACCTGGAAATCTGGTGGTGTCGACCCAACTTGGATGATCTTACCACCCTTTCGTGTCATCTCGATAGCAGCTTTGACGAGGGTCGGTACACCCGTCGTATCGATGGTGATCGCAGGACCAGCACCTTCGCAAAGTTCTTGAACCGCCTCAATGACAGTTTTGCCATCTTGGAGCTTTGATGTGTCAATCACATGCGTAGCACCCAGCGACTTTGCTGTCTCCATACGGTAATCCACACGATCGATTCCGATGATGGTTCTGCAGCCAGAAAGCTTTGCGGCCATAATAGCACTCAAGCCAACACCTCCCAGGCCAAGCACCACGATCGACTCTTTCGGTGTAGCCTTTGCGACATTGACGACGGTGCCAGCTCCGGTCTGGAAACCGCAGCCCAAAGGAGCAAAGGCTTGCAATTCTTGCTTACTCTCAACGAGACTGGTGACATTGACAACGCTGTTTTGCTTCACCACGCTATAGCGAGCGAAACTAGACTGGCCAAAGAACTTGCCAGCGATCTCTGTCGTATCTGTGGAACTGGCAGATCTGAAGGTAGCCTTGTTGCCAAAATTCAACGGCATGCTCTCGTAGCACAGCGATGGCAAGCCACCTTTGCAAGACTCGCAGTTACCGCACCAGTCAAATGACAACAAGACCGCATCTCCTGGTTTTGCGACCGAGACGTTCGAGCCCACAGCCTTGACATAGCCCGATCNCTGTTGCGAATTTGTTAGCAGTTGCGTGCATGTGTGCAGGACTTTGGCGTCACTTTTCTTACCTTCGTGCCCAAGAACTCGAGGGTAGTAAAACAGATCTGGGTTCCCAGTGCCTGAACCACACATGATATCTGTATGGCAAATTCCACTCGCGACCAATTCAACGAGTAATTCATCCTCTTTGATCTCTTGCGTGGTGACCTCTTCCATCTTCCAGCCTTTGTTGGCTAGTGTGTCGCGAGCCACTATGGCCTTGCCAGTCCATTGAGTTTTCTCTGCTTCAGCCATGACTGTTTTTGCTTTCTGCTGATTCTGGAGATGTCTTCGTGTATGGCTTGGTGTTGTTTTTGTTGGAAGAGTTGTAGTAAGGAGACGTCATGTCTTTTTGACTCTTTTGAAGAGCATTGATATGCAGACCCACCTTTTTCGTCGCTCGAATGGGCCATCGCATCGAATTTGTGGGGGCGCAGCCGCTGGGTCTCCGAGCTTCGGTATCTGGTCACGGCTTTTTGTGCTAGTCGGATAGTCCTTTCACTTTTCGAGGCATGCTCTTGCTGGGGATGTTTGATACTCTGTTCTTACTTGGACTTGTTGTGTTCAAGTATGTCTTGAATAGTTGGCGCACTGATATTGTGCGAGGGATGGGTTTGTAGTGCTGTTTTGCTCTCGAGATCGTGATGCTGGGTGCTGTGGAGAAGGCTCGGGGGTGCAGTGGCTGCATGCAGCGATCTTTAGGTGGAGAATTTCTTGTACGGAAAGTGTGAGTTTTGGAATGTGATTGGGAAATTCATGGCTATGTTTGGCAACAGAAGCGTATGAGGATTAGCATCTAGGGACTACTCCATCAACTCGATTTAACGAATCAAAAAAAAATCACGAGAACAAAGCTTGTGGCCTTGAAGGAAGCCTTGGGTGGGTGAATATCGAAATATTTGCTCGACTTTTACTTGACATTTCTTTTCTACAACATCAGAAAAACGACACTATTACTTTCCCCTACGCATCAATGTCTTTTTTCAAAGTCCATGACACCCGCGCATGGTGAGTCGAAAAGCTTGGCTCAGTTCTGATTCAATCGCGCGACACCAGCAGTAACCTTCTCCAACGTCACATCCAATAGTCCCAACTCCGCCATCTTCTCATCCCCATCACTTGCCTCTTCCCAAACACTCTCCAACTCACCAGCGGCCTTGGCTTGCTTGAAGCGAGCAGATGCTTCCCTCAACGGCTGCAAAAACGACCCCGCGATATCGTTGTTGCAATGCAAATCCCCAATCGCCAATGCCTCGTGTAGATGATTTGCCGACAAGAGCAAGTAGTAGAAGTTCAGGGTTGCGAGGTAGAAGTGCAGATTTTGTTGGAATGTCACAAAGGAGTCTGTGATGGAGGTCGCTGTGAGGTCGTGGGTGAGATCGGGGAAGAGGTAGGGTGCTAGTGTGTCCAATGCCACTGGAGTTGCAAAGACGGAGCTTTGCTGTGTGGATGCTTGGGAGGAGCCAGTGGGTGGGTTGGCTTCGATGGTTTCCCCCTTGATCCAGCTTACAGCTGCGGCTTTGAGATTGTCAAAGGGGCAGTGTTCGAGCGTGTCTTTGATAAAGGCGAGGCGTTCGACATCTGAAGGATTGGAGCGCAAGATCGTGGTTGCGAGGTAAAAGGCGTGGTAGCGTATACTCGGCGAAGGCGAGTTTGAAGACATCAAAGAGAGATATTGCAGGTATTGGTTAAACTCTTCGCTGTCTGTGGGTTCGCCGACATTGTCTTCTTCGATGGCGAGGATGGCAAGAGCGAGCACGGCATCTAGCACAGCTTCGGGTTCGGTGCCGATGGTTGCGCCCATGTCTGGCGAGCTGGCAATGTAGTTGTGGAGCACTTTTTGATGGTCGGGGAAGATGCTAAATGCATCTTTGGGCTTGGGTGTGGAGTAAAGCACAGTAGCCACATTTGCAGCGGCAAACATGAACAGCGAGCCCACCTTTGACAAAGGGATATCAGCCGCGGTCTTGGGGAACTCGTCTTCGTTGTCGGGGACAAGAGATGAGCCTGCATTGGCGCCCTCCATCGCGGGTAGGAGATCCTTGCGTTCCATGCCGAGATCGCGGGCAAGAGCGACAAGGCCACCAACAGCAGTCAAGCGACCAGCGAGCTCTTCGTCCAAGATGAACTTGTCCGTCATGGAAGGCTTTCCAGGGACAGTGCGCTCAGGATGTAACTTCTCCTGCAAGCGGCTGCACCAGGCCAGACCAGGGGCATCGCTATCCGAAGCTAGTGTGAGCATGTAGTCCTCGAAGATGTGCGTGATGAATGATTGGAATAGGCGCTTCTGAATATCAGCCTCGCTTGCGGATGGCGACTTGGCAGCAGTCTCAGACTCCGGGTCAGGTGCCGATGCTTGAACACTCTTTGCAGTCAAAATCTGAGTACTGCTCTTACGGGGAGGCAGATTAGGGCGCTTAGTTCCAGAGACGGTCTTTACGAACTGAATAATTGCCGACATCAACTCTTCCTTGTGTTTTGCTGCGTTGTTGAAAGATACCAGGATGGCTTGAAGTGATGTCGATAGGAAGCGACTGGGATACTGTGTCTTTATGCGAGTGTGCAAGATGGATAGCATGGATAACAAGCTGGTGAACTGCAGCACAGGGAGGGGCAGAGGCGCAGGCGTTTCGACTGCTTGTGTAGTCTTGCTGCCATCTTCTCCCACAGGCGCGGTCTTTGCAGGATGGTAAGCCGGTGCTGTCTCTTCTCCGGCGATGGGTTCATCATCATCAGTGTCTGGCTCTAGACCCTGGAAGTCGATCAAGCGCAGTGACTCTGTGACCTTCAGGATGACTTCGCGAGGGTTTCCCAGACGCGCGATATCCTGGAGGCACTCGTCTGAATTTGGTAGCAGAGGCACGAGCAGGTGAACAAGATCCCAACCGATGTTAGTGGTTAACTTGGTGTCTTGCAGTACTTGATGAAGTGTCGGCAAAGACTCCGGGTTGAGGTTGTACTCAATGATGGTTAGATAGCTGATGTAGTCAGTAGCAGGCGGCAAGGCCTCAATAAGAGGGTTCTTTTCAGCCATGGTTGTATGCTGGTTCCGAGAAAGGATAAACACAAAAGCAGAAGATGTGGTCTAGAAAGGGTCGTCCGAAGCTCAGCAGACGCCGAGGTGGAAGTGAATATGGTGGGGTTGGAACTTGGCGGGTCGTGCCAGATGCTTGTTGTCATGCAATTTTGGGAAACGATCGGCGTTCTCACCTTCACCGCGTTTGCTAAAGCCAATTCCGAAACGTGAAAAGCCTATTCGTGAGACCTTGACTGCTTCAGCATACAGCTTTCGTAACAAGCTGACCGTGATCTTTGTGAAGTGCTTATGGGCAATGTGCATGTCTGGCATACATGTCGTTTGTGGGCTTGTGTCTAAGCAATACAGTGCCGTGCCACCTTAAGCTCAAATCACCATGCACAAGATGAAATTGCAGTCTCGTTGAGAGGACCTGTCTTTCCACGTGGACATGACGAGACGTGAGTCCTGCACATACATGGATTTGCTACTAGGCTGGAAGCGCATCTGGCAGAGAGAGTACTTGGTGTGTTTCAGCAGCCATGTTGCAAGACCTACTTGAGTGTCTGAGCAGGAGGGTTGACGCGCACACATGCAAATCGGCGACTTGACTTATCCTTATCTCAGCTCTCGGTGACTCTTCGCAGATCAGTGGCCCTCTTTACCTCAACGCCAGTCCAGAGAATATGATGATTCTTTTGGTCGCCAATGGTGATGCTGAGTGATGTTCAATCATTGAAAAGTGGCTGGGAGGAGGCTGTTACAGTAAAAAAAAAATGACAGCACTATGAGGGCATGGAAGACGCGTTTGAGCATCCCGTCTTCATGTCCGAACGAGACCGAGCAGATGGGGCATGTCAGACCATATGCGTCTGGGAAAAGGCTCGGGTAGATGGTAGATTGATAAGTTGAAGAGCTCGATGATCCGATCAAAAGCTATGATTGGCTCTGTTGGCCGAGAAACGATTTGAAGGAGCGCGATCTCGGACACGCGAAGGGTAACGCGTCAACAAAGGGGACAGGTAAGGAGGTACCCATCTCAATACGTGCAATGGAGAATTGTCGTCGTGGGTGAACAGTGTTTGATAGAAGACTAGATCAATTGGAAGTCAGAGAAGGACAGATATTGCATCAACTATGACTTATGATCAGGCTTCCAAGCAACAGATCGGATCTTGACCTGAACAAAATCAATGAAGCCGATCTGCTCGGATTGATGATGACGCGCGACCTGTTTTTTGTCACGTTCTCTTGGCAGCCACATAGCTTAAACGCGTGTGGGACCCGCGCCGGGAAATTCTATATAATGAGAACGCGTCTCGTCCTTCTTCCCACTCACACACCCACACACATCAAGCATCTTCTCCTCGACGCAGTATCAATTGATCTGCTTATTCGTTCAGTTGCTTCTCTACACACATCTCCATCATCATGTCCGCGCCACTGATCACTCCCTCAAAGAAGGTGAGAATTCTCTTTGTCCTCAAGACAGCCGAGCCAATTTTGCTAACGCGTCTCTGCAGNGCCGCCGAGGCCCTCGAGAGCTTCAACATCGAGTCACCCATGAAGCAACCCATCTTCACCGCCGCATCTGAAGAGAAGGAGAACATGATCTCCGACGAGGTCGCTGTCCCCGTCAAGGGCATTCCCATGGCCGACGACCTGCCCGAGCCCGAGGAAGCAAAGCCCAGTGCTGCTCCTGGCATCAAGGGTGACGAGGTCAACGAGCCTATCCTACAGGAGAACCCCAACAGATTCGTCCTCTTCCCTATCAAGTACCACGAGGTAAGTTCACTCAATTGACGCGTCCTTGACGCGTCGTGTACCACTCAACACGTATACTAATCATTGATATATAGNATCTGGAACATGTACAAGAAGGCCGAAGCCTCTTTCTGGACCGCCGAGGAGATTGATCTGTCCAAGGACCTTCACGACTGGAACAGACGCCTCAACGACGACGAGCGTTTCTTCATCTCTCACGTCCTCGCCTTCTTCGCTGCCTCTGATGGCATCGTCAACGAAAACCTCGTCGAGCGCTTCAGCTCCGAGGTCCAGATCCCCGAGGCCAGATGCTTCTACGGCTTCCAGATCATGATGGAGAACATCCACTCCGAGACCTACTCACTGCTCATCGACACATACATCAGCGAACCCAAGCAGCGCACCTACCTCTTCAACGCCATTGACAATATCCCCTGCATCAAGAAAAAGGCCGACTGGGCCCTGAAGTGGATCTGCGACAAGGACTCGACCTTCGGCTGCCGCTTGATCGCCTTTGCCGCCGTTGAGGGTATCTTCTTCTCAGGATCTTTCGCTTCCATCTTCTGGCTCAAGAAGCGTGGTCTCATGCCTGGCCTCACCTTCTCCAACGAGCTCATCTCTCGTGACGAGGGTATGCACACCGACTTCGCCTGTTTGCTCCACTCTCACCTCAAGAACAAGCCTTCTGCTGAGCTCGTCCGCGAGATCATCACCGAGGCTGTCGCTATCGAGCAGGAGTTCCTGTCTGATGCCCTCCCCTGTGCTCTCCTCGGCATGAACGCCAAGCTCATGTGCCAATACATCGAGTTCGTTGCCGACCGTCTGCTCCTCGCTCTTGGCGAGTCTAAGATCTACCATGCTACCAACCCCTTCGACTTCATGGAGAACATCTCGCTGNNAGCTGGCAAGACCAACTTCTTCGAGAAGAGAGTTGGTGACTACCAGAAGGCTGGTGTCATGAACAGCACAAAGAAGGAGGAGAGCAAGACGACTGCTGGCCTGGCCGCCACCGTCAGTGGTGACTTTGCCTTTGACGAGGACTTCTAGTCTGGTCGTCGAGGAAAGAGTATCAGAATCATTGTATGGGCAGGCGTTTATTCACGGTTATTGCAGCGGCTGCATAATGTGGCGTTCTGGGTAATGGGCATATCCTGGGATGAGATTTTTTTGGTTGGGCAAAGGCTTTGTTCGACTCAATTTGGCAAAGACGACGACCTGTCGGTCGCGTAGCTATTATGTAGTATAGTAAATCAATTCGAAACGATAACATTAAACTTCCTTGTTCACCTTTCTGCCTCGCCATTGATTAATTGCCTTGAACCATGAGACAGTGGGGGATACGCTGTGTCTCGCATTGGCCAAGAATAGCATGACGTAGAGGTGCGGACAGTCGCGGAGGGACGATGAGCGTTGTCAACCGAGATGGGCGCTGTGGATGTTTGGTTATCGATGGTGGTACACAGCCAATCTTTTGCGCCATAACAATGACCTCTTCCACAACATTACAGCACAGGCTATCAGCACTCGTTATTCATCCCTATCAATATCGCATATGGCCGACATTCCTGCCATCCGTGTGACGGATCCGCAGAGCCGGGATACCGTACCAGAGAGCATAGGACCAAACAGGAGTGAAGGATTCGACCATGCTGCGGGCAGCAGAAGCGCATCGCCAAAAGAGGGTAGGCCATCAAAAGGAGAAAGAGGTCCACGGAGGAACAACAAAGAGCCCAAGGCTNNGACAGGAGGCGGTGACCAGGCAGCAGACCAAACACATCCGGAGGCCTCCCGAATCCTGGCAAACTGCTCCGTTCGTTGTCGGGGACCTTGTCGAACCAAGAAGAGCCCGTTGCAAACGACAAAGATCCCTTGTCGCAGGTGAGAGATTATGCTGCTTACGTGTGGAATGTCGACTGATGATGTGTCTAGNCACCTTTTCCGCCGCGTACGACCAACGTCATCTGGTGCGAGTGTCCCTTCTGAAGATCGATCCGACGACAATGCCATTTCCAGATCAAACACGACTCTGAGTTCTACAGGTCGCGAGAAGAAGTGCGTTCTTGTGTGCTATGTACTGCTGTAAAGCGCGATTGGACTGACGCCGGATTGACAGNNAAAGGGCGCCTCATTCCTCGGACGACTGCTGGGAAACAAGAAGAAAGAGACCGACGACAATGTCATTGACGACGCTGCATCCGAGTTCAGCAACCTGCGACCCGAAGGCATGGAGGCCAACGTCTTTTCCCAGCCCATTGACAATATCGAGTTCAACCCACGACATCCACCACCTCCAGAGTACATCAGAGTCAGAGCACGCGACAAGAAAGAAAAGGACTTTGACCATTTGTTCTTGGCCCAAGAGCTCTTGTCTTCAAACGTCCATCATGACGAGACACCGATATGGGCGATGCAGTTCAGCAGGGATGGCAGATATCTCGCTGCGGCAGGACAAGACAAGATCATCCGTATCTGGGAGGTCATCAAGACTCCAGAAGATCGCAAGTCACATGCTGAAGAATCCGACATCAACCATCGCCCTCGTTTGAGTGCTCCAGTGTTTCGTCAAGAGCCAGTCAGAGAGTACGAAGGCCACACATCGACCATCTTGGATTTGAGCTGGAGCAAGAACAACTTTCTTCTTTCCTCGTCGATGGACAAGAATGTGCGGCTATGGCATGTGAGCAGGGATGAGTGTCTCTGCACTTTCAAGCACAGCGATTTCGTCACGTCAATCGCTTTTCATCCCAAAGACGATCGCTTCTTCTTGGCTGGTTCGCTCGACTCCAAGTTGAGGTTGTGGAGTATCCCTGACAAGACTGTTGCTTACTGGAGTCAGTTGCCAGATATGATAACAGCGGTCGCCTTTACGCCGGATGGAAAATATGCAATGGCTGGGTGTTTTACTGGTCTTTGCATGTTCTACGAGACTGAAGGGCTAAAGTATCAAACTCAAATCCACGCTCGCTCTAGGAATGGTAAGAATGCAAAGGGCAGCAAGATTACTGGAATCCAGTCCTTCCATGCTGGTGGAGAGACCAAGGTGCTCATCAGCAGTAATGACTCGCGCATACGATTATACAATTTCCGCGACAAAAGCATGGAGATCAAATTTAAGGGCAACATCAACGACAGCAGCCAGATCCGAGCGGCGATCAGCGACGATGCAAAATACATTTTCTGCGGCAGCGAAGATCACAAAGTCTACATCTGGCCCACACATCCGCGCAGCAGTGACAAGAAGCAAAAGCGACCAATGGAAACTTTTGACGCCAGCAACACAGTAGTCACCTGCGTCGCCTTTGCGCCGCCAAAGAGCAAGCAACTGCTTGGCAGGTCCGAAGACCCAATCTACGATCTCTGCAATCCACCCCCGGTAATGCTGATGAGCTCAGCCGAACGCACCGGCTCACGACCACCTTCGCGCGCACCCACCGAAGACGGCCTCGAAGCAGACACACAACCCCACAAGCGCCCCGACGAATCTCCAGCCTATGTCGCGCGCTCCACCCATGCCACAGGAAACATCATCGTTACCGCCGACCTGGCCGGCAGAATAAAAGTCTTTAGACAAGACTGCGCGTACAACAAGCGCAAAACCGACAATTGGGACACGTCGTCCGTGTTTTCGAAGCGCAAGCTAGGTCGCACGGCAAGTATAGCCACCAAAGGCAGTAGTCGAAGTCTACGTTCCTCACATGGACGCCCCGAAGGCCCTGCAGACAGAATCCTCAGTTGGCGACAAGGGATCTCGGGAAACGGTGGTAANCAATACAACAAACGGCTCTATTCGCAGCAACTCGCCGCGAAAAAGCACTGCCTCTTCTGCTGCTGCTGCTGCTGCTCCTCCACAACAGCAACGACCAGATTCCAAAACTTCAATGGCACCTCCTCCCCCTCCCGCACCACCAAAAAGTGAAGACAACGATGACACCGACCCCTCTTCCTCCAAGGCGATCAAAGCATGCTATACTGGAAACTAGCCTTGAACTCTGCCCGCAACCATCAACACCACCCCACACCCTCACCACCATCACCACAAAAACCCTCTTCAGTCCATCGCACCAGTAATCTAGCACTCCCACACCCACTCCAACGTAATCACACTGCTGTCTCCAAGCTTTCTATCGAGCAAGACAGTGCAGCATCCAGCGATACCGACGCGGAAAGTTTCAAAGACGCTCTCCAAGCCCACGACGAGCAAGTCCACTGCAAAAGCTGCGGCGGCGCAAACTTCCATGTCAAGAGTTTGAAGAATGGGGGCACGAAATTGTGTTGTTCGAATTGTGGTGCGGCTGCTTGATCTGTTTCGTCGCACTCACTCACTCCCCCACGACCACCGGAATCAATAATCTACAGTCGATGCTTTAGCATTGCAATGCTAGAACCCATCTTTTCCTCGTGGCCCTGTTTGTTTCTCTGTCTGTCTTTTTTGCGCGGTTCTGGTGACAAGATAGAAGACTTGGGTTTACATACCAACACTGAGAGGATATTGATTTCGTTTCTCGTTTTTTTTTTTCCTTTTTTTTTTGTTCTTCTTTAAACATCATGCCTGGTTTTCACGTCAACAGCAATGCAGAGGCTGGCGTTTTGTTTCTTTTCTTTATGTGGTGGTAAAAGGGCGGCGATATTGAAAATCTTTTTGCGTTTCTTTTTTGGTTGTTGTTTTTTTGTGCGTGTGTGTGCGTGAGTGTGTTGAAGTATACCAACCTTTTTTCTTTTTTTTCTTTTTTTCTTTTTTTCTTTTTTTCTTTTTTTTTGTTTAAGAAGTTAAACCTCCCACCCTTTGATGGTACTTTCAAATATCACCTTTATAAGTTTTTGTTGATATTTTTCTCTCTCTCTTTTTTTTTTTTTTTTTCGCTTCCCTAAGAACTATATAGATACACTAGACCCAAAAAATCTCAAAAGGTCTTGCACACCATATGTACAAGTAAAAAAGATCTCTGTTGCATTGATATCAGAAAGAGGCAAAAAATTGTATTACATCTCTTTATACAAAGTTATATCTAGAAAAACATTTCCAAGCAAGACTAAGAATATAAGATAGGTACCACAAACACTTTCCAACGAATTGGTGATTTCGTAAAACAGAAGAAAATAAACGTCCAAAGGGCAAGATCAAATCAAATTTCATTCGCTGCGCGTTATGTTTTCCCATCCTAGAACACTTTCCTATAATGCCCAAACATGGAAAAACACATGTATAGAGAGTCTCACCCTTCCTCGTGTTTCCCACAAATCATGCCCCCATCATTTCTATTCTCCTGAAAAAAACTCGATCCCTCCTTTTTCTTTGCTGTCCAATTAGCTAGCTAGCAACAACACCACTCTTCCTCCTAGACTTCAAAAGCCCACCGAGCAATCCATCGAGTTCGGCCTGCAAACCCGCTAATCGCTGACTTTCATCCCTGAACAAATCAACCATCAATGGATGACTTTTGTCCACCGGTTTGACGGCGGTCTTGTCGTGGATGATGACTAGCATGTCTCTGACATCGTTTTCTGCTCCGTCGAGCCAGGCGCGCAGACTAGCATCACTCCAAAGCTGTGAAGACGTTGATGCGGGCGAAGGCGCAGAGGCAGGAGATATGGAAGAGGCGTTGGATGGTGTGGTGGAAGAGGCGCGATGAGGGGGTGAAGGCGCGCGACGATGCGGAGGCGGGTTCTGGGGTGTGGAGATGGCCGAGTGGCGTGTAGAGGCCAGAGGAGTGGTTTCGTCGTCGTCGGTGGTGGATGAAGTTGAGGGAACGTGTTGAGTGTGTCTTTCGGATTGGGTGTGAGGGGTTTNTTCGAGAGAGGCTTTGGGTGTGTTGGGAATACTAGGCGAACTGGTGCGCTGTGAGCTTTCCTCGCCGCCTCTTTCTTCGTTTGCATCGTGGTCGTCTGGCGATGAAGACTCGTCATCGAGGCTGATGGGGATGTGCACCGTTTCAGTGCCGTGCATGAATGCGTCGCTTGGACCATCTTCAAACTCCTTTGCTTGGATTTCCTTGTGCTCCTCGACATCACTAATCTCGTCGAAATCGTCAAGTTCCACTCGGGCCTTGGCCTTCTTCACCTTGACTTTCTGTGGCTTGAGGTTTTCTTGAGACTCCGAATGTCGTATCTTGTTTGTGATTGACGAAAGCATATGCGAGCCAAGCAGAGTTTCGCTGGGGGGTTTGTGCTCTTGCTGGCGCGACTCGACGTTGCGTTGTGAAGGAGTTTCAACGCTCGATCCTTCAAGTTCGGCAACAAATTCTGAAACTGAATGTTCTTCTTGCTGACGTTGTGAGGCGGGTAAGGCAGACGACAGCTGCAGAGGAGCAGATGCCGCTATGGGAGCGAGAGTAGGCGCGGAAGCAGGTACCGGTGCTGATTTTTGTGCAGGAGTAAATGCCAGAGGGGCAACCGGCGCAACATTGGTCCCTCCGAGCGGCGGCTTCTGCAACTTGCCCTTCGATTTGGGTTCTGTGGCCACATACTGGGTAGAGCGCTCGACGGGAGAGCCCTTATTGGAATCCGATGACGTGGATTGCCTAGCAAGCTCACTTGACAGCTTTTCAACGTCGCTATCCTCGTCAACCGAATTCTTGTTTCGCTTGTCCTTCTTTTTGCTCTTGAACAGGCCACTAAGCATGCCTGGCTTCTTTTCCTTCTTTTTCTTGTCGTCTTTGGATTTTTTCTGGCGGGGNNAAGCCGTCTTCTCGAGTCCTTCCATGCTGGAGCTGGTACTTTCCAAGCGGCTACCGTTGCTGCTGTCCCGCAGTAGATTAGGTGTAAGAGAAATCTTGAGCGGCTCTGCCCCATCGTCTTTGAGGAAAGAATCGGCATTCCGTGGTGTTCCCTTCCTGGATGACTTGAGCGGTGCTGCTTCTGNTGACCATGTCAGTATGGCATCATGGGGTTCAAACAAGCTGTGAACAGTACCTGTTTTGTCAACCAATGTGGGACTACTGAGCGGTTCTTCAATAGGAGCCTTGATGTCTTTGCCCGGACTCGCCAGATCAGGGCTGTCGGCTCTGGCAACCTCGACCACAGTCGTATTAATGTCTGATGACTTTTCTTCTGCAGAGTTCGAGTCTTCGTGTTGATCTTGTTGATTACCGTACAGAGGTTCAGGCATCATACCCTCCTCTTCATCAGATGAGTAGTCGTAGTCAGACGCCTCAACATAGGTAGGGGCGGTAAACTGTACAGTCTTTGCCTTGCGTCGCTTCATGGCCTTTTTGAGTGGGTTCTTCGAGTCATTGGCAGTATCTCCGAGCATTGCAGCAGATAGCTTTTCACTCATGTCAGTGAAAACCAGTGAAGCCGTGTTCGAGATGCTTACATCAACATTTCTGTGCTTGTTCAAACGCGCCAGGCGTTCTGTCGGGGTTTCGATGTGTTCGGCCGGGAGATAACNCTTGAGACTGTCAGCTTGGTTCAGATAGTTGTCGCGTGACGACGCAAGCATACCAATGCTATTGTCCTTTACGATCCTGACCAGCCACCAGTAGCTGTTGCTGTCATCGAGCAGAACCATGGTGTCACCCTTTCCGGCATTGGCCTGGCCTTCGACCGTGGCTACAAAGGTGTGCAGGGCGTAGACGAAGTCGAAATCGATATCCTCTGTTTCACGTAAGCATTCGCCGCCCCAGCCGGAATCAACAAAGCGGTCATCAGAATAAAAAGAAATGTCCAGGTCATCATCATCGTCATGTTTGTTTTGTAGTTCCAGGTCTTCCAAGATTGAAGTAGCAGAGGCGTCGCTCACAGTGCTCCAAGAAGAAGGCGATGCAGTTCTCGAGGTGGATGTCAAGCCAGGTGGCGGTGCCCCATCGTAAGAATACAGACCGCTCGCGTCCATTCCATCTTCGGCGTCCTCCTCGGGTATCGCTGTAAGGTCTTCGACAGATCTGCCATGCGAGAAGTTGTAATCCAGATAGTCATCTTGTGACCTCAACGGCTGTTGGTCAAGGTCGTCATAACGTTCATTCGTTGGATGATCGTGGTCGTAGTCGTGGTCGTTGTTGTTGTCGTTGTCGTTGAGATACCCACCATGATACTCACCAGTATGATGATGACGCGTGGAGAGAGGGGAAGCTGACAGCGGTAAATGCTTTGGGGAAAGCATGAAAGGAGAAGAAGACTGCAGTGACGAGGCAGGCGAAGCTGTCGAGACTGCAGCCGGAGTGATATGTAGAGGCAAGTGTGTAGGAGTAAGAACAAAGGGTGACGAGTCGGGAGAGTCAATTGCCGCACAGTTGAGTGTTTGGCGAGGAGGTGTTAAGGATGAAGAACGGCATGGCCAAATGTTTGCAGCAACAGCAGGGTACGCACCATCGTCGATAGAGGGAGAGCTGGAGATGCGATCGTCGAGCATGTCGTCGTCCAGCTCAGAGTCGTCGGTCGAGTCGCCGTTTTCATGATTGTGGGCTTGTAGTTGGTCGTCGGTCAACTCATTGACTTCCAAGGCATTGTGAGCGCGACTCCAAGCATCGTGCAGATGTTCCTCCTCTTCGTGTCTTTCTTCGCGAACATGACGGATTTCCGAGGCCTGGTGTTTGCCGACGTCTGACGGTTGGAGCGAGGTCGAGTGGTGGTCTTGGGTGGTAGGGGCGTCTTGGTTTTGGAGATCGATTGTGTCTGACACGATTAGTTACTAGGTGAATTGCTGTAAAGATTGTCGAGACTCACCAGCTCTGACGAGTCCGGGGCGCGTCATGATTATTGACGAAGAGTCGAGCAGGAGGACAGCAGCGACAACTGCGACGGCTGCGGTGGTGGGATCAGAGGTCAATGGCTATGAGCATTGCGCGGTTCGCAGGCAAACAGCAGGGTAGTCGGTCGTGTCGGTCGTGTCGCGAGTCGATGGGCTGGGTTACAAGAAAGTCGGATAGGCGTCGTGATAAGTCGTTGCGTCTTTGGAAATCTAGGTTGATGTTTCCAACGGTTCCCGGCGTTCAAACAATCTTCATCATTGTCGTGTCAGCGTAAAAGGAAAGTCGGCACTCGCTACTCTACACTCTGCAACAGATACGCAACAAGAAGAGTATGAATTGATGGCTTGTCGCAACCCGCGACAACAGGGGTCGCACCGCACAGACGGGCCTACGAGGACTAGTCTCAGATTTGCCGGCTGCTGCAATGCACATCAATCATGCTCCGAGAGCTTAGTCCTCGATCAATCGCCAGGGCACTCTTCATTACAGGACCTTCCCTTGATCTGCCGTGCCCTGCTCCAGCACAATACACCAATCATGTCTTTTTAAAACATCAACATTGTTCTTGACACTGTAGACACACGATTCGATACTTCTCACGCTTTGGCTTTGGACTTGGATCGAGAGCCAGCCACCTCCCAAGCCACAGCTAAAGTAGCACCCGTAACGCCCCGCAATCCAATATTCCGTCCAACACCCAATTCAATCCACCATTTCGTTGATATCGTACAAGACATAAATGCTTCCTTGACTTCTGCCAAGTAGCTTAAGTTAGCTTGCTCCAGTCCCGGCTCGTTTTATGCCCCCAGCCATTTCCTTTCGCTTGACCAGCAGACTTTTCACCGCTCCCAACCACCGAGCAAGCCCATCGTCATCTGGTGCACACATGCGGTAGTTGCGCTCTTCGGTGATCAGCTGCATGCAGAATTGCTTGCTTTTGCTAATGGGATTGATCTCGACGGCATCGATAATGTTGTGGAATGGGATGAGCAGCACTACTGCATACTCTTCTTCGTTCTTGTACAGCGCCAGCGACTTTGGTCGCAAGACCATCCATGACTTTTTCCATTGTCGGACCCCTGACTTTGACTTGAGCATGTATATCCATCCTTGACAGATGACTCTTTCTTCGTCTTGTTTCACCGTCTGTATGCCTGACGTTTGACTGACGTTGCGTGGTGCCAGAGGGGTGCGCGTGTTGGCACCGTAGATGGCATTGGCACCAGCCGACGTGGACATGTGCTGAGATTGATTCTCTGCCAAGGTGAGTGATAGGGATGATATGCGAGCCGAAGGGCCTTGGGAATCTGAAAAGTCAGAGTATGAAGCGTTCTCAGGGCCAGAGTAGTCGAGCGTGTGCGAGGGCCTGCGTTTGCTATGCAATGCATGCCTGGACCGACGTATCGGAGGGTTATAGACGGGAGTATCTGCTTCCGAGGAACTATAGCCTTGGGGAATGTCCTGATTGATGGTGTGATCCGTGTGCCTCTCAAAGCCGCGGTAGGTGCTTTTCGCACCACCAGGGCTGGCCAAGACTATCTCTTCCTCGTTCTGGTCAATACGAGCCTCACGCCTGATGAGCTGGACCCAATCCTGAGCGTCCTGGTCCGAGGCGGCCTCCAGGTGGTAGTTCCTCGAAGGGGAGAAAAGGGCAAAGACATGCTTGGCCTTGCCTTTCGGGTCCTTCTGACGGGCAATGGCAGTGAGATCGGAGAGGGTGATTTGGTGACGGAGATTCGACTCGGTCTTGTCACGGTATATGGAGAGAAGATTGGGCCTCAAGACAATGTAGATGGACTTCCATGACTTGATCTTGCGGGTGCGCTTCGAGACTTGACCGGCCTTGATGATGCGATCGAATTCGAAACTGCCGTTCTGATTGACGGGCGAGAAGGTGTCGAGAGTGAGCTGACCTCCACGGAGGTTCTGAACCGACGAGGGCAGAGATTGAGGATTCGGAGGAGTGATGTTGATCTTGTTGGACTGCGTGTCGATTGGACGAGGGGTAGCGTGGTGATGCGGCGGTTGCGACATGACGGCAGCCATTGCGAGTCTGGCGATGGAGACGATGCGGCGAGGGGTCACATATGTGAAGAGTCGGAAAGGATAAACACGGCGGTCAAGAAGGCTGGGCGAACGAGGCAGGCGCAATAACAATAAATAAAGCAGACGAGGAAGTCGCTCTCGGGAATGAGAGGCCCACCACCAAGCCGATCGACGGTGACGTCTATAAACGAAAGCTTCCAGTCAATTGCCAAATGTCGGGAGCAATCAAAGCTGCACTTTACAATAATATTGGTGCTGCTTCTGTTCCTCCGGCTTGCTGCTATTGTATCGACATTACCACGTCAACCCTTCGACTGCCTCATCTCGCCTGTCGCCTGTTCCCGCCGTCAGAGCGCATCCTGAAACCCCTCCGAATCGAGGATCGTCATTAGCCAAAGCCCCAAAATTATCCAAAGCACTTTTTGCACCAAATCTACGAGGTCCCACCCGTTCGTCGCATCCACGTCTCGCCATGCCTGTCGTGCCGCCCGAGAAGCTCATCAAGCTTCAGCATGCCGCCGATGGCATTCGAAACATTTGCATTCTCGCCCACGTCGACCATGGCAAGACGTCGCTCTCAGACGCCCTCATCGCCACAAATGGAATCATCTCACCAAAGCTGGCTGGTAGGATCCGCTACCTCGACTCGCGCCCAGATGAACAGCTCAGAGGAATCACCATGGAGTCTTCGGCCATCTCCTTGTACTTTTCACTCTTAAAACGTTCTGCGCCAGACGCTCAACCCGAGCAGAAAGAATACCTCATCAACCTCATAGACTCCNNCCCTGGCCACATTGACTTCAGCAGCGAGGTATCTACTGCATCGCGACTGTGCGATGGTGCTGTTGTGCTGGTAGACGCCATCGAGGGTGTCTGTAGTCAAACAGTCACCGTTTTGCGACAATGTTGGAACGAGAAGCTCAAGCCTTTGCTTGTCATCAACAAGATGGATCGTCTAATCACCGAATGGAAGATGGGCCCTCACGAGGCCTACATACACTTGAACAAGACCATCGAGCAAGTAAACGCTGTCATGGGTAGCTTTTTCCAAGGTGAGCGTATGGAGGACGACTTGCGCTGGCGCGAGAGGGTCGAAGAGCGTGTGAGCGCAAAGTCCACAAAGGACACTGTCGTCGATGATGATTCGAGTGTTCCCACCTCCGACGTCCCTGCCGAGTATGAGGAGAAGAGTGATGAGCACATTTACTTTGCTCCCGAGAACAACAATGTCATCTTTAGTAGTGCCATCGACGGATGGGCTTTTACTCCTCGTCAGTTTGCTGCTATTTATGACAAGAAACTTGGCATGAAGCGTGAGATTCTGGAAAAGACTCTCTGGGGCGACTTTTACCTTGATCCCAAAACTAAACGTGTGCTTGGAAGCAAGCACTTGAAGGGCAGGAACTTGAAACCCATGTTTGTCCAGCTGGTCCTCGAGCCCATCTGGGCCGTCTATGAGGCCACCACTGGCGGAGATCACGGAAAAGGGTATGTTGCCATGCCTGTCCGTTCACTATGCGAGTTCATCAAACTAACCCGAACAGTNGACCCCGCTCTCCTTGAGAAGATCACAAAGTCATTGAACCTTACCATTCCCCAACACATCAAGCGCTCACGCGACCCTCGTGCCTTACTAACCACAGTCTTTGCAAGTTGGCTACCTCTTTCTACAGCTCTGCTTGTGTCGGTAATCGAACACTTGCCTTCTCCTGTCAATGCTCAAGCAGCTCGTATTCCACCTCTTCTGGAGGCTTCACCTGGCGCTGACCATATCGATCCCAAGGTAACTACTGCCATGACAGAATCGAGAAAGTCAACAGAACAACCTGTTGTCGCGTATGTCAGCAAGATGGTATCGGTGCCCGAGAGTGAACTTCCCATCAACAAGCGACGAGGTGGTGCACTCACCGCAGAAGAAGCTCGCGAGCTGGGTCGTAAGAAGAGAGCCGAAATCGCCAAGGCACAAGCCCTTGCAAATGGTGAGAATGCCGATGTTGACGATATTGCCGACGCTCTTAGCACAGTGGCTATTGGGGAGGACGATGACACCGACTCCGCGCCTCAAGGTGAAGAAACAGAGCAAGAAGACAAAGAACATCTCATCGGTTTTGCACGTCTCTATTCTGGTACCTTGACTGTCGGTCAGGAGGTCTATGTCCTTCCGCCCAAATTTACTCCCGCCAATCCGAGGGCCGCTCCCGAGCCCAAAAAGGTTACAATTACTGCTTTGTACCTTCTCATGGGTCGCAGTCTGGAGGCTCTCAACTCTGTTCCCGCAGGCTCCGTCGTCGGTATCGGTGGTCTCGAGGGTGCTATTCTGAAATCGGGCACTCTTTGTTCTCAGCTCGACGGCGCACCCAATCTCTCATCGTCCTCTGCTATCAGCACAAATGCTCCCATTGTCCGCGTTGCGGTCGAGCCTGCGTGGCCGGCAGATTTGGACAAGATGGTCAAGGGTCTACGTCTGCTCGAACAGGCCGACCCTGCAGTCTTGTACGAACAACTCGAGAGTGGTGAGCACGTTATTCTTACTGCTGGCGAGTTGCATCTGGAACGCTGCTTGAAGGATCTGCGTGAGCGCTTCGCCAAATGTGACGTTCAAGCTGGAGAAGTCATTGTGCCCTACAGAGAAGGTATTACCAACTATGTCGCCTCTTCGACCACGGAAAACAGAGAAGAGATGAACCCGCCCAAATACCCCGAGCTGGGCAGAGGTAGAGTCGATGTTGTTACCACCAGTAAGCAGATCACGGTGCGCCTGAGTGTACGACCTCTACCTGAAACGGTCACGCACTTCCTCGTCAAGAACACGGCTGCGGTCAAGAGGCTGTATTCCGAGAAGAAAGCAGTGCAACAAGATACACCTGTTGTTACCGAGGAGGTTGACGGACATGAATCTGAACATGAAGCCGGCAATGATGTCGGCACTGTCGAGTTGGGCCGAACATTGTCCATGGATGAATTCAAGGCTCAGCTGAGTTCAGCATTTGCCGAGATCAAGGGTGAGAGCGAGATCTGGCAGGATGCAGTCGAGAAGATTACAGCATTCGGACCTCGTAGAGTAGGACCCAACGTTCTGATCGATGCCACTCAGGGAGGTATCTGCGGCAAATTGTAAGTGTTGAATCAGACTCCATCATGATATCATAATGCTAACGACTTGCAGNNCCTACGCGATGTACAAGAAGATAATACCGACACCAACGATGAAGATGTTCGACCAGACCAACTACGCGCTCAAGACTTTGTCGATAAAATAACTTACGCCTTCCAATTAGCCACAAACCAAGGCCCCCTCTGCAACGAACCCATGCAAGGCGTCGCAGTCTTCATCGAAGACATCACCATCAACGCAACCTCGGACGAGCAACAAAACATGGGCCGTCTAACCGGCGAAGTAATCAAATCCACCCGCGACAGCATCCGCAACGGCTTCCTAGACTGGAGCCCACGCCTCCTCNNCCTCGCAATGTACAGTTGCGAAATCCAAGCTTCGGCCGAAGTCCTCGGCCGCGTCTACGCAGTGATAACCCGCCGCCGCGGCCGCATAATCTCCGAATCCCTGCTCGAACCCTCTCCAAACTTTACCATTGTGGCTCTGTTGCCCGTGGCAGAGAGTTTTGGCTTTTCGGACGAGATACGCAAACGCACTTCTGGCGCCGCCAGTCCGCAGTTGGTGTTTGAAGGCTTTGAAGTGTTGGATGAAGATCCCTTTTGGGTTCCTAGGACCGAAGAGGAGATTGAGGATTTGGGGGAAAAGGGAGATAGAGAGAATGGGGCCAAGAGGTATGTGGATGGTGTTAGGGAGCGCAAGGGATTGTTTGTGCAGAGGAAGGTTGTTGAGCATGGAGAAAAGCAAAAGACGTTGAAGAGGTAGATTTGTGTGTGTAGTGTAGTTTAGTTTTGTCTACAAGCTGAATATCCTCATGATCCTTCTCTCCGTCCTAAATATCTCCTGGAAATTCTTGAGAGTTGACTTTATCGCCTTGTCTTGATTGAACCGAGCAAGTCCTGCAGTGCTTTCGAGTCTTCATCATCGCAGTCAGGTTGACGTACGACATTGTCCTCGTCTTCTTCCCAGTCATTGTATGTTTTCTGCTCATTGTCGGCGCGTAACCAGTTATCCGGTCCCGTGCCTCGATCGAGATATTGATATCGCGCTGCCTGCAAGACACTGGTCAAGGTCTCCGCTTTGTCGTATGCGAGATGCTCGTCCCAGTCACCGTGGCCAAAGGCAAAGTGCCGGAGTTTGGGCAAGCCTTGTTGCAAGCGCGGGAAAATGTGGTGCCAGCGGGTGGGCCAGAGCCAATATTGCTTGGCCAATGCCGGCGATTGCGTGGGCTGGTATGAAGGGCGAGTGGCGAGATTTTGGAGGGGTGAGTAGACGACGCGGCGGCCATCAATGTCGACGCTTTCTTCGTAAAATGTTGCGCCGACTCCTATGATTGCATCGTCTAGGATCAATTCTTCGAGCGTTGCTCCGTGGCTGAGAGTCCAATCGATCTGATCATCATTTGTAAAGCTCATGTTTCCTAGAATCAAAGTGCGTAGTTTGGGTAATGTGGGAAGGTTGCACTTGGGAAACATGCCAATGTTTATGGCACTTGCATAGAGCTTGAGGTAGACGAGATTTTCGGCCACGGGCGCAATCCAGTAGGTCTGTAGTTCATGACCAAAAAAGTCATGGCATTCGGGAATTTGCAACGTGTTTTCTGGCGCGGCGCTGTCGTCTTCCGTGGCAACTTCGAGGCTGAGATGGGTGATACGTGACATGACTTGCTCAAAGTCTGCTTTGAATCCAGTGTCCTTGTCCTCGCCGTCATCGATTAGAGCTTGCGGAGTAAAGTTCTGCAAGTTCTTGATGCTCAGATTGTATACTTTGCTGGCGGGATGTTTGCGATGGTTGAGACCAGCGTAAAAGGCACTCAGGACCTGTTCTCGAAAGTCCATGGTTTCTGGGCACTCATCATCGTGGTCCCATGACGGACCAAAACACTCGGCCGAAAACACCATCTCCACATGGGTCAGATTAGAGAAACGACCGACTTGCTCCAGAGCGTCCAAGAAGAATGGATGGGGATCTTCATAGTCATCTCCAGGGCCGGGTTCGTGAGTAGCCCATTGCGATGTGCTACCTGCCGGCACCATCCTCGTCTGGAACACAACTTTCTGCACCTGCTGAGACAAACTAGCTGTGGCGAGGATGTTGTTGTAGTAAGCAGCAGACTGTTCGGTTGGCAGAAGCCGCAAACAACGGTATAGATGTGTCGCGCACACAGAAGAAAAGTGTCTCGAGGAGAGACGCAGATTACGGAGGCTAAAAACATTTGGACGTGGCATCGTGGCAAGCATAGTGTGCTGATAGCTCAGACTCGACGATGGCAGGTCGATGGCGGTGCTATATCTATCGTCATCGTCGTCGTCGTGATCTAATGACTGATCGTCATCAGGGTCAATCTCAGAGGTTTCGCCAATAGCGATGAAATCAACAATTCGAGAAAGCAGTTCCGGCGGAAGTCGAAGTAGTCCAGTCATAACCGGGAAAGACGTCGAGCGAAAGATGGAAGCCAAATTCAGTATGTATTGGCGTGAGGAACAGAAAGAGCGATTGCGAAGAACAAGGCGATGGTGGCGTGGTAATGGTAGAAGTAACTCAAATTGATGTCAATGATGGATGGAAACTGGTGTAAACCGATCCGATCATGTAGATGACAACCGGCGCTCCTTTCCAACGATGTCTTGAAGATTGTCCACTTGGGTTCCCGCGTGCACGGACAATATGACTGCCTGGCCCTGGGATGTGATTGTTTCCTTTGGGCAATGCAACCTCACATTGATGGTTCTCACAGCGAGTCGGGTAGTTGAGCTTTACTGCTTGCTATATGCTTGATTTATATGTAACTTTCCTCGAACTTCGGGTTGTTGTCGGACAAGGCACAATAACATGCTCATGCTTTAGCTGTTGCAGTGTTGACCCTGTTCATCATGCTCGGTGCAAAGCCATCCCCAGCAAGGTCTGCCTCAACCTGTGTCAAGTGAGCTTTCTTCTGCTTTGTCCATCTCAAGATGGCTGCTTTGTAGCCTGGGTACCATCATGATCTATCATACCCCTGCTCCCCTGCACGCCGCAAAATGGCAATGGTAAGCCACTTCTTCCTCTCCGTGACATTTTCCCTCCCTCCGTCTTTNNTTTCCTTGACCCACTCTCTTCTGACGCCTTCAGCGTCTTCTTCGTAAATCTCCTGCACCTCGAGTCCCTTTTCTGCAGCTACATCAAAGAAAGCCGCCAGTTTTGCTCTTCCCGTGTGGAACCCGCCAATGGCAAGCACACGCGCATCCGGCGAATCAGAGAGAAAGTGCAACATCGACGCCGCCAGGTTTTCGTGTTCCCAGGGCATCCAGAAGCAGTCGGCTGCTAGCACGCGGCTAAATTTTGCAGCGTGAGAGACGGCAAAGGCAGAGGAGAAGTCGCCCCATGCATGACCTTGCACTGTTGCTTTGGGGGCCAGCGTCTCTGGTAGATTATGCTTTACATTGCGGGAGAGATTGTCGAGGACCACTTGAGCTGGATAGTCTGTGATGCACACGTCGTTTGCGCCGGCTAGCGTACTGGTAATGCCGACTAATCCCACGCCTGTTGATTGCGTATATCATCCATCAGTTTTCCTTGCTCTTGTTTGTAGTTGTTGATGGGGCAAGAGTCATCCCGCACCTGCACCGAGTTCGAGCACCGAGTGATCTTGTACACTCCACTGCTTCTTTTCCTCGTCGTTGAGCAATCGCTGGCCGCTAACGCGCTCGGCCATTAGGATGCCAGCATTCCAGAGGTAGTGGCTGAACAGTGTGCGTTCTTCTTCGCCATTGGGGTCGGCGGTCGTGAGCGAGAGGTCGCCAAAGCGGTCGGACTTGTAGACGATGGTGGAGCCGGTGTCGCCGTGTTGATTGCGCAGGTCGTCCGTGAAGAGGAAGCCGGGAGCTGAGGCAAAGATGTCTTCGGGCGAGTCTTCCTCTGTAGCAGGAATTTCTCGGATCAGTTCTGTGAGGCTGAGCATGGTGTGTAATTACGTGCAAGACGGAGCCTGTTCGTTTGGATGTGTGTTTGGCTTTTGGCTGATCCGGTCGTCCCTCTGTCTGGACAGCCCCGCAATTGACCCCCACCCGAGGCTCTGTGGACTATGGGAGATTTATAGATATATCTCATCTACATGATTATTGCTTGCATCCCTATAGATACCAATCTCGCAGCCTTCAAGAACACACTGGACTAGATCGTGCACCATTACCACTTGCAGCCCCAATACACCACAAACCAACTCCACCAATGTTCACCCTCATCAGCGCCACACCCTCNCCCTACGCCCGCAAAGTCCGCATCGCCCTCGCCGAAAAGAACATCCCTTTTACCCTCCAAACAGAAGTCCCCTGGGACTCCACCACCTCAACACCAACCTACAANCCCCTCGAAAAGCTTCCCGTCCTCATCCTCGACGACAACAAATCCGCCGTGTACGAATCAAGCTACATACTTGATTGGCTAGAAGCAAAGTATCCAGACACTTCGCTGTTGCCAGATACCAAAGATGTGGATAGAAGATTGTTGGCGAGAAAGATAGAGGTCGTGTGTGATGGGATTTGCGATGCGTTGGTGTTGGCGTTNTTTGAAAAGATGAGGGAGGAAGATAAGAGGAGTCAACCGTGGATAGACAGACAGATGAGAAAGGTAGAAGGTGGGCTAGAAGCATTGGGCCAATGGGCAGAGAACAAAGAGGGAGAGTTTCTCGTGGGGAGTAGGTTTGGATTGGCGGATATCGCTGTCGGCTCTGTTTGTGGTTATTTGGCTGTGAGGTGGCCAGACAATGGTTGGCAAGACACATATCCGGCTTTGAAGAAGCATTGGCAGATGCTGGAAGAGAGACCCAGCTTTCGAGACACGAAACCGAGTCCGCAGACCATGAAGGACAAGGTGGTTTGATCTGGCATGACTATCTGGTATTATTTCATCCTTGACATCAAGCTTCGGCCTTGCGCTTCTTTCCTCTTCTCTTTCTGCTTCCACCGGATGTGTCCTCGTTGCCTTGAGCAGGTGCTTCCTCGCCCAAAAACTCCTTGAAACCACCAGTGAAGCCTTCTTCGTTGCCGAATGTTTCTTTGCGCCATTGTCGTAGACGAGCCTTCTTGCCAAGCTTCTTCTTATCCTTCTTCTTCTTGTCTTCGTCACGCCATGTAGCCAACTTCTTGAGGCCGGCATATTCATTCAGTGCAGTGTCGTCGGCAAAGAGAATATCGCGTGCCGTCAAACCGAATGATGTTGGCGACGTCTCGCGGTAGCGAAATCCAGCAGTCTTTGTCGCAACGGGAAGATCTCCAGTCAAGTCTGCATCCACGAGCTCTTCGATGGCCATGCGTTCCTTGCGGGCGACGCGTCTCTTGTCTGCAGCCTCCTTGAGTCGATCTTTTTTCGTCTTGCGTTTGACACCATCGGGAGCAATGATGTTGTCGTCGTCATTCTCCTCTGCCTCCTCTTCCTCCTCTTCATCTGATCCAGCCAACTCACCCCTGAGCTTGGCTGCCTCTGCCTCCTCATCGAATTCGGGCACGAGGTCGTTGATGTCGATGTCATCATCCCACTTGGGCTTGTGAGGCTTCTTTGATGTGTCTGCTTCTTCCTCGTCCTCGCCATTCTCGACCATGGCTTCCTTGTCGGCATAGTAGTTGTCGCCAAACCGACGCTTCATCTCTTGTTCCCATTGATCATCATCCCAGTCCTCGTCCAGTACTTGCTTCCAGTCTGCAAGATCGAGTGCCTGATTCTTGAGGCCAGCAGCCTCCTTGATCTTCTTGACCTTCTCTTCAACCTCGTCAATCTTGAGTTTTCTGAGTCTGGCCTTTTCCTCTGTGCGTTCGCGCTTCTCGGCTTCCTTCTTTTCGCGCTCCTTTTCACGCTGCTTCTTTCTGCCACTCTTCTCCTCTCTGCGAGCACTCAACTTGGCGACATCACGAGAGAAGGTCATGAGCTTCTCATTGGCCTTGGTGGGATCTTCGAAGCGCATGTTGTAGGCATCCTCGAACATCTCGGCACGCCTCTCATCCTCGGAGTCGTCCGAATCGAAAGCGTCAAAGCGTGACTTCTCATCAGGAACCCATGCACGGGATTGGATAAAGTTTGACAGGAAGGTCTCGGGGTCCTTGTCGGCAACCTGGATGTCGCGTTCAGTGATCTGGGGGCGGGCGGTAGTGTTAACAGATTGAGCAGGAGCCTGGCCAGGCTTTCTGACAAGGAAGTCGTCTTCGTCGTCGGCTTGGTCATCAGCCGTGGCGTGCATTTGGTTGATCAGGTCGTCCTTGAGAGCTTGTTGCTCTTGGGCATATGTCTGCGGAGGGGCATCTTCTTCTTCATCAACCTGGGCGGTGCCATTCAGAAGATTTTGACGATGATAGTCGGCCAAGTACAGGGGCTTTTCCTTCTTGCTTCCGTCGTCGTTGGCTTGGTCGGCTTCGAATGGCGTGTAGAAAGTGACTTTGGGGTCGTAGACGCGCGGGTCCTTCTTCTTGATGGCATTGAGAGTAGCGAAAATCTCATCGTCGAGGTCGGCAGTGGCCAGCTCGGCGGCATCGTCTTCATCTTCGTCGGTCGACTCGTCGTCGTCAGAGTCTTCGTCCTTGTACTTTTCCTCGACTGTGTCGTGTTAGTGGTGGAAGGACAAAGGAGTGAGCGAGGTAATATTACGTCTTTGCTTCTCTTCGCGCTTCTTGTTGTGCTCGAAGCGTTTGGCAAACTCCTCGTTGATGGTGAGGTTGACAGCTTCGTCGTCGGAAACGGCGTCTTCGTCAAAGAGCTTTGTGCGCTTGGATGGGGGCTCTTCGACAGGCACGACAGCCTTGTTCTTCATCTTGCGGGGCATGTTGGCGACAATAGTGGGACAGAAAAAAAGTAGCAAGATGCAGCTGACGGCGACATAGAATTTGGCAGGGTCTTTGTCGATGGAGATATGCAGTCACGGCAGTCTGAAGAATACGCGGCAGTCAGGAAAGAAGGTCTGAGCACTTCCGAGAGGCGCCGCTCCGCATTTGAAACGTAACCGGCGCCGGCGGCAGGAACGAGGGTCCCTGTTGCCAACGCTTAGGCTCTTGGTGCTTGAGGCTGAGCGAGTGGTGGTGGCACTGTGGCAGGCAGTGACGCTGTCGTCAGTCAAAACACGCGTGCCCACGGCCTTGTTTCAACAATCTGTTCCAGTCCTGTACCGTAGCTAGCGTCCACTCTAGCATAGCTGACGCCGTATCGCAATACGCTTGCTCTCCAAAAGACTCACCCTTGACCTCGACCACAACCATCCCATGATCTCGTGCCTCGTCGACTGAGCCGTCCGCCATGGCCACCCCAGACGATGCTGACAACGGCCTCCAGCCCAGTCTACAACCTGTCGGCCGTCCACTGGACCTCGTGCCTGTCCAACTCAAGGAAGCCGCCCTAGACTCGCCCACCTTCCGCGCTGTTGCCGTCCACTACGCCAACCAGGTCGAGGGCGTCGAGAAATGGCTTCGCGACTACGTCAAGCAGAGTCAGAAGTTTGCCGACCGCTTCGCCAGTATCCAGAAAGAGTTCGACAACTTTGATCACTTCCCGCCCCCACCACCAGAGAACCTCAGTCAGGCCGTCCTAGACCATGACTACACCTTGCTGGCCATCACCCGCTACAGCCAAAACACTACACAATACTTGAATTGGGTCTTCAACAATGTCGCTCGCTCGCGCCAGACCATGATCGATCCGTTGTTGCGCTTCATCGACGGCACCGACAGCCCTCTCCGTCAGTTCAACCAAGCTCGCAAGGCTCTGGAGAGAACCCAAGCCATATTTGATGCCGAGATGACCAGATATCTTGCTCAAGCAAAGACAAAGGAAGCCTCTTCGCTGCGCGAGGATGCTTTCAAGCTGCACGAGGACCGCAAGGCCTACCTGAGAGCTTCCATGGACTACTGTATTATGGCTCCCAACCTTCGCAACTCGCTCGACCAACTGCTCATCAAGGTCTTCTCTGATCGCTGGAAGGACTTTCGTGGCTACCGTGACGCTACATCTGCCAACTTCCAGAAGTGGGGCTCCGAGTTGGAGCGCATCCGTGGTTGGAGCAAGGTCATGCACGAGTCCGAGTCGGCATTTAAGCGTGAATTGATGGTCGCCCGCCGTCAGCTTGAGGACTCTGCCGAGACTAAAGCTCGCCCGTCGCGTGAGATGGATGATTATGCCGTATCTACGGTGCCATATCTGGGCTCTGGTGCTCCCACTTCACCTGTCAAACCTGCCTATACAAAGCCTGAGAAACAGGGCTGGCTGTTTTTGAAGACTGTACCTCCCAAGCCAGCCAGGCCATCGTGGTCGCGACGTTGGTTTATCGTCAAGAATGGCATCTTCGGTTGGCTAGTCCAAGGTAGTGTCTCGGGCGGTGTCGAAGAAAGTGAAAAGATTGGTGTCTTGCTCTGCAGCGTTCGTCCTGCCGTGCAAGAAGAGCGTCGATTCTGTTTCGAAATCAAAACCAAGGATACGAGTATCATCCTACAGGCCGAGACTCAAGGGGAACTCTTGGAGTGGATCAACGCGTTTGAGAGCGCAAAACGCAAAGCTCTCGAGGAACCACGAGGCAACTCTTCTATACCGACACCTGGATCTGACCCTGCCTTTGCCATCAGCCCACCTGTCGATCCATCTTTTGCTGCCAAGTTGACTGATAGCTTGGCTCACTCGACTGACGAGTTCGGTGCATCCTTGTCTCCGCCTGAACTGGCTTTGGCTAGCAGGAGCAGCTTCGATGTCAACCCCTCAAGAAGATCGACTATGTTGGACTCTGAAGGCACTCGCGATACTGCCAACAGGATCATCCAGAAGCTTGACTTGCACAGGAGAGGTACGGCATTGTCTCCCGGTAACCAGCCTGCTCCTGCTGGCGGTATAGCTAGTTTGCTCTCAGCCAGTCATAGCGTTTTACCTATCGGTCCTGGCCCGGCTCATACATCACCCAACCTGGGACAACACCATCGCTCCTTCACCATGCCTGCTACAAGCAACTTTGCTCCTGTCACACTTGCGAATCCTCCGGCTCCCACCAATCTCAGTAGAAGAGCCGTGGCAGTAAGTGGTCAACGTGCTTCGAGCGGTAAATCCGATACCTCAGCCATGCCTAGCAGTTTAATGGCAAATCTATGGGGCTCCTCGAATTGGGTCAACATCAACCGACTGGGTCGTGACGGACCCAAATCCGAATCAATATCGAGACCTTCGGTAAAGCCTACGGGTCAGTACCATGATGATATGGCCATCATGGAGGGTATGGAACCCGCCAAGGATCTCAGAATGGCTGAAGTTGGATCCAACATGACTCCAAGCCGCATCACACACCGTAAGACCAGTAGTTTAGGCGACGCCCTCGATTCCCCGTCACAATCTCGACTGCCGCTCGTCCCCGTTGATGACCGTCAAACAGACTATCCGGTATCCCTAAAGACGGATGATGTACTTGTACTCAAGGAACATGACGCAGAATTCCATGTTCTGTTTTCGTCCGCACCACGTTCTGAAAGGGTAGTTCTTGTCTTCACCGCAATGTGGAATCCAAACGAGCAACAAGAGTTCCCAGGCCGCATCTATGTGACCACCGAAAAGATTTACTTCTACAGTAACCACTTTGGAATGGTTCTCGTAGCCGAGATCAGCTTATCATCAATCACAGAGGTCACCGCTGCTCCAGGTCGAGAGAGCGAGTGTGATTATCTGTTCTTACATCTCAAGGAAAGCAAGACAGACTTCAGACGTGTCACTGTCAAGACCTTCTTGGACGCTTTGAGACCACTGCAGCGCAGACTTGACTACCTTGTACAGTCTGCAAACTCAGAACAGCATACCTCGTTAGAAGATGTCTTTGCGTCATTCTCAAGAATAGCGACGGAAGATTCTCAAGATAATGCACAAGACTGGGACGAGGACTTGCACTCTCCTACGGATAGTGATCTCAGAATCACGAGAAACCGTTCAAGAGATCTCAGAGCAAATCTACGCATCGACGGAACACTGTACGGTGAGTCGGTAGCACGAACAGGCAGAGAAGTCACCAAGTTCAAGCTGCCCTCCCAACCTGTACTGTACAGGCCAAAGGACATGGGAGACGCTGTTCTTGCTCAAGATTTCAATCTCAGTGCTAAGGCGCTATTTCATGTTATGTTTGGGGACAGGAGTGCAGTCTTCCAGATGTTGTACAAGAACCGCCCGATTGATAGTGAGTGGACCTAGCGTGATATGACTTTCTTGTGCTAACTCCTTACAGACATCATCTTGACTCCCTGGACGCAGCCAAAAGACGGACAACTCTCGAGGCAACTGATCTGTGCCATCGGCCCGAACCAAGAGACAGACAGACAAACGCTGGACGTGTGCAATGACCACCTCTGCTACGTTGTGACCCAGACACAATCACCTTGGCAGCTACCAATGTCCAAAAACTTCCTTTTGCTCAGCAAGTTTGTCATAACTCACTCGGCAAAGTCTAAGTGCAAGCTTGCCATCTTCAACAAAGTGGTATGGAATGGAGATGCTGGGGTCGATCAGCGACTGTCATTGTCGCAGCGCCTAGTACAAAAGCAAGCTCTACGTGATTATCAAGACGACGCTGTCGATCTAGCTGCTGTGATCACAGATCAGGTATCAAAGCTCGGCGCACACAGTACAAACAAAGCTGCACAAATCTTTGGCTCCGTCGGCCAAAGCACACGGACGAGCCAGGTTTCGGCATCGAACTTGCCAGCGTCCTCGATCAACCGCACAAGACGCAAGGTCAAGATTCGCACTCTTACCAATCTCTACACTGATGAAGTGCTCGCCCAAGCATTCCGTCTATTCACAATGTTGATTGATTTGTTCATTGCGATTGCAAAGTCTCTCGCAGGTGTCGTCACAGCACACAAGATCCTTGTACTGGTGCTCGCTTTCAGTGCTACTTACAATACTTGGCATGGATACCGAGATGGGCTTGCTTGGTATGACGAACGCAATGCTGGCAAGTTCATGGCGAGACTTGGTGTGAAACCCGACCCCACTGTCACAAGGGCGGTCTACTTGAATGACATTGAGGAGCTTGTGGCCCCGACTTTGATGAGTACTATCGGACTGAACTCTACAATCTCGGACGAGGCCAACCAAACCTGGAACACGTGCCATGGTACATTCCGCGACATGCTTGCTTCCTCTGAACCTGAAGCGCCCGTCACAATATCCAAGGGCTCGAGCAAGCGATCACAGCAAAGGCTACAGCGCACGCGACACTCTCTCGCGCGCTATAGACACGATCTGCTGGTGGCGCTTCGAGTTGTCAATCGTGTCGAGGAAGAGGTGGTCCATGCCGAATGGGAAGACTGGGTTTTGGAAGAGGAAAGAAAGTGCACCAAGGTCGAAGGCTTGATCCAGTCGCGCAAGGCAGGCGGCGGACAATCCAANAAGTCAGAGCAGCATGACGAGAACAACGACGACCTGGGCGATGGGTTTGCAGAGTATTGTCGTAGCTGCAAGAGCGAGGCCAGACAAATCTTGTCGAGCAAGTGACATGTTTCTGCTGTTGAGGAAAAGTGTATATCAGCACCACTATAACAGACATTCACTGCGCCGTAGTGCTTTTGAATTTCATTCTCGAATTAAAGTTATCACTTTCCGGCTTGTGTGATGAAGCATGTCACTGCCGCGCCGCAAGAACGCTTGAAAGTCATTGAAGTCGAAACACGTGCGTCTGGCAGAGAAGATTGCAATCCTTCCACAACGTTCGGCATCGCTCAACTCCGCGCAATCTGCAACTGGACGGAAGATAAGGGTACAATTGCACCTTGATTCTAGTGTCACAGCATGTCACCGATTGGCTGTGGGGTTTTGAGAAAAAATCCCATCGAACCCCAGATATGTGTGGGGGAGGAAAGAAAGTTGTCATTGATGGCTTTTGATTGGTTGTGGCGAGGTCAATCTTGCCTAGTACAGATCTGATAAAATAAGCACGCATCTTTCCTTTCTCGAACGACGGTTCCTCTTGCCCAGACCATACACCTCGAAAGAACAAGAAGTGAATACTACTGCTTGAAACAAGAATCATTTCTTTGCGACCTGAATATTTAACGGAGACATAGAATATCGTAACACATCTCTTTTTGGAGCGAATCTCGCCACAAAGGGACAGACGCCATGTCGAAATGGCCAGATGCGACAAACAAATACGCAGCGACATCCAGGACACCAATGCCAGAAGATGATATATCCAGCTCGCCACCATCTGTCATCCCCTCGGATATGGAGAAACAACAGATCGAGGAAAACATTTGCCCGGACAAGGTTTCTGCATTCAAAGGCCTAGGCTGGCTAGATCGTTTTCTGGCAGTTTGGATTTTGCTGGCTATGGCTATTGGAATCTTGCTAGGGAATTTTGTACCGCAGACAGGGGAAGCATTGCAGAAGGGACAGTTTGTGGGTGTGAGTGCGCCGATTGGTGAGTTTTTTGCAAGAGGCTTCCTAGAGGCCTGATTGGGAAAGGGGGCGAGCGATGACTGACAGATTGAGAANATAGCGGTGGGATTGTTGGTCATGATGTATCCCATCTTGTGCAAAGTGCAATACGAAACCTTACATCTCGCCTTCAAAACACGAGAATTATGGATTCAAGTCGGTTTCAGCATTATTGTCAATTGGTTGATTGCACCATTCTTGATGCTCGGGCTTTCGTGGGCATTTCTTCCTGACGAGAGTGGATTGAGAGAAGGACTTATTCTTGTGGGAGTGGCGAGATGTATTGCCATGGTGTTGATCTGGACTGGTCTTGCTGGAGGAGATTCGCAGGTAAGTGCCCTCTTCTTGCGATTGTTGGCTATCGCGTTTGCTGACTTGAGAAACGAATAGTATTGCGCCATCCTCGTCGCCATAAACTCCATCTTGCAAATGGTGCTGTTTGCACCTTTGGCCATTTTGTTCATCAACGTCATCAGTGACCCGGACACCAAAATCGAAGTCGAGTATAGCACCGTGGCCACTTCTGTGGCAGCTTTCCTCGGGATCCCTCTGGCTGCTGCCATCATCACTCGCTTTGCCATTCGCAAATTCTCGGTCCAATGGTACGACACGGTGTTTCTCAAGTGGGTGGCCCCATGGTCCCTCATCGGCCTCCTCTACACCATCATCGTCCTCTTCGCATCCCAAGGCCACCGCGTAGTCCACCAAATCGTCTCTGTCGTCCGCGTCGCCGCTCCCCTCATCGTCTATTTTTTCGTCATTTTTTCCTTGACACTATACGTCACGCACAAACTGGGCTTTGGGTACAAGTTATCCACCACTCAGGCTTTTACGGCCGCGAGCAACAATTTTGAGCTTGCGATTGCGGTGGCGACGGCGACGTATGGGGCTGATAGCGATCAGGCGCTTGCTGCTACTGTGGGTCCGTTGATCGAGGTGCCCGTGTTGCTTGGGTTGGTGTATGTGGTAAGATGGATTGGAAATCGAAGGCAGTGGAAAGCGTGAGAAAGGAGTATTGATGAATATGAAATGTGTTTTTTCCAGCCTTTTGGTGCGGTAGAACCTTTTGGGATAATGATGTATGATGTTTAGATTATGGGTCTTGTGTGTTGTCTACTGTATCGAGTGTTTCTCCTTGCAAACAGGTAGGGTCATCACCTATCATTGCGAGCGAATGTCTTTGGTGAATACTATGAACATTTGGGTGTTCCAAGACTGGTAACATGAAGATGCCGAGATCTTTAGGAAGGGGCTTGAATACTACTCGCTACAATCTCATTTTGTTCCCTTTGCTCATGTGTGTGCTGGACTCTGCGACCATGAACAGTATTACTTTTATAGACTCCACTCTTTGGTCCAATGTCGAGATAGTCCCGAGTCAGGTTTGATGGCATCCGATTCGCTTGAGACCGCCGACACAGGACAATCTATCTTCGCGAGGCTTGACATCGACTACCACTTTACTCTTGGATGGAACAAGAAAGGTAATCAGGTCTGTGAGATCAGGGTACTAGATTTTGCTTCCATCGTGTGTGACACAAGGTCGATGTCGGATTCGATTGATCATCTTGTGGACTCATAAGTAGAAGACCGAGGGAGAACAGTACTCAACTCACGAATTCATTGTGTCCGACGATACTCCAAGATCTCTCCCCTCCTTCGTTACTGCGGACTGAGTGGTTGCTCACATGTTTTTTTTGAGATGAGCTAAGAAGTTGAAGATCGAGTTGTCGCTCAGTCGAACTTTTCTTGGACGCAAGCATCTGCAATGATTGGAACGTGCCAAAGACCTTATCAGCAGGAGAGGTCGAAGCGGAAGACAGACCTTGGACGGACAAGCCAACTCGTTCGGATCAAAGAGTGTGGTGATTGGAAACTGGATGAGATCTTGTTGAATCAGTGACTGCAGCTCCTTTGCAGTGCGGTACACATAGTCTGGGTTCAAACAGGAAGAGAGTGATTTTCTGAATGGATGTCCTCTTCTATGACGATAAAGCATAAAGGGAAGGAGCCAACAAAGAACGAGTCTGGAAGGGACGACCACTCGCATTTGCGTCACAACATCCATCGGTGCAGCGACAGTCGACTCTGAATCATCGTGTCTCGATCGGCCATGCTGCTGGTGATTGACACGGCACATCAACAAACCGAAAAGCGCATCACTTGCATCATTTTCGACTCGACCACAACAAACGCTCTGTTATCTCTTGACGTGTCTGACTTTACGAACATCTCCATCATGGCTGAGCACGCTTCGAGGTATCTCTACAGTACATTCACCTTTACCAGAGGGTGCGAACTAACCAAATCNTCCAGTGTCTTCCAGTCGCGCCTGTTCACCTTCCGCGCAGGTGAGAATGGCGCCTTCACCACTATCCACTCTGGTGCTGTGGCCGCCGTCTCTAATCCTCTCAAGCTGATGATGGAGGAAGAGACCTCCGATGGATTCAAGACCAGTGCTACTCTGCACGGCGTGCGCGAAGAAGATCTTCTACGCTTCTGCGACTTCTGCTACACCTCAACCTACACGGATCCTTACCCTGTTGTCGTCAAGCCTGCCACTCCCTCCATTGAGTCTGGCGCCAGCAATGGACACGGCAATGGCGCAGGCACTTCTACCGCCTTGATCACCACCGACGACACGACCACTCAGCCACCAGCTGCAAAGCGCCCTCGCACCGAGTCGCCAGCTCGCTTCAATGGTTTCGGCAGACCTGGTGTGCTCGGCGCCTCACCCGCCCCCGAAGTCAACACCTCGCTCAACTTGAACAACAAACTCAAGCTGCAGAGTGTCTTCGTCAACACCACTTACACGACCGCCGCCCCCCGTGTCTTTGGCACCAACACGAAAAAGTCCAATGGCGTTTCGGCCAACGAGAATCACACCAATGTCTTTATCGCTCACGCTGCCATGCATGCCCTCGCTGTCAACTACGAGATTGGCAAACTCAAGACTTTGTCGTTGCAGAAGTTGGCCGACAAGTTGATGCGTTTCGATTGCAAGCCTGAGCGTGTCGGTGATGTGCTGGCATTGGTTCGCTGGGTGTACACTACCGAATCGCTGATGACCAGGGATATGTCAGAGCTCAGGGATGTCGTGGTCAGATACGTGGTCTCTGAGGTCAGTTGCTTTGGCAATAGCGAAGAGTTTGCAAACTTGTTGAAGGAGGGCGGAAGCTTTGTCAAAGACTTTTGGACCATGGTGTACAGTAACTTGCTCTAGGCGGGTGAGCAGGTGGAGAGTGAGAAAGACTTGCTCTAGCATGGCGAACAGACGGAGCTCGAGGAACAGAGGAAACCAGAGAAGCAGTTGACAAGGAACCAGAGGAAGATTCTGAGAAGGAAAGAAAGCAAGAAGAGGAAGCGAGAGACGGAGAATGTTCCGAACCAGAAGGAAAACACCCGTGAGCAAAAGGAAGAAGCGTAAAATGAGGGGAGACTCCATGAGGGAACCATGTCTTTCTTCCATCACACTCACAGGCGGAAGAAAGGCCGGAGGTTGAGAGATGGGTGGAAACAGAGTCCAAGCATCAGGAGAAATGACAGAGGAGTGGTCAATTAGCATCTCGCTTGTCAGGTACTTACACACATTGCTCCATGTATTGATCTTCCTTTACCCATCAGAACACAAAAGAAGAGAACTATTCATCATCAGTGATGTCCCTAACTCACCAGAAGATCTCCTATTTGCGCTAGTCCAAATCACAGAAGCTCTTTCTGAGCACCCTACCTTTGATCAGCCATCTTGACTTTGAGAAATGTGAGGCGCTCTTGGAACCACAACAGGATGCGAGTATTCCAGCAATAATCCTCTCAAAGCACGACGACCGCACATCGACCTTTTTACCAATCACCCATTCCAAGTATTCGTTTACCTTGCAGTCGTCCGTCATAAGCTTAGAAACTCGAGTGTGAGAGCTGAATCCAAATGTTAGCAATCTCAGCTGAAAACAGATCCACGCTGGAAGACATCAAGTAAGCAGGATCAAAAGAGTCAGCAAACTCAAAGGCTGAACTCCAAAGCAGACAAGGAAACCTAAGATCAAGTAAGCAGTAAGCACAAGCTAACTCACTCTGTTCCTCTCCTTCGGAGAAATGCGGTTGTCCGAACAAGTTCAACAAACCCTCCAAGGGTCAAAAAAGCCTTCGAGATGCTTGACCAGATCAGACCATATCACCTTTACCCGCTTTCGAAACCTGCTCTGTCAAACACCCTCCTCCGCGCCATCCGCGCTTTTACTCTAACGACAAATAGTTGATCGAAAACCTCGTATTGCAGTCTCAAACTCCGATCCACGTGCTTTCCCTCTTGGGTCGCCCATGCATCCCTCGGACTTTTATCCTTTGCTGCAGCTAGTAGCTCGCTTTGCCATTGCGGAAGTTGACGTTTCCGAGACGGCGTGAAACATAAAAGTTATGCAAAAGGAAAAGTGCGGGGAGAAGAGGTAGAGAATACGCAAAATTACGGTATACGCGATACGGCGTGCTTATACGCAAGCTGCGAGCCTGCAAAGCCTGCAAAGCCTGCATGCGGGTAAAGGTCGACTTTGCATGAGGGAGATTTGACTGCATGAGCAAGAAGAAATGACAAACATTGCACTCACCGGTCAGATGCAGGAGAACGTGTTTAAAGAAATCAGGTGACACCAATAACAACTTTCAGACAGGCAGAATCAAAAGGCGAAGAATGAAAGTTCATAAAATTCGTAGAATACAGTAATTTGTGTATCTTGTGTCAACACCTTGACACGGAAAAACGATATCAGTAATGTACAGCGCTCTGCGCATTGTATAAAAAGATAGAAACAAGACGTGAAAAAGGGATGTGGGTATAATGGTTTTTCCAAAGGTCCAGCCATCAGATAAATAGACAAAAAGTTGCAGTCCTCTCTTCTAACCAGCCATACCGCAAAACAGTTTTCGGAATCTGCTGCTCTTCTTGGTTTTGTTTGGCATGTTTGCTTCGATTTTACCGGCATCTATGCTATTGGTTGAAGTGGTCGAGCTTTCGCGCTTCTGGCGCTGGGAAGCGGTGACGGCAGGTTTACGATCAGTCTCCTTCGATCTGACCGAGTCGGTGCGGGTAGTGTGGTGTTCTTCGTCGCTTTCTTGCAGATCGAGAGCGGGAATCAATGGAGTGGGTGCCGAGGAGTGCTTTGAGGATTTGGCAAGCATGGCGGCGGTCGTCTCAACACTCTCTTCCTCTTCAGTCATGTCGTTGTGTGCAAGATCCATGTGAGCCAGACCTGATGCAGTCGTGCTGGCGGTATCAGCACGACGTCCTCGAGGACGCTTGGAATGAACCAAGACGGTGCTGGTAGAATCAGCGCGAGCTCGTCTAGCGCTGGCGCTTCTAGAAATAGGGACTTCCTCGGTCGAAGTAGAGCCATCAATCTGAGAAGAGGTGGAGCGTCGCTTGGCACCAGCAGAGCGGAACATACGAGCGATGCTGCCACTTCTTCTCGGAGTGTCATCCTTGGGAGTAGCAGCAGAAGAGAGGTCCGTGGGTGACTTGATGGGAGAAGTGTTGAGCTTGAGAGAAGGTGATCGTAGCATGAGATCGTCGTAACGATAGCCTGGGCACCAGCCCTCACGAAGGGTGACCCAGACGGCGGTAGCAGTGATCAAGGTCTTCAGTGACTGACTTGTGATGATAGGCTCGGACGAAGCGACAGACTCTTGGCCAGCTTCCTCGTGCTCATGATCCGAGATCTCAGGCGAGGNGGCCAGAGCTGAGGGAACAGTATAAGAGTCGTTGATGTCGAGAGATGTGGTCGTTAGTGATGCGATAACGGGATGGCGGCGAGAGTTTGGAGAGATGGTGCTGAAGTTGAATTTCTTGTTTTGGTTGACGCTGTCGGTGCCCCAAGTCGTTGTCATGTCCGAGGCTGATTGGCTTCGTCTGGCTTTGGGACGACGCAGGACCCAGCGTGCAGTCATGCCCAAGCCATGAGCGTCGGTACTAAAGAACTCGTACCCACCATTGGGCAGAGAGTAGGCTTCCCATTCACTGCCATCTTCGAGGAAGAGCTTCGCCTTGACTGTCGTGTTGCCATCGCCTTTTCGGCCCTTGCAGACGAGAGCCAGGACATCCCTTGACTCGTCCTCCTCTTTATGTGATGCTTCGTGTTGATGGTACTTCTCAGCCTTGACGATGGCCAAGTCGGCGGGGCAGAGGCCGTGACGAGTACGAAAGGCCTTCGAGATGGCGCGCGACAGCGAGGGAGAGAAGATGGCGGATGGTAGAAGCTCGTAGGCGGGCATGGGTCTCGAAGACTGTGACAACTGGTGCAATTGCAGGAGGGGTTTGGCGCGGACGTGGATCTTGTGTCGCGCACTGCCTTTGGGTGGTGCATGGGCGATGCTGTACGAAGTCTTGGGACGAGACGAGCGTTTCCTTTTCCCGCCATTGGAGCTCATCAGGGAGCCTTCACGAGAGGCATATTCGTCGTCGGTCAGCATCATGGGCAGTGAGTTTCTGTTTGGGTTGGTCCTCTGGCTTCGCGGGGTTGGAGTGTTGTCCTGCATTGGTAGTGATTCGATAGTGTAATTGTTTTGTTGGTGGGCTTTTGTATTCGCATGCCGGGAGTCGTCCAACGAGGCAGTCTTCTCGGTGGTTGGCGTAGTCGGTGTGGTAAAATAACTCATGAGCATTGTTGGCAGTGCAGATACCAGTCCGGGCTGGGGAGGGGCTGCTGCTGCGGCCATGTCGATCTCCGTGTTTTAAAGATGCTGCCTTGTTACAAAAATGGGGAAGCCGCGTTTGACATCCACAAGCCAGCTATTGTCCTAGGGTGCGTGTGCATGGGATTCCAGTGAGGGTGTAAGAAGATGCGATGAAAAGCTGCAAAGAAAGAAACCAGGTTGAAACGATGGCCAATTCTTGTTCAAAGTCAAGACCTTGGACCAAGACCACCATGTGCCTATTCCCGTACGACGCTCGTCAGATCTCCAACTGTCCGCGTATGGGTGGGTCGAACGCTCCTTGGCAGCCAAGCGATGGTCAGAAGGAATAAGGATGATGACACCAGCAGTAGAACAGGCCAACTACGATCCTTCGTGCTGACACGCTGTCTGGAAGTCGCAAATGATAGACAAAGTCGACGGTCAGACAGAGTGCTGCGGACGAGGGGCTATGCCTGCGTACATATACAATGCAATTGGGTTGCTACAGCGGCCTTTTGTCCCTGCTTGAACCTACCCGCTTTCGGTTAGCCTTGCGGCCGGTCGCGCTTTCCAGAAAATCTCATCATCAGCTCTGCACAAATCCGGGTTGCGGAACTCCAGGATCCAACTCGATCGGCACTGCAATCGTCCGCTCTCCGTCCGCATTCTCCGACTCGGCCTTTTGCAAGGCAGACGTCGCTTTCCATGCCTCATCCTTCAAGATCGCTCTCCATCATCTGATCAATATCCTCGTTCATCCGACTTTGCTCGCTTCCGCCCAGACCCGTTCGCTTTGTCCTCGTCAGATTTTGCATCCTTCTTGATTCTTTTTTTGTCAGGGGATGCTGCAACCGGAATTCCTTCAACGTCCGACTCCTTTGTTGTCAATACTCATTTCGTGTTTCACCCTTTTTACTTCTCTGAACACCACATGGCTCCTCCCGATCGATCGGCGTCCAGCCTGATGCTTGCCGACCTTCGAGCATTGGCTTGTCTGTTTGTCGCATGGAAGCTCTTGCTTCTCTGTATAGCTTATGCCAGCCCCGGACCCGGCTATGATACCTCTACCACGTTGCTCTTAGCCCGTGCGCAGCCCTCGGTAACTGAAAATACCCTTCTGGAAGACTTTGCGAAACGACTCGCGTCGAAGCTTGTCCGCTGGGACGCCTTGTACTTTGTCAGTGTTGCTCACCGAGGCTATCTTTTCGAACAAGAATGGGCTTGGGGTTGGGGCTATACGAGACTTCTCAATTTGGTTTCTAANAGGTTGGTTCAGTGCATGTGATTCTAGTAAGTGCCAAGGCTGAACTCAACCTCAGTCATACCTGGTGCTTCTTCACCATTGTTGATTCAGGCATATGCAGGAGTTTTGCTCTCACATGTCTCCCACCTGTTGTCTGTTTTCATGCTCTACGGATTGGTCCATCACCTCCCCATCATGAGTAAAGTCCAGCGTCGTAAAGTTGCTCTCGTCGCAGCATGCCTGCACATCTTCTCGTCTGCTGGTTTGTTCCTTTCTGCACCCTATGCTGAGAGTCTCTTTTCCATGCTGAACTTCCTTGGTGTCCTCTTACACACTGGCATTCCATGCGAAATGCCCCTTGATAAGTATGGACCTTCCTCATTGATCCGTCTGCTGTTGTCTGGTATTAGCTTTGGACTGGCTACCACAGTTCGTAGCAATGGCATCTTCAGCGGACTCATTTACTCTCATCATGTCTACATGTTGTTTCATTCTCGCATCAACATCCGCACAATTGCAACAATCACAGTCATCGGCTTGTCGGCCATGGCGATTCTGTCTGGTATGATTCTCCCACAGTACATGGCATACCAGGATTTTTGCGTAGCCCCAACAGATGGCAATACCAGACCTTGGTGTTCACGGACTTTGCCCAGTGTCTACTCCTGGGTGCAAGAACATTATTGGTACGTTCTCAGATGGCGCTGTGAAACTATCGTTGACATTGTCCCAGGNAATGTGGGCTTCCTCCGCTACTGGACCATCTCTAACATTCCCCTGTTCTTGCTAGCATTACCAATGCTGTGTATCTTGATTGGCACTGGACTTGCTGCTCCTGACATCAAGATGGACGTCCCTGGCCGTCGCTCTAAACATGCATCGGTTTACATCTTGTGTCTGGCTTCCTCTCAGATGTTGCTGGCGCTGCTAGCCCTCACGACCTTCCATGTTCAGATAGTCAATCGAATTGCTACTGGCTATCCGATTTGGTATGTCGTTATCGCTGCAGGCATTGTGTCACCGAATGCGTTGGATAAAGAGAACAAGACGACTCATTCGAGTGAAGCCAAGTCACTCGTTCGAAACGTGCAAGACCACCTGGGCAGACCATCGACACAACAACTCGTCTTTCGAGGAATGTTCATGTATTCCGTTATCCAAGGTGGGCTATACGCTAGCTTCATGCCTCCAGCATGAGCTTCAAAACTCTAGAAGACATAATGAGACTACCCAATACATCAACACTTCAAGCCATCTCCATATCGACCAGAATCTTCACGTGTCTGTCCTTCTCCTTGATCAACGCCAGGATACCTTTCTCGACCAAGTCGTTTAGAGGGATCTTGCGTGTGATCATCTTGTTGGGCTGCAGTCTGCCATCAGCAATGGCCTTGATTACTTCCACAAAGTCTTTGCGTTGGTAACCCAGCACGCCGACGTATTTTCCTTCGTTGAAGACCAGACTGTTTGGGTTGAATGACACTGGCTTCTCCCAGATGGCGACGTTAACGACGGTACCGCGAGCCTTGATGGCTTTGCATGCCGACTCGAAACTAGCAGGTACACCAGCGCAGTCGAACACGATATCAGGACCTTCACCATGACAGAGCTCGCGCGAGACACCCACAACATCATATACATTTGGTGCGAGGACGTGGTGTGCTCCGAACTCTCTAGCGAAGGCCTGTCTTTGTGCAGCAATCTCGCTCATGATGATCTTCTTGGTTCCATGTGCCACGAGGACTTGGACCACTGCGAGACCAATGGGTCCACCTCCGAGTACGAGGACAGATGCATTACTGGCGCCGATCTCGAGAAGTGGCGATGCGGAGACGGCGTGCCAGGCTACGGAAAGTGGTTCGACGAGTGCTGTGTCGCAATTAGTCTTTGATCTACAGTCAATGTAGAAGAGCAACATACCTCCAGTATCCAACTCAACATTCTCCGGCAACGGCAACACGGCATCCCAAGGCACAGCAACCGCCTCACTCAATCCACCACCACCACCTATATTATCCTCTGATCAGCATCCATCCCACCCCCTCGAGATATCGCTTTCCATCGCAAACTTACCGCTCAATCCAATAAACCCACCATTGGCACACGCGTTCTCTACTCCATTCCTACAAGCACCACAGCTCTGACAGAATATCGTCGGTTGAATGGCGCACTTTTGACCCGGCTTGAAGTTTTCGGCGTTGGGGACATCTGGATGTACTTCGAGAATCGTGCCGCTGAATTCGTGGCCCATGCCTATGGGAATTGTTTCTCTGGTTACTGCATGAGGTTCGATGGGTGCAAATCTGTCATGAATGGTCAAAAGACGTTCTTTGATGGCAGTAATGGGTAAGGGTAGAAATGGGGCAGTGGTAGGAAGGGACAGGGCAACATACGTAGGACCAGCGATATACTCGTGCAAATCCGTTCCACAGATTCCCACATGCGAAGGTTTGATCAGGATTTGACCGGGCGAGAGGACCGGGCGAGGAGTTTCTTCTATGCGCACGTCTTCTTTGCCGTAGTAGCGTGCTGCACGCATTGTTGTTTGTGCCATTGTTTTTTCGTTCGAGAGCCTCACTTTCCAAATCGAGTATGTGCAGTAGCGATGCAGAGGAGAGACGATGGAAAAGAGGAGCAGAGGCCACAGACTAGCTATAAGAGGGGGCAAGAAGTGCCCTCTTCATCGCAAAGCCAAGGGTCTTTTGCTCACCTGCCCAATCCTTCCGCCCGCACTTACGGCATACCCAGTTTAGATGTTTGTCTCTCGTGGTGAGTAGCGTGATGGGTCCCCGGATCCGGTTTGCGGAGATCTTCTTTGGAACCCCGCGCGGGGTAGTGCGTGCTAAGGTGAGTCTCTTTTCACATGCTCCGAGCGAGTCTGTGGGGAAGTGCGCTTATACCGTGATCACCCTCCGATTCAGTAACGAGAAAGAATCAAGGGGTCAAAAGAAACAGCAGTGGAAGTACGATAAGGAGATGTTGTTTTGGGCTTGAATATGTTAGCACTTGTATCAAAACAGCAATAATGAGTTGTAGCATAGAAATGTTAAACTCTAGTTAAGCAGACTATAAAGTAACATAGAGTATTGCCTTCTTTCTATTTCCTTATCTAAGATCAGATAATCTTTGATCATCTGTTTTTTTTGTTATGTTTTGGAATGATACACTAGAGCTCTACACGGCTTTCGGCAGTGGTACTGAGGTAGCCTAGTATTCTTGATATATCAACTTGGTGTAGACTACCGTTTTGGAACCTTGACATTTTTGCAAACAAAGGATATCTAGATATGCAAACTACGTATGATTTGACGAAGAGCAAGCAAAAAGAAAGACTAAACTCTGTAGAAAACTAAACAAAAAGCGGTATAAGTGCTGTGATCGCAAAAAAGGAAAAAGGAGGAAAAACTAAGGATTCATATGGTAAACCCTCTATGATGGCAAGACAGACAAGGAATCGTACAAGTGAGATACAACGAGGGTAGTTCGAGTGTTGTTCTGAGGGGAAACGAGGTAAAACCAGGATAAGGCAGAAAACCCCAAACGCGGAGGGAATCCTACTGCACGGTGCATCTTGGACATCTGAGACGAGCAAGACGTCTTCTCCGTCTTGCCAGTACTACCGTGATAGGTGAGTTTGATCTTCTTGGGACAATATCGGATGGGATTGTCCTTCTAGGCGTGGTGATAGCTGCTGTCGATCGCCTGGTCGTCTCAACCTTGGTCGGCTTTTTCTTTTTTCTTTGGCGCTACTATCTCTTGCACCTCCGGCTGCGCCATACTCTTCTTCCAGCTATCCAGTGCGAGCTTGATGTGAAGAATACTCCTCCTGCCAGACTTATATTGCTTCTTGGCATTACTTTCGGCTCGTATACTGCGGTGCGTCCAATACATCTTCTCAAAGATATTAGTAGCTTGCTTTGAGTTTGCAACGAGTTTGTGTTGCTCTGCTGTCCACTCTTCTGAAGACATGGTCCAAGGTTTTGGCCAAGGTGAACGCCAGTGTTGAAGTGCGGCTTGTAGACGGGCTTGCTCGGCTTCGAGTGGGTTCACTGGATCGAGTCATTTTTGGCAGGCTTTCTGCCTTTGCCGGCCAGCGGGCTTGGATGCTGATCAGCATCATCATCCTCGTCGTCATCAACCTGGACTAGAGGTGGACCTGCAGCAGGTGTGTCACCTATGGTTAGAGGAGCAGCTTTTGTTCCTTTGTCTTTGGCAGCGGGTGCGGGTGTGACAGGAGGGGCAACCAGTGGCGGGCCACCTCCAAATCCTTTGGTTTTCGCAGGCTTTGGTGCAGCTTTGTCCTTTCCATGTTTGGCACCATCATCAGCCTGGACTGGAGCGGCTCCCACAAGGTCTCTCTTTGGCTGCATGGACGTCGAAGGAATTATGAACGGATCGCCTGATACCCCTGCTCCCTTGATCTTAGCAGGGGGGAGATGGTGGCTCATCATCCTCGTCGTCGCTATCGATATAAACCACGCCCCCATGTTCTGTCGTCTTCACTTCTATCGGCTCAATCTTTCCACCTGTATGTTTATCAAGGTAGAAATACTCGATGGGGCCAGGATCCGGTCGATCGAAGAAAGATTCGGGGTCAAATATCGAATCGTAGTCTGCATAGCGCAATTGGTTCATGTAATTGAGTCTGAAGTCTTTGTCGTCCACATGAACCTTGGGAACTGGTCTCACGCCTTTGATGACAGTTGCCACATAAGCTAATCTTCGTTTGACAGAATCCTCTGCTTTCACACGCTTGGCATCTGGTGGCAGACCGGCTGGTTCAGATGCCTTTCGTTTACCGCCTGTGGTAGGATCGGCTCCAGCATCAGTATCGTCGTCTTCAGCATCGTCAGCAGCAAGTGGTCCATCGACCAGCCTGCTTTTTTGCTTGACCCAGCTCAAAGTACCCCAGCGATCCAGACCATCAGTATGTTGATCTATTTGTGCTTCGAGTTTTTGTAACAGTTCTTGTGGCGTGGGTCGTTCTTCGGGCTGATTTCGGACACAAAGCTCGGCGACTCCAATCAAGTCTGCACTGTAGCCATTCCATTTGCCTTGCTCGATTAGATGTTGCCAACTCTGGTTCAATCTGTACCGAGGTCCACTTGCACCAGCCACTGACCTACTGTGCCTCGTCATCATGGCCACCAGAATACTCTCCCCGACCCCCCAGACATTGGCCTTCGATGATGGAGGAATACTATCCTCATTCACGGGCCTGAACTCGCTTTCCGGAGGTATATAGCCTTTGGTTCCAGACCCTAGCTTCTTCGTCCAGGAGTTGTCGTTCGAAGTGAGATAGCAAAACCCAAAGTCGCCCATGTATGCTGGAGGATACAGCACCCAATCGACGTCTTTTCCAAGAGATCCAGGGTGACCCATCAAGATATCAGAAGGCTTGATGTCTCGATGTATAATGACTGGGTGTTCCTTGCCTGGTTCCCGAAAGGTTTCATCCATTGCTACAAGAGCTTTGGCCATGCGATGGAACACGAACCATAAGAAGGATTCGGGAAGAGGGCGCTCGCCGAGCTCTGTATGCTTGTTTATGACTTTGGAGAGGTCGCCCTTGCTGTAATAATGCATGTAAGTGCGCCAACCTTTCTTATAACCATGCATTCTTTCTACTGCAAGGATCGGAACCGTGCAGGTATCCAGAGATCCATTGGGTGCAAGTCGTTGCTGGACATGTAATTCTCGCCACTCCCCATCGTGAGGACCACCCTTGATGAGCTGTGAACTTGAGATCTGTGTGTTTCTGATGACAACTCGCTCGACAACTTTCTGATCGACGTCCACACGTGCCCACAAGTGAGCTGCAGCTTCGCCCCCTTCACCAAGCTTCTCGACCCATTGCCATTTCTGACCGCGAGAAAGCTGGAGACTAGGAGAAGACTCATCTTCGAGGGGGTCAGGTGGAAGCGACATATCTGTTTGCCCAAGCAATAGACTGTGTAAGGTGAAAGAGAGAATGTCGGTCAAGTGCCAGTCGTGATTATACCAGATGATATGGCAAGAAATGGCCAAGATACTCGGAGTCCGCCGCCATACTGTAATATCAGTCTGTTCATAGTCGGCCACGAACAAAGCACAATACAAGAACCCATAAGCCGGATTCGGTCAATTCACAAGCACAAAGCAATTTGTTGACAGCGGGCCATAACAAAGCAGACTTGCAAGCTGATGCGCCCAAATCTGTTGATCGGTTGGTATGTAGCGGACGTAGGTCAGAACTGTTATTGTTATCGCCTTTGTGATGGCTGCAAAAGGTCATGGCTGCTTTGGTTGGAAGAGCGAAGCGCATGTCGCATTCTCATGCCGGGACACGGTCGAGATGTTCATTCTCATCGGATAGAGATCTTCGATGTGAGCGGAGGTATGTACCTTCTGATCTGATGAGACAAAGCACATCGTAGAGCAGTCAGAAACAGCGATTATGTAGGACTGTTCGGAGAAAGTCGATGAAGTGCGACCAAGGGACGGACGGGTGTGACGAGCGCCGTAGATTTGCTTGCGCACTGACCATGATAGTAAGCATGATGGTAACATGATCAGGGTGACCCTCCCAACTGCATATCCTAAACAGGAATTTGTAGGCTTGTTATCTAAACGTATGGAGGTATGCATTGAACAACACGCAGGGATCCAGAAGAGCCAGATTATATCGGTGTTATAAGAGCAGAAGGAACGCAGTAACGCTAGTGGTCAAACTTGCGTCTCAATTACAGCGTGGTATTTTTCTACACCTAGCAAGAGTGATCGACCAAGCCTTCCGAGACTCTCGTCCCATATTAGCTTGACTGCGATAATTTTATCGCAATTGAGTGTCACGAATCTACGAAATCAAGAGAATATCTCGTGGAAAGAGAGCCTTCTATATTAGAGGGCGAGAGAGACATCTCTGTTGGTAGCGCTCAACTCATATACCCGAGTCGTATCGCAAACGTTTGAGCGGACATTTCCACTGTCTCGGTATCTCAACATCCATCCATGACTCGACAGCTCGCTAGAAGTGGTAAGTCTCATCCGTATTATGCCGAGATTTTATAGAGTAGATGAGCTGCATGGAGGTCATGTAAGTCGGAGATTTATATGTCGTCTCGAGATATAAAACAATATACCACTAAAACCTTTGGACCAAAAAGGAACAAACGAAAAATGCTGATAATTATGTATGCTGACATGGCATAGAATGGAAATATCTTTGACAATCAAGACACTGGCGTTGTCGGTGTCAGAAAGAAGGTAAGAATCATGTCACACGACCAACAGGACTGCCCAGGTCGTGCATAGGTATCTGCGAGTCATTTGATTGATGGCTTGCTCGGTTATCACCACCGAAACCATCACGGTCGCGGGTGAAGTCCCTTGTAGTTGGCTTTCCATGTTCAAGGTCGATTGAGCGATCCTCACTCTCCGAATCACCCACGTACACTTGGACTTCAGTCTGTCGTTTTATACCGTGAATGTCCTCCCTGAGGTCTTCATTGCCTCGGTTGTGATTGACGAATGCGGTATTTGTGACGTTTCTTGGAACTCCGTGGGCATCGTTGTCGTTGTAAGTGTGGTTGTGTTGTGATTTTTGGGTGTTGAGTGTTGCGGGATAGGGTGTGCCTTGCGATGAAGAGTTGAAGTTCATGTCTTGCTCATTGCTTCGCGCAACTTTGATAATCATGTCTGCCATGCTCATCTCGATGTTGAGTTTGACCANTCTGTGTGTTCTATCAGCATCATTTGACACGCCAAAAGAACACGAACTCTGACTTACATATGCGACAGGGTGGAATTGGACAAATACAATCCCGTTGGGTAAAGACATCAGGCCAATAAGCATGAGGTCCATGCAGACAGAGATGATACCCAGGCGAGTGTAGTAAGCTACTAACGGCTTATACTTTCGAAGACCGTGCTGCTTGACCAGTCTAGCCTTGACGACATAGATGAAATACCAGTTGAGAAACGCGTCGACAAGCATAATGAGAATTTTAGAGCAACGATCCCAGTATTTGTTAATGTGTACAAANNGCTGTTTTTGCTATCAGTATTGCTTACTTGCTCGAACATCAACGGGAGCCGGTACTTACACCATGCTGGGTGGGGGTGAGAGGTGGGAAGGGATAAAGATACAGAACACAGCTGCGTTGATGCATGAGATGACCACTGCTGTTACGATCTTCAATCTCTGTGCCGTAGCCTTGCGCTCAGAGATGATTGAAATACGGTTGATGATGATTTGCATGAGGAACTGAACCTCGAAGACATAGAAAAAGAGTATGAAGAAGAGAAGGGCAGGTCTAGAGATAGTGTTAGTCTAGTGTTTGTTGTCAAAATAGTACTTCGCATACCCATTATGGACAATATCTTTCAGCCAAAGCCAACACAGAACACCAAGGATAAGATTTGCTAAAATCTCACCCCATATCATGTAGATGTACGCCGACCGCCATGGATTCTTGTTCGCTTTGGTTTGATGAACGGCTCGGACTGTTGTTAGATAACCGAAACCGATGGTGAAGCCAGCCGCACAGGCAGCGACCTGGTAATCACCAGACGACGACATTTCTGGCGGCGACCAGAGTATAAGTGCTCGGACGACGAGCCAAAAAGTGATAGCAGCATATGGGATGCGGGCTTGATATGTACTTGCCTCACATTCGAAGAGATACCGTGCTAGCGCTAATTGACTCCGCGGCCCCCCAGTGCCATGGTCCGACGTGATCAAAGCATTGGTAAGGGCTTCATTCTGTTGGAGGCGTTTAAGGACAAGTCCTAGATTGGTAGATGTTGATCCTTACTGACTCGTTCCCTCGTATCAGTACTGGAGAGTTCGGACTGATGGGTGTCGGTAGTGCCTGTACGAACGATCGTTCCTTTCAACGCTTCCAGTGACCCGAGACGTGCAAGGTCCAGGCGAATACACAGTCCGAAGGGGGGAGGATCTGTGCATGTCAATCACCGCTGAGCTAGACACCAACTTGAGCCTCTGCAGATCTGGGGTTCATCCGGTACAAGCCATGTGGATCCCAATATGGATCGTGAGTCGATCATCCATGTCACGAGTCGACCACCCCAGTTGTATGTTCAAAATTATCTTGAAAACTGGTAGACAACCGACCGTATACGTCAGCTCTACCCAAGCAGTGTAATATAGCAGTCTGTCAATTCGGGGAGGGTGTCATCTTGCCGATGAGCTGTGAACACGTTTGGTCAATTACTCGGAGTGGTAAGGACGAGTAGCCCTTAGCGGCGTCGAGTTGACCGTGTGATATGGTTGACGCAAACGTAAGTCATGTGAAGCTGAATACGATAGGGCGTATGGTGACTGTTAGGGCAGCGTATTGAGTCATGGTATCTTAGCTAGGTAGGCTCAACGACAAGCTTAACCCTGGTGGCGTCGAGGGCGCTAAGGGTCAAATAACGCGCGAAAGAAATTTTCGACCGTCTCCATCTCCGATGACTCGTCCACGATCCGACATTTCTCTGCTCTTCGATGAACTTAGGTACGGTATGTAGAGTGTTGGAATGGCCGAAGATGTTGTGGATTGCAGAACCTCGGCTCAATTTACGCCGGGATTGGGCTCTCCTCCGCGAACATGTCACCTACCCTCATCTCCACCGTCTCATGACTCGCCATTTCTTCGACCGTCAAATTTGTTCATTTGAAGACTAGACTGTCGGCGTCAGACGCCTTCGCGGTATCAAGATGGAGACGATAAATACGGGCCGTGTGCTGCTGATCCCACATCTCTGTCACGACCCGCTGTTGATCACAATGAATAGTAGGGCTCGCACCTGGCCTTGACGAACATCCACATATTCTTTCCTGATATTCGGTTGAGAGACGACTCTCACGTTAAACCCAGGGAAAAGCACAACGAAACAAGAGACCCACGATTCATGATTCTGAGCGACCGACTTCAATGCCCAAAGCAGAAGTTCGCAGACAAGCGAGCTGCCCAAGGATTCACAGACAAGTATAGCGATACCACTTATCCTAAGTATGCCAAAGCGTGGGAGGTGGACGCCTAGGTCACCGGCGGTTGCTTCATACTCCTACCATATTTACAGAATATCATCAATTGGGCAACACATATGCATTGCAACACCACAACCAACATTTGAAAAATCTCCGAAACATCAATCTGGATTTTTCTGTATATACCAAGTCAAAGAACACTTTTATCACTTCTTGTCCCCCATAGCTCCGAAGCCAAGTCCACCCATATCTTTGCCGCCTGCAGTACCTCCTCCCATCTTCATGCCTTCGGCGTTTGCGTTGTTAGCTGCACCAGATCGAGCGCGGGAAGCGAAGCCAGAGGAGGACATGTCGCCGCCAGATTTGGCCTGACAAACTCGAAGTCAGCGTCGAGTCGATGGCAAGGGGAGAGGCGGGGAAGATGAAGAGAGAAGCCAGGCATACTTGGGTTGATTGAATGCGACTGGCATCAGAACCACTCATGGCGTGTTTGTCACCACCACTGGAGGACTTGTTTGGCATTGCTGTTGATTGGTTCAGGGAAGTGATTGAGAGGTATGTTGATTCTCTTTATAGAGAATATGAGTGTATCGTGAGTGATGGAAGAACAGACAAGTAGAAAAGATTGAAGGCTTGATATGTGGCTTCGACAAGGCAAGGGGTCGCAGGTCTCCTGTTCATGAGACTGGCTCAGCAAGGGTGAGCTGACGGTGGACCGCGTCTCCTGTTGCGAGATCGCCCCTGCGGTCAGCAATCATAGCGCGTAGTGTCACCAGATGATAACTCAGGCTTTTGCACTTTCGATGGCTTGTATATCCTATTCGTCGGGGTCTGTGTCCATCGGCCATGACCTTCTGGGAGACGATCAGGATAGCTGTTTAAAGGTCAGCGATATCACTTGACTTCCATCATTTTTTCAGGTGGCGCTTGCACTTGCTCTACTACCAAACTTTGAGTGGTCGTCAGACTTCTGTCAGGAAAACGCAATCGTGGAAGGTAAACCTTAATCGAAGCCATCAACTGTTGTCCCGTGACGCGAACTTTGATAAGTGATGATGATGGTTCTCCAGATTTGCTTTCTGATGCAAGACAGCGAAGGATTATTCAAGACGAGGTGGACGCAAGATAACGAATTCCCCTGCAGCTATGACAGGGTGCGCGTGTTTTTATCCCATCTCGTACACAATCCGAGTGTGGACCCAGACGAATCTCGCGCTTCTTTCACTACACAGTCACCAATACCTACAAGAAGGTCACAGTGCTCAAGTTTCTAATCATCTAGGTCTTCGATGACCTGATATAATCCTCCCAAGGGATTTACAAACAGGGTTTCATCGTATAGGCAATAACTCAGCCGGCGACTGATCAATGCTGGGTAGACTGGAATATAGTGTTCATCTTGATTCTCTCTGGATGTATAGGTCAGTATAGGGGTGTCCGCATTCACGCGGGAGCTTCAACATAATCTCGGTGAGAAAACCATTCTTGAGCATCTTAACCCGTGCTACCAAACTCGCTTGGTCTCTAGCCTAGATGCTTCAATAGGCAAGCCTGGAAGTCCGCTTTGGAAATGGCGATCTGCGTAGGACCTTTAATAAATCCTAATACGCTGCGAATGTTCTCTGTCAACTGGTCGACTTGTGGTCTTGTGGCCGTTTCGTCCGACTTCAGCTGGCTGTTCGAGGATTCGATGTAGCTTTCAAGATGATGAATCTTCAACATCGTCTTTGCGTTGATTGGAAGCTGGTATTGATCCAGCAACTTAACGATGTCTTTCCAGGAGAATGATAATCGTCGACCGTCCTTGGTATAAGGCTTGGTTCTCATCCACGAGGACCAGTCATCGATGATCAAGCTTGCAGTCTTGACGTCTGTCACAAACAGTTCGTGGTGAGGCTTGCGGTGAACCTTGCACCATTGCTCATCACGCCAATGATCTAATAGCTCAAGGTGAGTCAACAGCTCGACTTGTTTCGCGTGAGGCACATCGGTCTTCTCGTATCGACATTCGGGATCACCGTGAAACAAGACGTTCTGACTGGACTGGATTTGACCCCTGCACTACACACCGTACGTTCGACTTTACCTTGGCATACTGATTCCTAGGATGCTCGCTGTCCGCACGATCATGGATCTTCACCCTCCCTTCTTCCCGTTGCTCGATCTGACACATCTTCTGTGCTGTGACCGGTATTCCCCGCCGTTCCAGTGAGTCGATCTTGTTCTTCCAGAAGGCCTAAGATTGCCCTGTCCATCGTATAGATTGAACTCCATTCATGGTAATCTGTTTGTAACAGCATCGGTGTAAATCGGGAATATACCATATACATTGATAATCTCCATCGTGAAGCCAAAAACCACCTCCGCGATTGGGAGTTGGTGCAGAGTAGGGAGCTGGGCATTCATCTCGTGTGCAGTGGGACGAAGTGTCAAGTATGGAAGCAAAGAATTCCAGTCAGTAAGGGTAATCGATGGTTAACAACAGTTCTTGCTCCCGCAAAGACTCTTGCTGAAAGTTTCTGAGCAGCCTCTGAGCCGAACCCAAGCGGTTTTGAGCTGCCCCAGCGCAGGCTCAAAGCGGTGCCTAAGCAACTCATAGACGATGTGGGTGGACCAGAGGTACAGGCTCACTCTTATCTGCCAGAAATCCTCTGAGCAGCCTAAAAAGCATGTGAGCAAGCCACAACAGTCCAAATTTTCCAGTTGGTCAAGCGCATCAAGCATGACGTATGGCCTGGGGCAATCTTGATTTTCCAAAAACGCAGACAACAGGTCATACGTACGTTGCCACACCTATTAATGAGGTAAAGAAATCGCGCCACAGGTATTTCTCTGAAACAGACACCCCTTCACAAACTCTGTCACACCGTTCAAGACTGTAAGGATTCTTCGATCCTCATATGAGTCTTTTACCAGTCTGCTGCGCGGCAGAGTTTGATTCAAAGGCAAGTGCACATCAACTCGCTGGAGAAAACCGAAGGGACAGTTGACTTTTCCGANNAAAGTTCCTCAATCGTTTCATCGATCTCAATGTTAAGGAGAAAGAAGGTCTCGATCTCAACCTCACCATAGTCGTGATCACCGACCTTCGAAAGAGATACACGGAAGTCTCAAAAGTCCCTATGGATCCCACGTGTTCACCAGCGCCATTCCAGGGCAAGAGTGCAGAAGAGTGCTTTGAATTACTTCAAGCATGCGTGAAGGATACCAGATCTGATATCAACGTGGAAATCTTCGCTATCTTAGATGAGAGATCCTGGGAGGATGACACCGTGTGGATTGTGAAGGCTTCCAAGAAAACGGGGAGGATCAAGACTATACGTGGAGCCTTGAAACAGACCGATATGTTACTCATAAATCTCTGGGTTGGTAACTTAAACATCGAAGAGTGTAGCTACGAACTGGTAGAGTAGAAAGCAAGAAACTCGTTTCCTAGATAACCGTCATTCAAGTATAGAATGATCAAAAAGGGAGCGCCAAGAGATGTCGACTCGAGTCGCGACGGCTGGTCTGTGCATGGGCCGCCCGCCGCGCACCTCGTTGCGCTCACCAAACATCGCGCCCATCATTCACTGTTCATCCTCATCCATCAAACACAAATTCCATCATCATCTGCAACAAATTCACATCACACACCTTCTTCTTCTAATACCACCTGCACCATCACCAAGTCGCTGTGTGCGCTCCGGCTTTCATTGCCATGGCTTTGGACATGTGCGCGGCGTGCCCGGGCGTCACGTGCAGTTAGTTCTCCGACATGGCAAGGTTCTTGCAGGACCGCAGCTTGGTATTCCTCCTGGCCCTTCGTCGCAATCTCCTTGTCTTTCCTTCCGCTGTGTATGACCGCATTACCTTGCCTCGCCTGGGCAGTAGCAATGCACTGTACATCTCATGACCTGTTGACCAGGGTCTTCTGAGGGCCGCAGGTCAACGTCGAGGTCGGCTTCTGGCGGGACTGCAGCTTCTCCTGCACACCGGGATTCTTTTGCTGTGTGCGCCCCGGGTTCATGTTGCCTTGGCTTTGAACATGCTTCAGCGCTCTGCACACCACAGTCGGATCGACTCGTACGAAGAGGCTCGGTGTTCAGGTTCGTTGCCAGAGGTCGCCTGTCCCCCGAGGTGACAGTTTGGGTTTCTTACCCATTGCTCCGTCTCGTTCTCTACCATCTTGTATCCATTCATCCTCATCACTGCACTTGTGTATTATTAGTTATGGAGTCAGGGCTGCCTCTCCTCAAAGCCCGGGTGGGTGGGTTCAACCTGTGTCCTTCATGGCACAGGGGCTTATCCTCATATTTTTCTGAATCCAGAACTCTTCCAAGTCCGTTTGTGCCAGCTCTCCCTTTGAAGTGATGCTCTGAGTAGACAGATACAGTAAGTGAGGTCGCGTTAAGGTGGAGATGTGCAGGGCCGGGTTCAGCTACCGAGCATCCGGGTATGACGGCAAGCGACTCAAATTTGGCCGCAGCGAATTCGGCAACTGCATCGAGGACGTACTTTTTTGAGGGGTTGACGGCAAAGGAACAGGTCCCTTGTGCTCTGCTACTTGAGTCACTCAATTCCACTTTGTTCTTCTCCCACGACCATCGACAAAGAGACGAAAATCCAGGTCGGCTTGGGACGCGCCCAGCAATCACGTACTCGAACTTCGGCTTGGCAAAAGCGAAACTCTGGGGCTTCGCAAACAAAGCTCCGTCATGCATCAACATACCCGACCGGCAGAGGCATCGCGACAGCCTACGAAGGAGGACTATGAAGGCTCTTCCGTGTCTTCGGCGGCAGATGCTGAGAAAGAGATGATTGCGGCGAACGCGCTGAATGAGGGAACCACACAGCCGTATGAGGATCCGATAACCGAAGAGCAACGACAACATACCGATGGAGGCGATATTGAGAAGCAGACTACGCGGAGGTCGGTACGGTCTGGCAAGGCTGTGTCGGTGAACAATATTGCTGCTATTCCTAATGGTGGTACCAAGGCTTGGTTGCAGGTGAGTTTTTACCCCTTCCTGGACGGACTTCGACCTCCATGAGCACCATCTTTCTCTCTACATAGACTAACACCCTTANNGGTTTTGGGTGCATTCACACTGTTCATGAACAGCTGGGGTATAAGTACGTTCTTTGGTCGATTTTTGATGGTACAAGGAGTTGGTTAACCAGTCGGACANGTCAACACCTTCGGCGCATACCAAACCTACTACCAATCTGGCATTCTCGCTTCCTCGAGCCCTTCTGATATCTCCTGGATCGGATCGATACAAGCGTTTCTGCTCATGCTTGTTGGCGCCTTGACGGGACCGATCTACGATGCTGGTTACTTTCGCGCCTTGTTGACTGTAGGCTCTTTCGGCGTTGTCTTCGGACATATGATGCTATCCTTAGCTACGACTTACTGGCAGGTCATCCTCGCTCAAGGAATTTGCGTTGGTCTGGGTGCTGGATGTCTGTTTGTACCGTCGGTCGCCATCTTGAGTACTTACTTCAGCACGAGGATTGCTACCGCTATGGGTCTTGCTGCTGCTGGAAGTAGTTTAGGTAAGCTCTGTCTATATTCGCCTCCTAGTTGTCCACTAACATCGCATACAGGCGGTGTCATCTACCCTATCGTATTCTATCGCCTCGAACCACGCATCGGATTTCCCTGGGCAACTCGTGTAATTGGCTTCATCGCTCTCGGAACTCTCATTATTGCCAACTCGGTCATGCGCGTGCGCGTCCTCCCAGCTGCTCGTCGTGCCGTTCTCGACCTCAAGGCTTTTACCGAGCTGCCATACCTCTTCTTCGTGCTTGGTGGCTTCCTTGCCTTCATGGGACTGTACGCACCCTTCTTCTACATCGAGAGCTACGCCATCACCTACAACATCACGTCGGAGAGTTTGGGCTTCTACACTTTGGCCATCATCAACTCGGCTTCAGTCTTTGGTCGTGTTTTGCCCAACCTCGTTGCTGATCGTACTGGACCAATGAACATAATCATTCCTTGTTGTGTCATCTCTGGAATCATCGCACTGTGCCTTATCCCTGTCCGCAGCGAAGCAGCGCTCATTGTCGAGTGTGTGCTATATGGCTTCTTCTCTGGCGCTTTGGTGTCGTTGCCACCTACGGTTTTCGTCCATCTGTCGCCTAACAGAGGACTCATTGGCACGCGTATGGGACAGGGCTTTAGCATCATTTCGATCGGTCTGTTGCTCGGTACGCCTATCTGCGGATGGATTTTGAATGGCAGTGGGTTTACCGAGGTGTGGGTCTTTGCCGGAGTATTGATTCTGGCAGGCGGCAGTCTCATGTTTGTGAGCAGGTTCTTCAAGGCAGGATTCAAGCTCGTGCAAAGGGTTTAGAAGCGAGCGAGAAGACTCGTCCTTCGCATGTCATCTTTCGTGCGCACTGCATTATATAGAGCGCGAACCAGTAAATATTCCAGAGTCCAAACAGTAACTCGAACAGAGCTTATCATCATTACAGAAATGATCGTGTTTGAATATTTACAAGTACCTGAGTGGCTTCGGCTTCGGGATCGGCATCTGAGACAGTTTGGCACATGGCAAGCCGAGGAATAGCCGGGTGAAGCGTTCGATGCGGCGCTTTGTCTGTATATACCCTTTTAACCACCCGACGACTGCTCCGAGGAGGGAGCGCATCTATTCCCACGCCATCGCGTACATTACACACGACTCGCTGGATCATCTCTGTCACTCTGGACTTAGACGACACCCTCTGGACGAACCACGACCGCTTCATACGTACGCGACAGGACAGTGACATCACGGACACTGGCTTGATCACTCGTCCGCATGTCCGACCAGCAGCCATAGAGGAGCATGCCAGGTCGCATCGTCATGGACAGCCATGCCGCACCGCAGACCAATGGCCTGAACAAGGACCCATCCGCCATGGCCTCGACCGCTCCCGCACAACCCCCCGCCCTAGCAAACGGCTACAGCAATGGCACAACTAAAGAGGAGGAGAAGGCCTTGCCGCCGGAGCTGGAACACTGGGCGCATACCTATGTCCCCATGGGCACATTACTGGAGCGCATGGCCCAGCAATGTTATTTCGACCTGGGCGAGGTCATTGAGCAAATGGCCGACCTGAACATCGGCGCACCGCAAACGAATGGCGCATCCACTGCAGCCCCCGACGTGTCAAAAGCGAGCGTGGACAAGAAACTACGACTCATGAACTTTGCAAATACTCAACAAGCTCGCTTCATCAAGGCCTTGGTTCTGTCAGACTGGGCGCGCAACATGGGCGATATGGACAAGCTGATCGAGTTGCGCATGTGGTTGACCCAACAGGATGAAGCGTCTACACAAGTCGGAGACGCCATCATGCAGATGAAACACAACATGATCGGTGCCAAAATGCCCAACCCGAACATCCAAGGAGCTCTGGAACTCTTGTCCACATCCAAAGCCCCATGGTTGCCTGATCTTGGTTACATTGCACCGAAACCGCTGTCTGCTCAGAAACTGCTCAAGACGCTACGAGACATGAATTTTGTCCTCTCCGTACGACTCAACTTGCATGAACAAATGCCTTCACACTTCTGCAATTACTCGATAGCCAACGGACGTGCTACTTTTGTTGTGCCGAATGAGTTTGAGCTTGATCTCGCTGTCACTGACGAAGACACGACATCACCTTTCTACTTTATTGACATCCGGTTCCTGTTCTCTGATGCGCCTCCCCTGGCCGATGGATTCGCACGCGCACATCTCGAAGGAAAGGTCAATCAATTACTCCAGATGGAAGGCCTTTCTGCGGCTTACGACTTTCTCCATGGTTTCATTCTCACGCACAAGATCACACTGCTACGGATACAGGCCTCCGATCTGGCGCGCACGAGGTGGACCGAATGTCTACACGTCGAACCCGTTCATCGATCGCTCATCGTCCAATACTGGACCGGCCAGCCGGGAGGAAAGAGTTGGATCGAGGTCGGAATCTCGAAGGGACATAATGCAGAAAACTCAGATCGACCACATGCTCCCGCACGGATGAACATTCGCTGGTTCAGAGCTGGAAAGGAGGTTCCCAACGCGAGGTTCGATATCGATGCAGCCAGCCCCTCAATGGAACACATTCTGAACCAGGTCACTGCTGCGCATATGACGCTTCGCCTTGAAACTGTCAAGAACCAGCTTTTGATTATCTCACCGCCAAACTCTGCTCTGGACTTGAACTTGAAGGCTTCGTCAACAGATCCTAATGCTTGCGCCTTGTCCATGAAGCTTGGAAAGCATGGCCTGGAGACTTCGCTACGCATCGTTCCTGTCAATGGCAGCATCTCGATTTCACCAGTTTCCGCTGCTTCCACAGACGTTGAGAGAAGACTCAACTCTGATCCAACAATCGACGCTGCACAAAATTTGTCATACCTCAATTGCAAGCTCGTCCAGGATCAAATTACACGACAGGCTGTGCAGGCTGGCTGGCTGCTGATACCAACCGCTCAACAAGGAGACGTCAACAAGATCTTCGCTGAACAGGTTATCCGCCGTACAACATTTACGCGCCATGGCTGGGGCGAGGACTGGGCAATCTGCCTCACTATCAGCTTGCAAGGCGTGAAATGGTGGATTGTCCGTCTGGCGTCAACCTCCCCGACGTCCCGTGTAATCAACGCAGCCGAAACTCTATCCATTCCTACATCAACAAGATCTTTCGACCGCCATACACTTATGCTCATTGAATCTCGCGCAGTGGCACAAGCCTCTCTCAGCAACATATCTTCCCAACTACGAAATGCTAAGATCAGCCATGAGATCAGACATGTCTCGGCTGCATCTTCACAAATCAACACCACAGCATCGCCGCTGTCGGCAACCACTACTACCGCAGTCATCGGTATCAAGTTCGAGGACTGCATGCAACCTTCTTCAGTATCCGAGCGCAAACTCTGGAAACCCTGGTGCTGCAGTACTATGGTGCTCACACATCATGGCGTGGACGAATCAGCAAAAGACGCCGTCAAAGTGGTTCATGTTCTTAAAACGAATTTGGCTCCAGAAACAGCCCAGATCNNCCTTGCGCCGCTGGCCGGCAAGGGTACTTCAAACCAGGATATTGTGTTTGCTGCTAACGGCATCCTGGCACTCCAACTACGGACGCACTTCGGTGTTGATTTGGTCGCTGCTGTCAAAAGCAAACTCCGACGTGTGGAACGATTGGCAATTTGCCTTGCCGCCATCACGAAACGAAACTTTGCAATCGAGAAAGTGGCGGTCACGGGCTTGGTGTTCCGCTATCCTACCGCTTCTGCTCAACAGCTAAAAGCAGGGATCTTGTTTTCTGACGATGTAGCACAGCCCATGCAGCTACGTTTCGCGGCCGAGGATACAGCAAACCCACATCGACGCGTGCAACCACTACTTCAGAATCTTCTCCTCGCACCTCCAGGCGTTACTTCCATGATAGAGGAGAAGGCACGGGTGGAAAGACTATTCGACACATTACACACAACCACACCACTCCTTTCCGCATGCGCAGCAATCGAAGCAAAAGACCCAGCAGCAAAGAATTCAAGACTCGCCTTCAGAAACTTGACACACCTCCGAATTGGCTATAGCTCTCCGCGACTGACCCTCAACATTGAAGCCTTGCGCAAAGAAGGAAAGAATCTCTGGTCGATAACGATAGTCAAAGATCAAACGTCTGATCACGACCGCACACTGGATCTGCTGCAGCAAGTCTGGCAAGACAAGTATGTTGAGGGCGTCAAGGGCTTTAGAACTGGTATTGTTGCCGAGGTAGGAGCTGTGGAGAAGGTATTACTTGACTTTGATGCATTGGTCAGAGGACAGGGAGGCGAGGGGCAAGGCCATGAAGTCGTGGTCCTGGACTAGTAGTTCCAAAGCACAGGATGGGCTCATGATGCTATTGAGTGATGATGCAGATGGAGGGAGATGCACGTCATCGGCAAGACGAAAAGACTGCACGAGCGAAGACTTGTGGGTTGGGGAAAGCGCGAGTTTCATGTCTCCATCGCTACTCCCTCATTCGCTAGATACAAACAAACGCACAAATTATTAATGACATACACGCCTTACTTCTTATACTCTCTCGCCAAGCGTGGCTATGCTCTCTCTAGGACCCAAAACTTCATGGCATGATTTTGAACAATGCAGATTCGTGGTCATCTTGTGAGAATTTGAGCAAATTCTTTGATTGTTGCCTTGGACTTCCGCAACATTTGGTTCAAAATCTTTTCTCTCCTTCCTAGGCCAGCTCTACTCATCTCCTCAAATCGTACAGCTGTGGAGAACAAGACTCACACGACGTCCCTCGAGGACAGGAACCCACCCTTCGCAAAGCTTTTCCATCGATCTGGATCCTCCAAATCGCCGACTTCCTCCCTTCTGCATCAGTGCTTGGGCACCAACGCATCACTCTTCCCCTCTGTCTCGAACTCCTTTATGTACTCTCCCACCGTCATACCCATGGTCTTCTTGAACACCCTACACAGATAACTCCTACTCACTCCAACCTCCGACGCCAGAGACCCCAATCCACCCTTTCCTTTTCTTCTGCCTATTACGCCCATCGCTTTCATGACAATCTCCTCGACTTCTCCGAAGAACAAGTCGTCTTCCGGTCTACAGCGTTTACAGGCCCGATACCCAGCACTGGTTGCCGCGACCGAAGAAGCAAAGTAGCAGACGTTTGCGCGGCGGGCGAGGCGTGCTGTACAGGTCGGCCGACAATAGATCTTTGTGGCAAGGACGCCGTAGTAGAAAGGGAGGGTTGGGGGTGAGGTGCGTGTTTTTAGGGCGTGCCATCTTAGGTCTGTGGGAGAGGTTGCGGGGTGAACTGGAAGGGGTAGAGGTTTATATGAAGAGGAGCAGAGCATTGTTTGGCTTTGTTGATCTTGGTCGAAAGACATGTATGCGGAGAGAAGAGCAGTCATCAAGGACAGAAAGTGTGGAGGTAGTCGAGGGTTGCTTCAAGCTTGTATAGCGGCTTTTCGTGGCAAAATGGCAGATGTTATCAGGAGGTGGAGGAAGTAGGTAAAATGCATTCTTTTCGATAATGCATGCGCAATCTCAATATATTATCGATGAATGCGTTGATGTAGTTTACTTCGAAATGCTACGAAGAGGCGAAAGTAACACCGCACTCCTCCTCAGATAAGAAGGATGAGAGTTGGTAAGCACGCACAACCCGAGGTTGATCCGCTGTTGACATCATTTCCCTCTTTTCGCCATTGTATTCCGTGTCGTGCAACCATCAACCATAAACTATCGTACATTTTTCTCTTCACCAAGCAGATCTGGTGATTCTTTCAATCTTTCGATGTTAGTGTGCATCGAAATCACGAGATTTCGAAGCTTGGGTGCGAGATGGACTGTTTTTCTTGCCTGCTGGGGAATGTACAGAAAGCGGCTCGCCTGCCGAGCTTTGATTGGTCAGTTCCAGTACACTCGTAGCCTGATTGGTCAGTTCTGGTTCACCTCCCATCCATTGGTCACATCGAGGAGATTGATGATGAAGGTAAGTCTACACAGTGGTATATGTATGACAAGAGTAAGGTATAAGAGGTAGAAGTATCTCTCGTCAAGAGTCAGTATCTGGTGATCAAACATTTCTTCATCTTTGTTGTCAAGATCAATTTTTGTACACTGGAGCTATCGAAGTGTATCCTTTGACCGAATCAAAAAGCCATCGAAAGACGCAAACAGCAATGTCTGTCAGTCATGCAGAGACCTCTCCATCAACCCCGTCATCTTTTATAGAAACCGAAAAATCCACCTTCGACTCTACACCCGACACCTCCAACCCAGAGCTTGCAACCTACCCCGAAGGCGGCACCCGCGCCTACCTCGTCGTTTTAGGCGCCTGGTGCGGTCTCCTCTCCTCAATCGGCATCTACAACTCCACCGGCGCGTTCAGCATCATTATTTCTTCCATCTTGCCCTCTGCTTCTACCTCATCCATCGGATGGATATTTTCTCTCTATGCGTTTGTGGTTTGGGGTGCTGGTGTGTGGGTGGGACCGATTTTCGATGTGTGTGGGTGCAGAGGGTTGATGGTTGCTGGTATGGTTTGTACGGTGTGTGGGACTTTTGGGTTGAGTTTTTGTTCTGGTGAGTATAATTTTGTGGGCGTTTGTGAAGAGCGAATGCTGATGAGANNAACAGAATATTACCAGATTGTTTTGGCGTTTTCGCTGCTCACGGGCTTGGGGTCGAGTTTGTTGCTTACACCTAGCATGGCTTGTGTGGCTCACTGGTTCAATACTCGCCGTGGTCTCGCCAGTGGAATTGCTTGGACGGGCGGTGGTGTAGGCGGTATCTTGTTTCCGTTGCTCATTCAAGCACTCCTTCCCAAACTAGGTTGGCAGTGGAGTATCAGGATTGTAGGATTTGTCTTACTCGGCCTCTGCTGCATCAGCATTGGTTTCTGTCGCAGCAGACTTGCGCCTCCGGTACCTAAACAAGGAGTTTCAGTCTTTAGGGCTACTTTGCCTGATTGGAGGATCTTNTTCGACGGGACAGGGGCAATGGCTGTCACCACTGCTGGCACACTGTTTACGGATCTGGCTTACTTTGTGCCGATAACGTATCTACCTGCTTATTATCTTGCTCGCCAACAGCAGACTCCATCCGAAAGCAGCGATATCACGGCATCCGGCTATCAACTCCTGGCTATTTTGAACGGGTCTTCCTGTCTCGGACGCCTGACTTCTGGATTCCTGGGCGATCGATTTGGACATTACAATACCATGATTGTTTCTCTCTTCTTTTGCTGTACTTCCGTCCTCGGTTTCTGGATCCCGGATATTTGCTCTCCGGAGCTTGATACCACGGCTCTGCTGTATATCTTTGTGGTTCTGTTTGGTTTTGTGAGCGGTAGTAATGTTTCACTTACACCTATTTGTCTTGGCCAGTTGTGTGGGATTAACGACTATGGACGCTATTATGCTAGTTGTTATACTGTGGTCGCGTTTGGGGTGTTGATCAGTTTGCCTGCCGCCGGTGGAATCTTGGATGCCGTGGATACGCAGGGAAAGAAACAGTATTGGGGTGTCGCGGTGTTTACCGGACTGAGTTATGTTGTTGCCTTGGCTTGTTTTGTTTGGGTGAGGATTGGAGTCAAGGGGTGGAATTGGAGGGTAAAGTGGTAAGGGTTTGATAGAATAATCGAATCGAACGAGGAGCATTCTTTTTGCGAAGGTTCTGATGCATGACATGAATGAACAAGAGATGTGTATCCGCATGTCGATACTCTCTACGAAGACTGATCGCTGGAAACTGAAATGTTTTATAGCTAACAATCGTGAGATCTCTGGTCGAGGCACGCAGAGTCTTGTTGTTGGTTTCAGTGTCTGGTTATAGCTTTGGATCTAGAGGCTATTGGTTGCGCTGTGCCACATGCTATGCATGCATGGCGCGTGCTCTCCCACATCGTGTATGGCTCTGCATGTCTTGGAAACTGGAAGCATCACAATATTACATTCTAATAGAGGTATCTAGATAAGATAGATAGAAAACGTTTTTATCCCTGGGAGGTCCCTAGCCTAATGGTAATCCTAATTATGGCATACTATTACAAGGATAATACTATCTTAGAGTCTCTAGTCGTAGCATTTTTAGAAGCAGATATGCCTAATTTAAACATGATGCGGTTTACCCCGTTGCTTGGCGCTAAAATGACCTGAGCTACAGACCCGAATCACAGTAGAGTCCCACCCCTGGTGTTCTGTCTAGCACATGTTAAATTTGACATTACTCCAGAGACTTCGCACCAACGCCTCCAAACCCCCCCCCCCCCCCCCCCCCCCCCCCTTGGACCTAAAACTATGGGCTTTACATTTATGAACAAGATGCGTTCGAAGCAGCGCTAGGGCTTTGTCGTACCTCGCACCGACTACTCCTCCGATGCGGACTGGACGAAATGCAAAGAGATGTACCGGATATGGTCTCAACGAGTGATCATGGCTCAAGGGCCAGAGACGGCAGCACTCATCAATGCTTGGGAACAAACGTGGTGGATGGACGACCAGACAAAGTACGAAAACGCGTCGCCTGACATGCTGCGTGAATACCATAGGACTTGGCTCGCAGCACTGGAACCAAAAGATCGCCGCTTGGACTGGCCAGAACTCTCTATGTTCCTTGTGGTGGATGCCGAAGTTCTGGCTCGTGTTAGTGGAATGGATGTTGTGAATCAGCCATTGCCTCTCGAGCAACATCCGTTCGTCAAGGTTTTCGATGCGAATGGCTCGAGCGACAGCGACAGCGGGAACTATCCAGGATGGATGAAGTTGAGCTTGACCGGAATCTATCACCTTTATGTCAAGGCCCTTGGTTGTCGCGGGATGCGGGAGCTGTGCGTCAAGTATACGGAGTGGTCGATTAGAGATGCGCTTCCCGAGGAGACATATCTTATCGAATCAGATGATTCGGAAACTTTGGACTCTGACGACGTGCCTTCTGACTACGAAATGGGTCCAGGTGATCCTGATGATATGGCTATATGAGTGTTAATACATGATCATGTACGATGGTTACAGAACATTGTTGGCTTAGGAGCAGTGGAGGGTTTCTCATCATTCATGTATACAGCTGCCTGACAAGGTTCCAAGCAGTCGGCGGTCTCGAGCTTTTCGTTGCTTATTGTGTAATGACGCATCTGTAAGAGTGTGTATGCACAATGTCAAAGAGATGATCCAACTAGTGTAACTTCCGACAAAAGGTATGTTCAATAGGACACCCGCCTTAAGAGCAAAACATCGACTAGGGCTCCGAAAAGGCGGCTTCCGCAGATTACGCAGATGGAAGAAAATTTGTCAAATATGGAGTTGCAACCGATAATCTCGGCTACAGACAGCAATCTATGTGGGCAAGAAGGGGTGGACATAGAGAGAGTACATGATGCTACACTATTACAAGACTCTAGCCATAATGATTGTGACCTTGGCGATGGCTGTATGTTCTCATCGATAATCAAGTTTGGCGATGGAGCTGGAGTTGAAGAGTGCGACTGCTCGCTCCTTCCAAACGCGGTTGGACCGAGCAACAATCCGGTATACTGTTGAGCTTTCGGAAGTTGCGACGGTGCTTCAGTGGCTCGGGGTTGCCTTCGCGAGGCTAGCTTTGTTTGAGGCGCGATCAACAGCTGCGCGTGATGTTGCAACAGACATGAGAATCTGAGCTTGAGTGTAGAAGTGGAGATGATCATTATATCAGAATGTTACTCGCTCCAGCCAAAAGGGATACAACGAATGTGTAGATACAACACAACGCTTCAAAACTCCGAAAAAAAAACCTCGAGCTCATTTCAACTCCGTCACCCTGGATCGCACGCTTACTTCTTCAACTTGGCCAACTCCTCTCTGACGCTACCACCACTAGCTCTCCACCAAACATCACCGGTCCACCTCACAACCCTCTCAGCAGCATCCAGCGGTCCATCAACAGCAGGTCTGACATCCAGATAGAACACCGGCTCTCCAGTCTCCTCGGGGGGTCCAGAGTAATAATCAATAATATATCTCTTTTCCCTCTCACTGCCATCCGGATGCACTCGTCTCACAAACCAATCGTGGCGATCAAATGGCGGTTCAGTCTCGTACTTGCTTGGATACAGCCATCCCATGACCTGCAGCATACGTGCTTTTGGCGTCAACTCTGAAGGCCTGCCCATGAAGCGCACAAGCGAGGGGTCTTTGGTATCGGTATTCGCGGCCATGGCGTCTTTTCTCGCCAGCATTTCTGCTAGCACGCCGGCGTTTTTCTTCTCCTTTTTGCACACGTCCCAGCCGCGTTTGAGGCCGGCGGAGAAGCGGCGTTCCCATTCTACGATTTCCTGCCAGGCGCCTTCGTTTAGGAAGTTGTGGACTGCGACCATGGACTCGACGTGCTCGGCGGGTGTATCGGTGTAGCCCTTGCGCAACATGGCATTGTACATTTGCTGTGGCGAAGGGTACTCCCAGTTTCCTTGGCCGTCGCCGCGGGNGATTGTGGAGGCTTCTCTGTCCAAAGGCAGATCCACACTTTGTTCGTCATGGTCGCGTTGGTTGGAGATGGATTTGGGCATGTAGTTGAGGGNGTTGAGCTTGGAAATGTATGAGGGCGAGGCGGCCGAGGGTTCCTTCTTTTGGGCATCGGTGGGTGGCACGTAGGGGCATGCTGAGGCCGAGTCGGTGGGCTTTGTGATGACCGAGGGTGGTGGTGCGGTAGGAGCGTCGCCGGCGGGCTTGTGCATGGGACATCCTGGCTATTAGAAGGTCAGTCACTGTGAATGGTGTAAGAAATGGAGGAGCTTACTGGAGGGGCNGGCACTGGCGTTGGCGGGCATGGGGTGGGGTGCGACGGGCGCAGCGGGGGTCGAATCTGCCCAGAACCAGCCCATTGTGATTTGTTATGTATGTGTGAAGAGTATAACGGGTAGTTGAAGTGTTGTGAGAAGAGCGCGACTGTTTACAAGGCGGCGGCGAAAAAAAGTCGATGGATGGTCGATAAATAAAGATCAGAGACGCGGAGCTCGGGAGTCTTCGGCGGCGATCAAAGTCGTTTTCAAGCCATCTTATCTAATCTGATCCGATTTGCATTTTCATATTCATGAATACCGTGTTCTAGCATCTCGTGTAAGCTACCTGGTCTTGTTTATGGTACTGCTGAACATCGTCTTGTTATGCGCCAGCCTTGAGGTTGGTGGCAAGAGTGCCTGTGCCTCTACTCGAAAAGATGGCCATGATACCAAATCCAACGTAGAACAGCGCCAGGGNGTATGCAACCAATCCCCGCATGCCAGTCATTCTTCCCACAGCGCAAAACATGGCACTGCTGCTGTATGTGCACCACGAAATGGCCAAGCTCGTCAAGATGTATCCCAACAGTCCATCGAGAGGTAGTGCAATGCCGACGAACGATGTGAGGACGAGAGGAAGGAGGCAGTAACCGAGGACCGATGCCGAACGCCAGATGGTGAGCGTGGCTGAGAAGTGGCCACCGTGTGCAGACGAGGCGTCTTGTTGTTGGGCTGACGCGTCGGCGGGAGAGAGGGGTGGTGACATGAGCGACAGGATCCAGTGGAGCGAGATGCTGCCCAGCGCTGCCAGTCCATAGATGTAGCCAAAGTGGAGCTTGCCCGNACTGTACAGGGTTAGCGACAAGTACAGGTAGACTGCTACAGCGCAACTCACCAAAAGCAAAAAGGTGCCAAACAGCAAGAAGAAGAGGATGGGCCCAGCCAAGTCAGAGTCGTCCATGATGTGCTGGTCGATTCTGGCCAGAGGGTTCAAGACGGTGAGCGTCTTTGTCTTGATGTGACCAAAGTTGACGCCCAGCTCTTCCAACAACGGCGGCTCGCCAGGATAACCCTCGGTGCCAAACGCCGCCAGCCATCCCATTGTCAAGCCTCCTTGCTCGCCCATACGTCCAGACACAGCGGGCTGACCGCCAAAGCCTGCGCCATAGCTCGATGGGTATGCTGATGTTTGCGCGCCGCTGTTGAATGCCTGGAAGGGTGTCGACGTGCCGGACACGGGCTGATTTGAGTACGACGAAGGATAGAACTGTAGGTTTTGGGCATTGCCATAAGGCTGCTGTTGTTGAGGGTTGTAGTACGCCATTGTGACAGACGGGTCGTGTCGTGTTCCTGCGATGGACTTGACTCCTTGTTTCCATCCTTCAAGCTGTTCTGTTGTCACCTAGCCTTTGCCAAGCCTTTCCCCACAACCGTCTGCGTCACTCTTTACACGAGAAGTCTCCAGGAGCACCCTGTCTTCACTCACACTCTTGCTCACTCCTTGTCTTACTGAACTCTTCTTCATGAATCTAGTGCTCTAACAGATTGCTGTGTCGCTACAAGTCACACGATCTTGTTTCGGACCTTTGCGCCGCCGCTCTACGTGCTATGTTTAGTTTGTTCGATGGGATTGCGGCTACATCATCGACTCGGTCATCTAGAATACATTGGTTGACACAACCGAAGACCCCCAGAGGCATCCATCGCCTCGTCAACATACAGCTCAAGTATCCACTGCCAGTAAAGTTCCATCTCGTACCAGACGACCCGGAACCCTACTTCACGATCCCGCAGATGGCACGGTATCGTCTGCAGTGCCATTTTGCAGACGAGAGACCGCTCAAGCTTTTCTTCATCCGAAGAGGATACGTCTGTCATCAATGGCTGCACCAACACTCTATAGGCAAGTCCTAGTCGCCACGATATTTCTTCGCAAAGGCCACAAAACTCATCAAAGGGCAGGAAGGTCTCCGAATTGTAGCCCGGTCCGGCTGTCTTGTCGTCTCTACTGTCAAACATCTTCCTCGCGTGCTGGTAGGCCAGGTCTTGTTCGCCGAGAGTCGTGTCAATACCGCGCAGAGGTTCCCGATTAAGCTTGTTACGCACAGCCATGAGGGGAACAAATGCGTTTTTAAACCGAGGCCCCCAAATTCTGGCGGCCAGTATAAGAAGCAGCTTGCAATGTCATCTGCATCAAATCGCTCCATGATCATCGCTTTGAGGTGTGATGCCACGTCTCCTTTCGTTTGCCTACCATCGATATTGCCGAATAGCTTGTCCTCGATGTATCTTGCCATTGTCAAAACCATATCGGTGTGCTCGACGCCAAGGACATCGGCAGGGTGACCAAGATGATCACGCAGCAAGCTGTCTACATGAGCATTCCATGTCCGTACCCAGTGGGCAATCGACTGCGACTCAGCAAGCCTACATCGCAGCTCCAGGATAAGGCGATCAACCGCACCGATATCAGTAGTCCAGCGCAATCCTTCGACGTCCAATACCAGGAGGCCCCACCGTATGACGTCTTGAGGCAGTGAATTCCATTCCAGCGAGGCATGTCCCATGGAGATAGATGCGCTGTCGTAGAGAGAAAGTTCCATCAGAGCTGCAAAAGACTGGATCGTCTGCCAGGCCGAGCGACAGTCGTCTGGTGAGCCCCAGAGCCACAGCTCGTCTTGAACGCGATAGGAAATACAGCGACCGCCAGTGGCTTTGCTGACAGCGAGGTCGAGACAGACCAAAGCAATTTCGTCGAATGTATCGGAAAGGGCCTGATGGCGGGACACAAACGTACTGCGCGATCGTGAGTATGGCGTGGAGAGGTACTGTTTAAAAACTCGAGCCATGACTCCGCCACACCGAGATGGCCGAGGATGGCAATCACACCGACGTGCCATATACTGCTCTCACCTCGTCTGAACTTCGTCTGTAGCATTGTGAAGTTACGTCGCAGCTTCTTGTGCAATATCAGTTCAGTGGTCGCCACACGTAGCAGCGCTTGCTTGACTTCTGACCATGTCTCTCCGGTACGTGCCCTCGTGGCACAGCCGTCATGATGCGAGCAGGGTAAGGCCGCCATGAAGAACTCTCTTTTGTACTGATCTTTGCGAACAGCATATACAGATCCAGTGGGCGTGTTCGGTCCCGGTCGACCCATGTAGTGACTCACTCGCTTGTGATACTCAGCACTATGGCCGCAACCAGGCCATGCTGCCACGCTTTCAAAGTAGCCCTCAAAGCACAGTCTCGTCGTGTCGGCAAATTGCCTTCCTAGCCACTGCAAAAGCAGCACTGAACAAGTCTCTGATGACATGAAAGTTTTGCGATCTGTCAGATACGTGATCTCCACTCGACTCTGCAGTTCCTGCCATTCCCATTTGGAAGGGAACAAGATTGCGTTGTTAATAATATTTGCGACTGACTCCAGGGCAGCCGGGTGTGCGGATTGAAGTTCCAGCAGGTCGTTTCTGGTGGCTTTGCTAATGGAAGTAAAATCGAGGATCGTTGCGACAAGGCAGCGGACTTGATCTCCGGTACACAAGCACAAGCCTGTGTTGGTAAGGGACAAGAAAGTTCCGAAGCCCTGGCGGATTCGAAAAATGGACTGCTGCTGACCCTCGGTCTCTGAAAAGAGATCAGACATGAAACACTCTACAGCGAGAGTGTTGGCAGCAAACAATGCTTGTCGAACATCCACACGACTCCGATGTCCACCATCGTCGACGGCAGTCATGTCTCCACTTGCATCAATCTCCTCCAACGCAATACGAGCAGACAAAACAGCATACCCATACCTCACGCCCCTGACCTCCAAAACATGTTCCAACTCCTCTCGCCACCGCTTCGTTGACTTGTCCGGTATAGAGCCATCGAATCGCCGTTGCCGATGCAGGAGTTTGATGTTGTTGACTCGCACCGGTGGGTTTCCAGTCTCCCATTCCAGGCTTTGTATGCTGCGTATCAAGGTATCGATAGGGTCATGGCTGTGCCGGGCTTCGTGCAGTATATCACGTTTTTGTTCTTCAAACGCATTCTTCTGCCGAGTCAGCAGAGATAATTGTGTGTTTGTTGTAGTCAGAGACATGGCGATGCTTGAAGAAATTACTGCCGATTATAAATTCACGCCAGATTCAAGTAGACGCGAAGAAAAACCTTGCGATGAGAAATTGGGGTCGAGCAGTGATCTATTGTCAGTTCCGAATTACAACAAATCAAGGAGCACTCAAACGGAGCAATCGGAGGCAAGTTCGGGGTCCTCGTCGAATGAAGATTGAGCCGAGGGCGACGAGACCAAGGGCTCGACTTGTGTTCCGGTGAACCAGAAAGTGAATTGCGGTGTCTTATTTGGGCCAATGTTCAGGAAAAAGTGGATGTAGTGGTTAGCCTGGTGACGCACAAGCTTCACCGAAGATCGGATCAACCTCGGTGTGTCGCCTCACCTGGCCGAACACTGCAACGTCCAACCTCACAATTGCGAGCAGGTTATCCATCCCTGTATATATTTCCTCATGGTGGTACGACAAGTCACTTATAATTACGATCATAGTAACAGAGCTCGAACACATGACGTCGATGCATGGAGAAGGCAGGATGACGGATCCAAGGCATGGTATTGCAATATGCTGAGCTATAAGCAATACCAAAGGTTCTCATGCAAGTTCGTGCCGGCGAGACGAGCGATAGTTAGGCAACTCTATAACTTCACTCTCCTGCAACTCTGCTGGTCTCTTTAGACTAGACACGGACGGATCGCGAAGCGTATAACGTGGCCCGGTAGAATGATCTTCTTGTGCCATCTGCATCTCCGTCGAATCCAAGTGCCTTGATGATGGCGTGGGCCTTCGTTGTCTTCGGAAGTAAAGGGATACACCGATGATGATGGCAAGTACGGCTACTGCACCGACCACAATCCCGGATATCGTACCCGCGGACGGACCCGTGGGACTCGACGTACCATCCGGAGACGTTGTTGGTGTAGTTGTCGCTTGCGCAGAAAGTTCAGAGGAAGATCGTCCAGATTCAGAGACAGCGGATGTAGTTGATAATAACCTTGCAGAGGAGCTGCTAACAGAATTTGAGGAGCTCGACGATGTAGATCCAGCAGAGGAGTAAATGGTGACAACAGCAGTAGATGCTGAGCTCGGGGACACAGAACTCGACAATTGCGAAGTAGTCGTCGTAGTAGATAAAGAGCTCGGTGCGTGGTCGGTTGTCGTGACTATCGCTGCTTGCACAGCCACTGAAGATGTCTCAGACCCATCTCGGATCCAGAACTGGCCTGTGTAAAAGCCACCACCCGCTTGCTCCTGCGCAGTGCCTGCACTGTTGACAGCCCGGAACGAAAAGGGCAGTGAGTTGTTGCCGAAATCATCGACTGTCCAGAGAAAGGATGTATCTGTTGTGGCGACTGCCAGGTATCAGCACCTGGTGTGACATTGAAGGTATTCAGACGACAGTACTTCTCAACGCTCNNTGGAGTTAACGTAGTCTTGCCCGAATATTAGAAACAAGTTTACGCTCTTATAGGTAGAAGTCCAGGTTACGTTGATCTCTGATCCCTTGTCGATGATCTGTGTATTGAAGGTGTTTGGACTCGAGAAAACTCCATCACGATACGATGGCGCTGGCGATAGTCTGGTAGTGGTCTGACTCCGGACGGTAGTAGCAACAAGAAACAACAGGACGCGAAGACTGAAGTAATGCATTGCAATGTGCAGTGGTACCATGAATCAGAGCTCAGGGGAAGATGCAAGAATAAGTAGAAGAGCTGACTGGTGAAGGTCGGGTTGATGAGCAACAGCTCTCGGCTCACGCGTAGCATGCCATCGCCTGGCCTGCTCTTTGCCTACCTATCCTTCGGCGGCAAGTCCAGCATGACATTGATGATCAGCCACGGCGAGGGACTTCTGACACGATGTCTATCGAGCGGATGCACTCGAGCGGCTCCAGAACTGGCCTGTATGGCGCGCTTAACTGCACACGCGCTCGCCTAGACGTAATCATCAAGTTCCGACACGCAACACCTTTGCAGAGATTACGGTGTTTGCCAACGGATCTTGGTTCTGGGACCAGATTTGGCATCGGTGGTTTCCCTTGAAGCTCTCATCCGGTATCTGAACGTGTTTCTCAGGGTGAAGAGAAGCTCCAAGGCGCGAGCGAGCGAAGACGGACATGCTGAAGCACGGTCCACACACGCGACGGCAGCGCCTGCTTACTAAGCTTCTTAGTCGGCTTTGGCGATTCAAGCACACCCAAGAGCTCGTTGCGCGATCAATCCTTCCAATATGTGATCCTTGCTCAAAGGCACGACTCTTTTGCGGCGGCCCTTCGAGCACTATGATTGGGCCAAAGATCCGTTATATGCATGCGTCTGAATTATAGCCGCTCACAATGTGACAGTGATCATCTGCTTTTTACGCGCCTCTATTATTGACTCACACTTGGCGTTTGGCATCCATTGCAGGCCAACGAACAGTTTCTGCGCCGCCGTGACGATCCACCTGACATCTTCCGACAATATGGCCACCCCTCCACTGATGATTCGAGTTTGGACGTGGTATCCTGACAAAGAGTGCAAGTCGTTGCACTTCTCGTCTTTGTCGCACAATTTCTTTCCTTCCTTGCTGTTCAAGCCAGATGCTCTCTATGGGATCTTTCATAAGGTTCTTAGAACACGTTTTCACTTTCTCACGGCGAAGATTACAGGCATATCTTCGTGCTATTGTTGTGTGTATCTTTGTTGTTCTGTTCTGGCTCAACTTTCCTTTGCTCGCCCGTTTGGAGAAGCGGATAGCGAGACATGATCGCGCTATTGTACCACCTGGTCCAGACTATAGACATCTCCCTGGAGCCAACGAAACACTGGTAATCATGAGGACTGGCTCAACGGAACTGCAAGACAGATTACCTATTCACCTGGCCACGACATTGCTTCGCTATCCCGATAGCATTATCTTCTCCGATTACGAAGAAGAGTTTCAAGATCGCCACATCCTCGACGCTTTGGAGGGTGTAAGCCCGTATCTTAAAGAGACAAGTCCGGATTTCGACCTTTGGCGACGATTGAAGCAGTACGGTAGAACAATACTGAGGTCAGACGAACTGAGCGGGAAAGCCATTTGGCTTGATGGTGGTGCTGGAAAAGCCAAGAACCCTGGCTGGTATGATGTTAAACTCTACATGTTGGGCAGAGAACTGACAATCTTGTCTAGGAAGCTGGACAAGTTCAAATTCCTTCCAATGGTCGAACGGACGCTGCATGAATATCCGGATAAGAAATGGTATGTTTTCGTCGAGTCCGATACCTTCATATTCTGGCAAACTCTGCTGGTCTACCTGTCCAATCTCGACTGGACCAAACCCTATTATCTTGGAGGCCAGATCAGTATCGGCAGTATAGAATTTGGTCAAGGAGGTAATGGATACATTGTCTCCCGTCCTGCTCTTCGAAACATGGTCTCTCACTACCAAGCTCATCAAAAAGAATACGAAGACTTTACCGAAGGTCATTGGGCTGGAGATTGTGTACTTGGTAAAGCCCTCAAAGACTCTGGTACTTCGTTGACTCGCGCCTGGCCCATATTCCAAGGCGATGATGTCGGAAACATGAATTATAATCACAAGACGCAGTGGTGCCAGCCTACTGTCTCGTATCATCATGTCTCGCCATCAGCCATACAAGATCTGTACGACTTTGAAAAAGCATGGATGGCAGACACAAGTAATGTACGGCTATCTATAGTCTTGGAGTCCAGCCTCACATGTTTGATGTTTGCTGACGTATTTTCACAGAATACCAGTAGTTACCTACGTCACAGAGACATTTTCAGACTCTATGCTCTACCGCGAATGGTTTCTCCACACATTGATTGGGATAACCATAGCAGCGACGACCGAGGCCTCGCAGAATCTCTTGAAAACTGTAGGGAGCTATGCGAAGCAGATGATCGTTGCCTGCAGTATGCGTTGACTGCCGAGAGCAGATGTCTCACGACCTCTCGACCTAATGTAGGACAATCGGCTACGCATATCTCATCCGGCTGGATATTCGAGAGGGTGCAGAAGTTCTACGATGTAGCAGAAGAATGTCATGGTGGAGAGTGGATTTCATAATGATGTTCCGTCAAGCTTCGGCCGTATCATGATCCGCCTACTATCACAAGTACTCTAGCATCTTCCTCACCCAACCACTTTCTGACGCGATATGCATAGATACGAGCTCATATGTATCTCCTTGCAAGGATACCCACTCGTATCTGTGCCGCAATAGCACGTCGACTATCTATCCAGCTATTTTGCTGTCTTATCAGGTCCGATCACGCTTTGCTTGGCGTTATCGCCCCGCGCTAGTGTTTGTCTCCTGCCTTGTCGAGAAGGTCGACAAACAAACTCCGGCACTACATTGCAGATCTACCCTCCCTCCCAAACTTCGCTACCCCTCAACATGTCCGACTTCTCTCCACACTCGTACCTGTTCAGTGCTGTCCACTCAACTTTGATGAAAGCATGCGCCGCCCGCTGCCGTGTCCACTATCGCCATACTGTATATCGTATTGCTGCACGACCCTACGGCCGAAGTGGGCAGGTAGGTAAATAGGTAGGTGATCTCTTTTGTTGTGTCCATGGAAAGTATCTATCAATTGATATAAAGCCTCTCCCCGAGGTTCTCGTCTTATTCGTAAGTGGTTTATCATTGATCGTGATGTATAATCGACCTCAAAAGCTCGCGGTGCTCTCGCTTCTGAGCAGCACAAGTGTGCTCGCCGCTCCATGGCAGAAATCAGAACCTCATTCTTTCCCTCACCCAGGATGGTCGTCCCCAAGGTACTCTAAATCCTTCTGACTGCGTCTGAGATAAGCACTCATTGTTCCAGCGTCATCTCTCCAGCTCAGCCAGCACCCTCTTTTCATCACTCCAAGCTTTCTTGGCCTGTTGCCAATTCCACCACAATCGCTCCATCAGGTAGCGGTACTGGCGTCTACTCTATTATCTATTCTACCGACACCGTGACAAGCACCGCCACTTCTCAGATTGCAATTACTCTCGCCCCTCCAACAGCAAAACCTTCTCCTACCTCAATTGCTTCCGGACCGCCTGCTTCGAGTCTCTCGCCCGGGGATGCAGCCTGCGCCAGCGTCAAGAAGCTAGTGGCTTCACAGACTTCTGCATCTCCCAAAGCCACTCCGACCATTCCTGCTGAGATCGCTTACGAGTGCTTGAACGCTGTGCCGTTCAATCAGAGCGCAGCAGCAGATCTGTTGGAGAGCATGAGACCTTATCTCCAATGGCAGACTACTATTGAATATCTGAAGGATCCGCCTGCTGAGGTATGCAATCCATCTTGTGACATCTGTTTCTTGAACTCGAAGCACTTCCGCTGATTGTGTTTCTAGTACGCCGAGAAGATTCAAGCTCCCTACGACTTCTGGAATGTGTTCGAAGGAATAGTCGCCAAGGTGAATGCTGGCGCTTATGCTAGCGAGTATGCCTTTGGCTTTGATCTCTACGAGGCTACTCAGAAGACACACGATGGTCACTTTGCCTTCGTTCCAGACAGTGTCGTTGGTGTCTTCAGCTTTGGACGCAAAACCCCTCTTGTCTCTGTATCAGAAGATGGAACCAGTCTTCCCGTCATATATGCCTACGCTGACATCCTCACTCAATCATTCGGCAACGCAACATTTACACCTTCCCCAATCACCCATATCGATGGCAGGAACGTGACTGAATACCTTTTGGAGTGGTCTCAGTACGGTAGTCTTCAGGACAGAGATGCCTTGTGGAACAATCTGTTCTACATCCCTGCTCAGGTGTCTCTCGGAACATCGGGTACTGGTACTGGCACATTCAGCGGAGGTGGTCGCGGTAGATATGTTTACCCAGGAGCTTCGACAACCTTCGACTTTGCCAATGGAACATCAACCACCAACGAGAACTTTGCCCGCGTGCTTCAAGACTTCACCAACATAACCACTGGTGCTGATATCTACCAGCAATTCTTCGCTGTGGGTCCCGAAGCATACCAAGACGCTCTTCAGCTTGCTACATCTACCACCAGCAGCACCATCGCTCCCACTACCAACGCCACCAGCTCGACATCAACAGCTGCCAAGACCACTCCCGCACCGGGTTACCCATCTCCTATCGTCAAACAGACCAACAACCTCAACTCGGGCTACTTCATCCCCGAAGCTGACTACGACGATGTAGCAGTATTGGTCGTGCCCTCCTTTGTCAGTCTCGACTCCGCAGAGGTCGAGTTCCAAAACGTGAACAGCGAACTCATTGCCGCCGCACTTGCTGCCAACAAGACGAAGCTCATCATTGACGTTTCTGCCAATGGTGGTGGCACCATCTTGCAAGGCTACGATCTCTTCAAGCAACTCTTNCCCTCCATCCTTCCTTACGGTGCTACTCGTTTCCGCGCACACGAAGCATTTGACGTGCTCGGGCAGGAGTATTCCGAGATCTCGGCACACTACCCTAGAAGCTTGGCCGAGAACGATACGGTCCGCAGCATCCTGTCTTCGGCATGGAACTACCGCACCGACGTCGATGTCAACTACGAAAACTTCTACAGCTGGGATGAAAAGTATGGTCCTCATGAGTTTGGCCCTTACAACGACACCTTTACGTCCATCATCCGTTGGAATATGTCCGACGTCTTGACTACAGACAACTCTGGCGGTATCGTCATCAGTGGCTATGGAAACCGCACAAATGTCACTACCCAACCTTTTGCCGCCGAAGACATTATTATCGTATATGACGGCTACTGCGCCAGCACCTGCACCATCTTTTCCGAATTGATGCGTCAACAAGCCGGTGTAAAGACCGTTGCCCTAGGTGGCCGTCCCAACTACGACATCATCCAAGCAGTCGGCGGCGTAAAAGGCACAAACGACTTCCCCTGGAGTTACATTCTCGAAAGCATCGAGGGAGCATTTTCCTTTGCCAACGAATCCCATCGCGAACACCTCAACGACAGCACGCCCTTTGGATACTACAACCAATTACCTCTATACCGCTCGGCATCAGGCCCAGTAGTCAACAGCAGAGACGGCATCAGACAAGGCGACACCACAGAAACACCTCTCCAATTTATCTTTGAACCAGCCGATTGCAGAATTTTCTACACGCCGGAAATGGTTGTTGATCAAGCGGCCGTGTGGAAATCTGTGGCTGACAGTGTGTGGGGAGATGTGAATCATTGTGTGGCTGGCAGTGGTGATTTCTATGGCCATAGTAAGAGGAGTGTTGGAGAGGTGCAGAAGCATAGAGTTAGAAGGGATATGAACTTTGCTGAGCATTGGGTGGGATTGGGTGTTAGTACTGGAGAAGGGATGACGCTTGGTGGTGATGCTATCATGTATCCTTAGATCAGAAGAGTCATGAGTGGAAGATGGAGGTAATGGAGTATCTAGCAAAGCATCTTACGATCATACACAAAGTAATGGCCACACATCTCTGTTGTGTCGTGATGCCACTCCGCACAAAGTATCGTTTGCAAAAGCGTATGCAGATTGGTTCTGAAGAGCCGATCACAGGATTCGTCGCCATGAATGTTCAAGTGATGATTCTGTCAGCCAGAGTCGACGATTGTCAAGCCTGTTGATGAGGTATTGCACGTTGTGTTGGTAACGGATGATGACCCTCCAGTCATGCTTCCCGATAACTCTAGTCAAGAAGCGCATAATCAAAATTCCATTTGCTACCTGCGCTTCACGTGTCGTAAAGCAGTTTTGATCATGAGAGAAATTAGATCTTGATACCTTATAGTGGCCTATCTGTCGGCAAGCGCTTCTTCAGCTTTTTTTCCGCGAACAATTTTTCTGAACCAATATCACGAAGAGCGATTGACTTCTGAACACTGAAAACGGTATTGCCTGATTTATTGAGCAATTACTTAGAGGTCCTGCATCTCGTCCACCATCTCAAGCATTCATATCCTTTTCGGGACTGTTTAACCCAGAGGCGAACCACACAGCAGAGCTTGACCAAGNNCTAAAAGCAAAGATATTAGTCTCGACTCGTCTAAGCGCAGCACCACACAACTCACAATAGGCAACAAGCAGCAACGAGCCTGTTGGCCCTCGGTAGCGCAAATGTTGATAAAGTCAGTCTCGTTGGTGGGAGTGCTTGGTGCNNTGCAAAGATTCATTGTCAGTACTCATTGTCACAAATGACATGGTAGTCTTGGATTCTTGTATTGCTTACGGTTTGCGCAGTTCAAGTCAGCAACACCGAGGACGTCGGTCGCGCAACATTGAGCATTGCTGTATGTACCGCTGCAGATGACGCTCTGGGCAGCGACCTGGCGAGCTGAGATATCGGCAGGGGCAGCTGCGACGATGGAGCTGCCAACGAGGGCGGTGACGATGGTTGCGGCGAGCATTTTGATAGAGGTTCGATTGATCGTTTGAGTAACAAGATGGAAAGATGAAATTGGTTTGATGGAAGCAGAATTCGGAGACGTAAGGTATGTTACTTTATACCCATCGCCCTCTCGTCGTCAACTTGATTAGGTGCGCAATCGCTTGGTTGTACCAGCGTCATCTCTGCCCTTGATGTCAGTCTTGACCATGACCATGACCATGACCATCCATGACCGTTGGTTGCAGAGAACGGCTCGTGGCACTTTCAAGGCGGCTTGTCGCACTGCCTTACAACCAGTGTGGTGGGGATCAAAGAGTCTATTAGATTGGTATAGCGCAAGCATTGCAAGGATCCCAGTAGTCGCGACTACGTGAGACTAGACACGCAGCATCATCAGAAGGGTCGCTTGCATTGGTTGGCGGCCGGTTGGGCCGAGTATCGCCAGTTCGCCCAGTCAACTGACGTTGATCTGGTCCCTTAATATATTTTTTCGACCTGGAGTAACATGAATTGGAGAAAGTCTTTGTTCAAAAGATCGTCCCATGACGGTGGTGGTACATAGGCGAAGCTGTAGCACAGCCTTGTTTATATCAAAGCAGCTGTCCCGAGTACTTAGACTGTTTGAGATTAAAGGTGATCGTCAGTCGTCCACGCCAGTTGTTGCTTGAGCGCGATGAAAATAGGAACAGTTCAAGAGTGATGAGGCGGGACGTCGTTGAGAGGCACGGGAAAAGAGCGGGGAAACAAGGAAGGGGCGACGCTTGTGCCCTGATTGGACTTTCCGTCCTCGATTATCTCCGACCACCAGGAAAGCTCTGGCAGGTCGCCTGCAGACAGATGAAAGCAGGACGTCATCGGGACTTTCTTACTGTTGGAGTTGCGGTACCTTGCAGCTTTCATGCTGACTGCAGACCAGGACGACGACATCAATCCCTTTGCGCTTAGCGACAGCGCGAGCTCTTTGAGAGACGAGTAATTGACGCGTGCACCTCTTGCAACAAAAGCGCGAGTTTTGCCTGGCGTGAGGCAGAACAGGTGTATGTATTAATCTAATATGGAAAATCTATGATATTTCAGAGAGGAGTTTCGGGGTTGAACATCAACTCCGCTAGCTCTCGATCTGAGAAGCGTCACTCAGGACATCTGCGGCAATCTTCTCGCCAAGCGCATAGACTGTCGCTTGTGGATGACCAGGCGGCAGGAAGGGGAAAGCCGAAGCGTCAACAACACGCAACGAATTGACGCCAATGACGCGAGCCTTGGAGTCGACCACAGCCATTGGGTCGTCGACCTTGCCCATTGCACAGGTACAAGAAGCGTGGTACACTGTCGCAACATACTGCCTCACGAACTCTTCAATCTCAGCATCAGTAGTGTAGTTCCTGCCAGGCAAGAGTTCCTCTCCGATCAAGATCGGCTGCATTGCGCTGGCGCCGAAGAAGTCTCTGCCACGCTTGATGGCCTGTACTGCGACTTCGACATCACTTGAGTTGCTCAGCCAGCCCGGGTTGATGAGTGGAGGATCCGTGGCGTCGTTGGATGATATGGAGACACTTCCACGGGAGAGAGGGGTGATGAGCGCAATTTGAACAGAAGCATACTGTGCGGAGTCGGAGATTTTGACTCCTTTCGTAAGCGGCGGGAAGCTGCTAACCAAGAATTCTAGGTTAGGCCAGTCGGCAGGGAAGGCGGAGAGTGCTTGCTGCGTGATGTTGCTCAACTGGTCGAAATTTTCGGCTGGCAACTTTTCCCATCCGAGATAATCGCCTCCCGCGTTTGTAAGTATGCCTGTTGCGTTCTTGTTGTATTGCAACGAGGCTCTGGCAGCGAAAGCTGGGTCGCTTAAGGAATTCAGAGTTTCCACATCCACTTGATACATGACTGGGAAAAGAACATGGTCCCACATGTTGGATCCAATGCCAGGTCGGTCAGCAATCATGGAGATATTGTGTTGCTGCAGGGTCGATGTAGGACCAACGCCAGACACCATCAGCAGTTGCGGCGATTGGAAAACACCAGCAGACAAGATGACCTCTCGCGTAGCGTTCAAAGTGTAGGGCGTGCCGGCTGTCTCAACAACGACTCCAGTCGCGGTCTTGTTCGAATCGAAAATAATCTTCTTCGCCATCGTGTGTATGAAGACTTCAAGTTGGGCCTCGTCGTCAGCGAGCGACTGTTGAAGGTATGACGACTCGCTCGTGCTGCGAGTCTCATCATCTGGGCGAATAGTCGCGGGGCAGTATTGCGATCCGAGCAACTCTCCACTGCTAAAGTCCGAGATGTCGGGCACTCCAATTTCTCGCAGGGCAAGCTGACCCCAGGATGAGAAGGGTGAGGCATAGTTCTCGAACGAGACGTGAAGGGGACCGTCAGTGTTTGAGAAAGCTGAAGCATTGGCTGGAGGAACGGTAGCGTTCGCTGCGCGGAGGTTGTGATTCGGTGCTGTGTAGTTTACACTCTTTTCGAAGAAGGGAAGGAACGAGTCGAAGGCGTAAGTTTGGTCATCGACTGTATCTGCCCATGCGGCATATGACTGCCTTGTTCCTCGATGGTAGGCCATGACATTTAGTGCGGAACTNNGTGGTAAAGTTGTAAGTCACGTTCATGCAAATCACTCGCTTTCTCATGCGTACCTTCCGCCCAGAGTCTTTCCGCGATCATATTCGAAAGTCTGATTGTTCAAATCCGGCTGTTCGGTTGTGTTGAACCNCCAATCTACTGAGGGGTGACCCAAATTGTCGGTGTAGTATCCAGGTACGATTGTGAGATTGCCGTTCTCGAGTTCATAGAAGCCGCCAGCCTCTACAACCGCTACTGTATATGTCCCGTTCTCGGCAAGACGAGTTGCCATCACAAGGCCAGCGGTGCCACCACCGACGACAACATCTGGAAATTGTTAGCTGTGCCGTCACGAAGGCCGCAAGAAGGGAGACCAACAGTCGTAGCTTGCATCAGATCCTGCACGGCCGAAGTGATTGGAGTATGCTGCACTGCCAAACGGTAAAGAGACAGCTTGAACGCTAGCGACCAGCGCACAGAAGGACAGGACTGATAGCATATTAGCTGTGGCTATGTGAGTATGTTAAATTGGATATGAGGCTCCGGACAACTTATTTGTATGGCAACATCTCGCAATTGCGTCGTCGGCAGTCATGAAAACAGAAGATCGAGCTGGTGCAAAGTCTTGTATAGGAATAACGCACTACGACATGGTGTAGATCTATCCACAATGACGATGATCATCTTCTGATAATCGGACATGAGTCAAGCATGCCGAACTTGAACCTTGTTGACAACTTGATTAGAATCCCATCGTTGGTAAATAGGCAAATTGTGTCAGGATCAGAGAGCTGTATACCCCTGATGTTCATTCCGGCTATATGTCTATACAGATGTTCTGTGCTTACAAGATTGTTGACAGGACGTATCTGTGTTGCGCAGATCAACGACGGGCGTGGGGCGGTTTTCTTCGCACTTCCCAGTAACGCTCACAACAGTTTCTGGTTGCGACCAGATGACATTATGATCCCTGTCGATGGCCCAGTCGATGGAGATGGTTTCAAGAGAAGCGATCATGCCTGGTTGGTATCAAGATATGAAGGAGGAGTGCGCAAGGCAAAAAGAGAAAGAGCTGGAGCACAGACCACTCGTCATCTTTCGACCTCCGCTCCTTCCTCCAATATGACCTTCCTATCGCGTTCACCAGTCAGTATCCAATGACTCGAAGTTATCAGCATAAAATCTTAAGTATGCTGTAATTGTTTGTGCCACCGCGATGACTTACTTCTGACAACCTTCTCCGTCTGAATCCAGGCCGCCATTCTAGCAAGATTTTTTGACCACATATCGCATCATCAAGGATGTTCTAGCTTTGTGTCCGTCATAAGCTTGCATAAAAAAACCCGTCCCATCGATTGCATAAATTCCACTCGGTTCTCTTGAACATTTCGATCATGTCTACCCAGCTCGACGCCGATTCTATCGCCCGCTTCTCCTTGCACGATTCCAGTCACTTCAACATTCAACAGTCTCAGACAATCCATCGACTAGTGCTCCTGCAGCACTGGAAAATCCGTGCCGGCTCGAAGGTACTGGAACTAGGATGTGGTCAGGGTGACTGTACGACTGTTCTTGCCTCTATAGTGGGCGAGCAGGGAAGAGTCGTTGCAGTCGACCCAGCGGATCTGGATTATGGTTCTCCTTACACCCTCGGGCAAGCACAAGACCACATCTCGAAAAGCCCGCTAGGTGGACGGATCACTTGGGTTCAACAACTACCTCTGGATTACCTCTCGTTCTTGTCATCCTCTGACCCCGCTTCTGACGGCAAAAGTTTTGATGCAACAGTGCTCGCTCATTGTTTATGGTACTTCCCCTCACCTTCTCTTATCCTCGACACTTTCCGTGCTCTCAAGCAGCACAGCAAGCGCCTCCTGCTCGCCGAGTGGTCGTTGATAGCCACGCACCCCTCCGCTCAGCCACACGTCCTAGCTGCGCTTGCACAAGCAGCACTAGAGTGCCGCAAGCCTCAGAGCGAATCAAATGTTCGCACCGTGCTAGGACCAAAACGACTCACTGAGCTAGCTCTAGCTGCTGGATGGCAACTTGAGAATGAGACACGAGTGCAACCTTCGGAAGGGCTATTAGATGGAAAATGGGAAGTATCTGCTTGTCTTTCTACCTCTTTCGAGAAAGAAGTAGAGGACAAAGTAAGTAATGAGAGAGAAAGAGGCGTGGTTCTTGCGTTGAGGGATGCGTGTGAGGCGAGCTTGGAAGGTGTTCANGGGGGTCGCAAAGGAGTCAAGTCGATGGATGTTTGGGTTGCCAGTTTTGTCTAGTTGAGTGAATCAGGCCAGTGTTTGGAAGGCCTCTGGAATGTTCGCTGTGAATTGTTATTTGCAGGAAATTGTTTCTATCTGGACTTCTCACACAACATAAATACCATCACAAACCGATCATTGGCTTCCAATCACCAGAAGCCAACATGTGCCGGGAAGCATCATGCACCATTCCCCGACAACGGAGGTCCAGCAGGATCCTCCATACACTGATCAACACGCATCAACTGCTTACCCGTCGCCTTGGCTATCTGTATGAACTGGCGAAGGTAGCCCACAGTGCTTGGGTACAAGTAGTGCATGACAACCAGATTGCCGCCCTTTGCAACATCGCCTTTGAAGGCATCGAGTTGTTTCTCTGGCGTGTCTGTCTCAGCCCACAGCCAGTCCTCAACATCGACGCTCCAGTTGACAATGTATGGCTCATCAGATCCAGTAGCTACGGCCAAGCGCCGCCGCGTCCTCGCACCCTCATTGCCAAACGGAGGTCGGAAGTAGCGTGTATTGCCTACACGAGGCAGTATTTTTTTGACAGCGGCGATGTTTTNGGTATACTCCCAATTGATGACTGCGTAATCGGGTAGACTCTCCATCTTTGGATGTGTGTAGGAGTGCAAAGCGACTTGATGACCGGCTGATACCATCTCGTTGTGTACATTGGAGAGCTTCGTGCTGGGATCGAGAAGAGGTGCGCCGACGGTGAAGAACGTCACTTTGATGTTTTCCTCTTTGATGATGCTGAGGACTTCTTGCGTGTACTCAGGAGAGCCGTCGTCGATGGCAAACGCGAAACTGTTGGGTCGTTTGCATGCAAAGATGAGGTTGCCGGATGCAAGCTTGCTGGGCACCTTGAAGGTTACTGGAACGGATTTGACAATCTCGATCTTGGTCAGAGTAACAGGATCAGCTTTGTAAAACCCCTTGAGAGCAAAGCCGATAGCACGACTTTTGTTAATGTTGAAGTGGTTCATGGGGATATAAACGTCTGTGGCAGTGGCATAACGGGCAGCTTCAAATGGATTCCACATCTCAGGATAAGGCGCTATAGTTTCGTCACAGGCAGGATTGTGCTGCTGCAGAGCGATAGTAAAAGCATTGGTGCCGGTATAGGCAACGTGGAGGTAGCTTCGATCGTACACGGTCATGTTGCGACAACCACCAGATAGTTGAGTGTAGAAGGCATAGTCTGCGTCGTTGGACTGGATGGTCAATCTGTTTGTCCCCCAAATCAAAGTCATGCCTCCGTCAGCGCCATGCCAATTGCCAAGTGCATTGCTCTCTTGACTTCCGAAAGTGTCTATGATAAGTGCAGATGCTGTAGTCGCTGGTGCCGGGACCGTCGAGGAGGGACCACTAGGAGCCATGGAGATGCTGGAAATATACTCTGTGGGAGTGTTGCCACAGTAAAAAGCCACAGGCCCAAAAGTGACAGGCGAAGTCAGCTGAGAAAACAGCAGTGTTGCGACTTTTGAAATGTCCACGCCACTGAACTTGCTGAAAGGTATATTGTAGAGCTTCTCAGTCCCATCGAAGACCCATCCAAGATCGCTGCTTGAAAGGGTCGTCTGCTTGTCGCTCTCGCCATTGCACCCAGCGCCGAGCTCGACAGAAAGTCTTGTCTCTGCAGGAGCACTAAGCAGCATTGAGATGCCGCCGAAGCGGTCTTTGGCGCTGGTACAACCAAGCTGTGTGTAGAAGTAGCCACTGGAATCCTTGGGACTGTATGTCACTCTGTTCTTGGTCGGATTGACGATAAAAGATGCCATAGTTCCTTCGTCTGAGCTGGGATTCAGCAAGGCGTTGTAATACAAGAAAGTCAAACGAGATTGCGAAGTCCAGTCATCAATTAGAAGACTGGTACATTGACCGGTAGGAGCTGGAGCACTGCTAGGTACAGTCAAGAGAGAAGTGGTTCGGGAGGTGACGCCGCTAGACCGAGAAGTAGGACTGGAGCCAGTGACAGAGTCGCATGCGAATTGGATCTTGCCAAACTCCCAGGTGGTCGACAAGCCAGAGAACCCACTCCAGACAAGACTCGTGATAGCATTGGAGTTCGCACCAGGGAAAGAAGACAGCGGCACAGTGACGGTCTGAGTTATGCCGGTCAGGTCGGATACGTAGTAGAAGTAGCTCTGGTAGGCTTCGGCAGAACATGTGTTCTTAGTCTGAATCTCGAGTGTGAAGGATCCTCCAGCAGGACCTTTGAGAGGAAAAATGATAGCGTGGTAGCCATTGGACGAGGCAGCTTGACAGGTGAATGTCTCGTAGAAGTATGAGTTGGCATTAGGCACCACCGACAACCTGCCATTAGCGACCCGTGCAGAAACCATGGTACCATCATCTACGTAAATCAGCAAGAGCAAAGGGTCGGAAGCGAAGCGGGCAAACGAGATATAAGATGNTGCCCAGGACATACCGCTGGTTCACTCGTTCAAGCTATTGGAGTTGGATGACCATGTGGAAAAGTCGTCAACGACAAGAGAAATGGAGCAAGCGGCAAATGCTGCCTTTGTACTGGCAAAGAGTGTTAAGAATCTGGGGATGTGCATCTTTGTGTAAAATCAGGTCGATAAAATGAGTGCGTTCAATGTATCGAACATCGAAGTGAAGAGCGAGAAGCGTGTCCAATAAATACAATGTCGACACAGTAGAAGACACGGCAGACCATCATGTAGTGATGTCGTCGAGCCATGGCATGCAGCATTTTTCAAGACTCCTATGCAGCCAAAACACTGCCCTGCTTCACATATCGTCCTTCCGTCGCAAAGTGAAAACAAACCACGTCAGCCAAGAGTCGAAGCTCTCGCCATCCGAACTAGAGATGCCAGAGTAGATCTTCACAAGAGAGCATCAGGTACATTACCATGCAGAGCAGCTATTGTCAATATTCCAATCAGAGCAAAAGCGCCCAGTCGAAAGCTGTAGAGATGTGCATGCAGGGAACACGAGGTAGCACGAGCGAAACACAGCTATGTGCAGGAAACACGAGAATGGTCGCACCGTCTTGTTCGATTTTCTGTTCGCATGCACTTATTGTCGTCATGCCACACAGACTGCGAAGGACTAATTTGACGCATTCTCCACGTCGTTGTTCTTGCGAGTCTGTTCCTCGTGCGTCGCGACGTGGACCGCCCTCGAGATCGCGTTCGCACACGAAACGACGTTACCTTTGCCGCGTCCATAGTGCAGAGTTGGCAAGTCTTCACGCGCCCACCTGGCAGAATAACACGCTCCAAGATGTACGCAGTGAAAGAAGGTCTCCAGCCCCTCCAGATCCGAGCGGACCAAGACTTGGCAAACTTTTGTCGCATAACTCGCGTCGGCAGAATCTCGCAACCTCCCGTCTAAAAACACCCTGATGATCGACATTTCCTCTTTCATCTCTCTCTGTCTTCTCACCTTGGTTTTCAGAATGGCATCGCCTCTTCTGTATTGCTGTCGTTACGCATATCGTTATGTTTGCTCACATGACTTACCAGAATAATTTTATCATGAAGGATAGCCTTTTTGGTTGATTACCTGCGTGAACACGTGGTCGCAATTCCTCGAATAAGGCTAATGTACTATACCTAATCCAGCCTAACCACCTCGAGTATACCCTTCATGTCGACAACTGGCATCTGGAGAACCACCCCGTGGGTGTTGAGGATCACCCCTTGATCTCAATCAATTTCCTAGATTCTGGAGCTCTGGGTATTTGATAGGTCGGCTTCTTATCTTCTTTCTGTTATCTACATCTTCTACTTCTACAATATCCTTCAATCATCGCGCTGTTAAAGTCGAGCCTGGCAGTTGTTATCACGTTCGCGACTCTTACCCCACTTCTCATATGGCCGCCCCCAACAACATGACTTCTTCTCAGAATGACGAAACAAAGGACCCCGAACATGTCGATGCCTCGCCTCGTCCGATCAATGTCTATACCGACGATGAGACTTCATCTCTCGGTAAAGGAGATATACTTGGTGCCGAGCATGTCGACCCTGTCTTGAATGCCAAAATGCACCTGGTCAACAATGCCATCGACGAAATTGGTTTCACCGGCTACCACTGGAAGCTGTTCGTCCTCAATGGTTTCGGGTAAGTCAAGTCCTCGTTCAGAATAGGCATTGTTTTCTCTACGCTCAATGCGCACTCGCGATGCGCTGTTATCCCATGAATTATCGAGCTCCTTTGCTTGTGCGACCCCACGCGACTTGCTATCCCTATCGTATACACCCCCAGCTGTGCGCGTCTGTATCACGTGCTTTCATCATCGCACGAATTGGACACATCGAATAGCTGACGGTCTGCTTTCAAAGATACGCAGTTGATTCTCTGCTTCTGCTGGTCCAGGGAAACATCGCCTCGTATGCCGCCAAAGAGTTTCAACCGTCTTTCCCTAAGGGTAAAGTCACAAAACGGTCCTCGGGATATGCAAACTTATCTAACCACTTTCCAGGCCTTACGATTGCCGTCTATGTTGGCATGTTGGTTGGCGCTCTCTTCTGGGGCTTCTCAGCAGATGTCATTGGCCGCAAGTTCGCCTTCAATTTCTCCCTCATGATCTCTTCGGTCTTCGCTATCGTCGCTGGCGCTTCTCCAAGTTGGACTGTTCTTGGTCTCTTCATCTGCTTGTCCGCTTTTGGAAGTGGTGGTAACCTTGTACTCGATACGGCCGTGTTCCTCGAGTACCTCCCCAGCCAGAGTCAATGGATGATCACTGCCTTGGCTGCGTGGTGGGGACTAGGACAACTGATTGCTGGTCTGTTTTCTTGGGCTTTCCTACCTGATCACTCTTGCGCGACTGCTGCGACCTGCACTCGCTCGAACAACATGGGCTGGCGCTATGTCTGGTTCGCTAATGGTGCTCTTGTCTTTGCCATGTCTCTTGCCCGCATCTTTGTCATCAAGCTTAGAGAAACACCGAAGTTCCTGATTGGTGAAGGCAAGGATGCTGAAGTTATTGAGACTCTGCAGTTTATCGCGACCAGGTACAATCGACCTTGCAGTTTGACTCTGGAGCAGCTAGAGGCATGTGGCGACAGCCATGCAGCGTAAGTTCTGTTGCTCGAACTCTGCGATACGTAAGGACAGCCGCTAAAATCTGAAAACAGCACGTCTGCTTCGCATGCCAAGCTGAAGTTCTCNCCCATGGAAATTGTCGTCCATTGCCGCGGTCTTTTCGCAACCAAACGAATGGGGCTTTCAACATCTCTCATCTGGTTCTCGTGGCTTCTCATCGGCTTAGCTTATCCTCTCTACAACGTCTTCCTACCCACTTACCTGGCTACCCGTGGGGCTGAATTCGGCGAACAGTCTCAGACCATTTATTGGCGCAACTATGCTATTGCTAATCTCTGCTCCATCCCATCTCCAATTCTGGCAGGATACATGTGCAGGAGTAAATTCTTTTGGGGTAGAAGAGGAACGATGATCATTGGCGCTCTAACCACCATGGCATTCTTCTTCGCTTACACTCAAGTTCGCAACAATGCTCAAAATCTTGCTTTCACTTGCTGTATCGGCTTTTTTTTTGGTATGAATGTCTTCCTGTCTTCGCTGCCGAACTACAACTGACATCTGAAGAACATCTACTATGCCACGCTGTATGCTTACACTCCAGAAGTACTCCCATCCGCTCACCGTGGTACTGGAAACGGTATTGCTATTGCGATGAACAGAGTCATGGGCATCATTAGTGCTGTCGTTGCAACGTACGTTTTTGAACACAAGATCTCAATCAGGGCGAGGATGGAGTGCAAATGCTAACGGTGTTTTAGCTATGCAAACACCAGTACCCCTGTTCCGATCTACATCTGTGCTGCGTTGTATATCGTTATGGCTTCCGTAGCCGCTGCGTTCCCCTTCGAACCCATGGGCAAGAGAAGTTCTTGATGAAACTGGCGACACCTTACGTTTCAACTATGTTATTATATGAAACGGGCGCTTGGAAACTAGTTGTGGAAATCGAGTCTCGATTCAGGTCGGCCTATCGATGCGTGTGCTTGCGAGGACCCATCTAAGCATCCTAGGGAAACCAACAGCACATTTTCTGGGGCTCAATACCGCAGGACGGTGATCTGCAGGATGCGTAGAACACCCTGATGGTTGCCTGACGATATAAGGGGGCGGTCAGCATCTTAGCACCTTATGAAGCAGACTACCGTTTTTATTACCTTGCTTGTCGTTGGGCACATCGCACTGAACACGAAAGCCAACGTGAACAACAGATTGTCGCACAACTCGTTCAAGGTGCATCTAACAATTATTGGAAGATGACAGTCACCTGTCGCATCATCCATATATACAGGCTTGTAAGCTGATGAGAAGGTATATCTTTACACATGGCAATCCATCAGAGCAGCGTCCATCGCTCAAGTGTGGGAGCTAGTTTGAAGGAACTCTACCAAAAGGCGTGAACGCTACCATGTTATCAGTATGGAATGTCAGCAACGTTCCCGCCGACAAATTCTCAAATCCTAGCGGCGATCACTTTGATTTGGACTATGATCTTGGCGTCGGACTGTGAGAGGATTCATGTCGTCAAACATGGCTGGAACTTTTACTCTTGGGGGTATGTAGTCCACATCATCGAGGAGACTGGAAAGGTTTTGCATGTCAGCTCTTGGGCCCATCAGGACCAGTGCGCAGTGAAAACGTCCACCACAAAGGAGGATGCGGATCACAGCCGTCGGTTAAAAGAACTTCATCGAATATAGAGGTCCAGAACGCATTGTTCGTTTAGCATAGACTTCCCCTGCGAGGCGCCGCCGCGAGATTCCTGCCCGAAGCGGAGACGAAGGTGGTTTGCAGATAAGCCTAGCAGCACAAGCCTTCAGCTTTATCTACTCGTGATCGGATATGAGTAGACTCCGCTTCTTTTCCGTTCTTCTAGGAGGTGCCCTTATCGGTTCCTTGCCTGTCCGCCTTCTACCGCATGCCATGCGTTGGTTCCCCGAGCCTTGGTACGGTTATGCAAATTGGATACATTCGCATGAGGCCGCGAGACAAGACTCGTCACCTTATGTCGAAATCTCCAAAGTCTCAATTGTGTCGATAGGCCCTCTGGTCATCTACATTCAGGACTTTGTTACAGTCGCCGAGTCTGCGCGTCTAATCGCGTCAGTGTCAGTAACGCGTCTGAATCCCTCATCTTGGCCTGGGATCTTGCTGATATCCGCATAGNNTGAAGGACACTTCAGACCCTCTGAGATCTGGTCCAATGATGGAAGTGAAGGCACGGTTGTGCCAGAAGTCCGGACTTCGTTGTGGGCTTCGCCCAACATATCCGAACCATTGATCCAGGAGATACAGGCACGAGCCAAGAGTTCCCAGGGACACAGCAATGTGGGTGAAATCGAGCCGTTGAAAGTCCTCCGATATGAGCTTGGTGGCCATTACGAACACTATCATGATTCTCTTCCGGAAGATATCGCCCGACATAGCATGGAGGGCAATAGGCAGTCCACTTTCNNTTTTGTGTATCTGGCTGCAAACTGTACGGGAGGCGGCACCAATTTCCCACGTCTTACAAAGCCTCAAGGCGAGGAGTGGTGTCATTTCATCGATTGTGATGAGCCACCTGAGAAGGGCGTCACATTCAAGCCAATTGCTGGAAACGCGATATCCTGGCATAATCTGATGGTCCATAGCCAAACCCCTCATCCAGATCTTCTGCATGCGGGCTTGCCTGTCATCGCNAAGAGAAAGATAGGTCTGAACAGCTGGAGCTGGACACCAGATCCCGAGGACCCGTCCACGCCTCCGATGTAAGATTGGACCAATGTTGATCTTATGGCACGTCATCGCGAAGAGTACCAACAGCGTCTGCAAATACTCATGCATGATGTGCTCATCCTTGCGAGGCAGATCGGGTTTCACGTGTTCAATGCACTCACGGTAATGGACAATTCACTGTTTTTAGAGCAGCAGAAGTTTGAGCCAGGTGATTCCCCTTTACATTTCTATATTTTCGATTGGCGGATGGCGATGATGCCCAATGGCATGGACGACAAGATGCGGGCAGATCCATTGAATACGGGTGGAATCGGAGCTGTCATGTTATAGATAGAAGCCAGGTTCCTCAGAAGCAAGCCGTAGCGATCGTGCCACTTGCTTGTGTAGTACCACAGTCGAGTTGCAATCGTCCTAGAGTATTAGTGTTCCATAGCCTAGAACAAGCCACATGATGATAACGGCAAGATATCTGCATGGCGGGTAGATTATAACACCTTGTACCCACTATTGCAATTGGCTTGTCTTACCGAGCGAGCAACCAACCCTTTTTACATAATGTTTACGGACTGTGCAAAAATCCCAATCTGGTCACCCCGTCAGACCCTTCACTCTGCCTCGTATGTCCCTTCATCATTGCTTCTCCAAAGGACTTCGACCAACACCGACCGTCTCCAGTTTCCCAACTGTCACGTCTTACACAAGCGTACCCTCGTCTGAAGAACTGGACGCAACAAAGCAGCACCCCAAGATTTCGAACCCACAATCTCTTACCTGTCACCTCGTCAGTGCGGCGAAGGTCTCGGGCGCCGCCGCAATTTCGATCATTGCCACTCTAGCAGTGACACGAGGACTTCACAGGAACAGGCTATCCCCCGAAAGCTGTGGCAGCTCCCCCAGCGAGGCACTTGCCCGGGGCTGTAGCTACGATGTCATGTCCTTTGCTTGGTTACCATCAAGATGTTTTGACTCCGGAGTTGATGCAACAATTCTTGGGCGTGCGGAACTGGACATGGTACAGATATCAATGGCACCACGATCGAACCTTACGAGTTTATCGTTACCGGCGAACACGATCGCCTTTGTGTTACGCAAGAGTTCCATCTATATCATTGTACATACACGTGGCGCAAAATGCATCGCGCAGCTCTGTCTGAAGCTTCTCTCGATGGTTATATTGGAGACTACCACCACACCTCTCACTGCGAAAGCCGGTTTGTAAGACAAGGGGATAATCCAGCGGATATCAAACACGAGCATCTACACAAAGTTTGTGGATTGTCCTTATGAGCAGGTGGACAGGGAAGAGTGGGGTTAGTACAGGATAATCGATGGACACAAGGTTCACCGCGGCGATTGAGAAAGGCCAAAAATAGCTGCGTCTCTCTACAAGATTGGAAGTCAGCAAGGCCAGCAAACGTTATGATTGAGAAGGATTCGGCAAACGATATGAATGGTGGTGGTGGTGGTGGTGGTGGTGGTGGTGGCGCTGTCATGTTGTGATTGAGTGTTCACTAGGGGATTCCTTGACGCAAAAACCAGATACGGATACGGCATTCGAAAGAAGAGCCAGCGACCCAAGTGTCACACAAAAAGCTACGGATGTAGTGGCTGTATGTCTACTCCGTCGTGTGAACAGACTGGACAAAAACAACGACCGCCACGTCTTTTGCGACCACGGTACTCCTCATACCCCGAAGAATCATGTGAATTTTATCGTTGTCCACAAGAAGGACATCCGCTCTCTCTAAACTCGACTCCATCCACCAGACCCACACAATCATTACACTTCTTGCAGACATGACAGAACCCGCTACGCAGCTTGTTGCAACAAGGGCACAGATAATAAACTCTACCATCCGCCTTCTCAATTTGCTGTCGGAGAGGGAGGAGTTTCTCCTCTATGCCGCAGGCAACACAGAACCGAGAGTGATAAAGCCCAGTGTTTCGTTTGCTTTGTTTGCCAATGACTTAAGCCATGGAGAATTCGTTCTTTGGTTTGACTGTGTCGCAGTGAAAGCAAGCATATGTTCCGCCATGGGGAAGGGAGCTCTCAGCAGCAAGGAGGAAAGCGTGTTTGTTCAAGACAAAGCTCAATGGGGTTTTGAGAGAATCTCTGGAGTAGTGGAATGTCGCTTCAAGAAATAGAGCAGATGGGTAATCGAGAAGCTTGAAGATCTTCCATTGGAGCTCGAGCGGGAGATCTGGGAGATTGGCGCGCGTGCTGTCGAGTTGTTGTTCCATCGCTCGCTCACCGATCAGAGATGGTATCGTAAGTTCTTCTCTTTGCTTTGAAGCAAGTGGAGGTGACGATGCAGTCAACGGAGGATGTGTATCTTGATGGCCAGTGACTGGGCGTCGGCGCGTAGAACTGTACCCAAGCGCTCAAGCGGGGTCTTAATCAGAATATGCAGGCTGTATGAAGGGGCCAATCAGAGGTCGGCTGTTTGCTTTACAGTCGTTGAACACTATCCGAGTCGACAAGCAAGGGTACTGTAGATTGTACAACAACAGACAGTCTCCTATGTATGTACGCCAACTGGATTCCACCAATCCAACCTATAATGTGACTGAGTCATTCGCAAACCCCATACTTCCACTGACGCCAGCTTTTCTCCGAGGTTACTAGAGCTGCCTACTCGCAAGTCATTATGACATCCTTCGCAAGATGTGCTTTCAACAAGCTCTTTTCGCGAAGCTGTATGCGAGAAGCGTTTGTTATCCTCTCTAGGCGCTCCCAGGCTCTGCGAATGAGACGCCAATGCGTCGGAACTCCAGCGACGATCTCATGTAGCGCAACCCGCTGCGCAGTTCCTGTACAAACACTTCAAAGCAAACCCCAGGGCTTGTCGAGAAAGTCTAGATCGAATTGTTCAACGCCCTTTAGTTTTCGAGTCCGGCAATCAGACCTAATCCAAGTCGCATTAAAGGTTGCGTTGACAAACTGTCCAGCTTGGAATCCACCCTGGCTCTCCCGTACATCCTACTTCTCTGGTCACGTGCCAAGCTCTTCGATGACAGTCCTGATGTTTCTCCTCGAAACAGTATTGTCGGGTTCTGGTTTCGCAGGGCACAGTCTGTTAATCGCGTCGATGGCTCCAATCCTCATCAGCATCTTCAAGTCTGATATGAATGCGACACCCCTGGGTACGGTTTCTGTTGCTCCGGCCTTCCAATGTAGTTTTCGAGAATTCGATGAAGGCTTATAGATAACGCCGCCACGCATCGCAATTCCATACGACCACTCGTCGGACAAGATAACATCTCTTTCGAAGTCATGAACCGGTATAAATGCACCAGGGCCCCATAGATCGATAATGTCTTCTGGAGTGATGACGAGATCATGATGTTCGGCTGGTAATCTAGGGTTTCTGGCAAACACCATGACTGGTGAATCAATCATATCTCCAGCGCAAGTCAGGTCCACGAGCCTAAAGAAGATCGATGGAGCTTTCGACGTGTTCTCATCATCGCGAGTTGCACAGAGGGATATCTGCGATAAAGAGTGCTCAAGAAAGAACGGATCGAGCTCCCCGATATATGATTGATTGAACGACAGAATTGTCACACTCAGGACCCGAGCAGCTAGTGCGCAGTCATGCGCTTCAAAATTTGTCATCATCGTGAAGCGCTCCACGAAGTCGTATTGCACTAGATTCAAGATTTTCTCACTCGCCTCGTTCAATTGACCCACTGCCTCCTCCAGCCGGACCAGCCCGACGGGAGCTTCTTGTCGAAGGTCATATAGGGTACGAATCTGGTAGACGCAGCCACGCAAACCTGCGATGTGACTCAAAGGAATTTGGAATGCTTGGACGTCCGATTGGTCGTGAAGACAAAAGGCGACAACATGATGGCGAATCAATCCTATTGGTTGCAGCCACTCGAATAGAGTGACAAGGCGGTCCAATATACGACGACACTGGGTGTAGAGCTCAAGGATCCATTCACGATCCCGATATGATCGAGATAACGATCCATAAGATATTTCAGCACTTCGCTCATTAGACCGTATGGTCACATTTTCGATTCAGGTAGTGCGACGGTTAGGTGCAGGAATAATTCCAACAAGACCGCATGTTTCAGATACTGCCCGCTTGATTCCAGCAGCTTCTCGGGCGGTTGGTGCAGGTGTAATAAGATGGGTTCGTGGCCGGTGCAAGATGTTGCTCGTTTCGCGACTGGCAGGAGAGGTGTAGTGCAGAAAGTCCCTATGTATCGACGCACCAAGGCTGACGCCCAAAGTACCTGCAAGGCCACGCGAACTCATCCGGTCAACAAGGCAGCCAGAGCATGTCGCAGCACCTGCAACTTCCGCAAAGAAGCAGAGTGAGCACGGAAGAAGATGACGATAATGGCAGCTGCATCGTACAGATGAGAGGCATGAGCAAAAAGAGTTGTCCGATGCGATGATGTCGAGAATAGAAGGATGGAAAGCTTGGAAAGGGACGCAATTGGCAAGCTCAAATGTTGGCAACGGATGTTGGCACCGCAAATTGCAACGACCTTCCATCGCTCCTTCTCGAAACACGCCTCAAAAAGACCCAACAAAAGCTCTGCTCAAGAGAAGGAAAGAGAATGCTTCGATACCTATGTGTACATCCTGAGAACCCATCCTTGTATGTCCAGCCTCGTGATACAATGTCGTCAATACCATCCAACCAGAATCAAAACATCCAGAACACATCCCAAAATACCGAAAACATCAACCGAGAAAACAGGGGAATACGAAATCTAAGCTCAAGGCTCATAGTCCAAATTAACATCAAGGACTTCCACCGAACAATCCAACGCCAAATTCTTCTTTACCTTCCCACTTTCTGGGCTTGAGCACTCTCATCTTGCGAACAGGGCTCTGATTTTCCTTCTCACGCTCAAAGGCCTGTATCTTTTCTCTGAGTCTCTCATTCTCCTCTTCCAGTTCTGCAATCTTCTCATCGCCTTCTGCCTCTCCATCCTCACAGACTTCGACTTCACTCAAGCCACGAGTGAGGATCTCAAGTTTCTTGTCGAGGTGCTGGTCAACGTGTTCTTGTGCGGCTTCGCGAGCGGCATGGTATCGACGACGTTCCGACTCCATTTGCGACTCGAACTCTTCCCAAATCTCATCACGCAGTTCAAGCTCGAGAGACTCGAGGCGATTCTCTGCCGTCAGCCACGAAGACTCTGCTTCCTTGCGCCGTTGTGTTTCCTCCTCGAGACGGATTTGTGTGAGTTCGAGATCTTGACGTAGGAGAGCGAGTTCGGCAAGGGCAGATTCGAGAGCTGCATCGCTGGCAGCAGGATTGGAAGGAGTCAGACGGCCTGAAGCAGAAGTCCCAGGACGAGCGAGAGGGACCATTGTGCTTGTGTAGCTGGGAATGCGAGGAACGGTGACTTCTCTGGCCAGTGCAGAGTAGCGGAGGATTTGACTGGTAGCGTTGTAGTCGCCTAGAGGGTCTGCGGTGACGATCATGATACCCTTCTGTGGCGGCTTGGGCGAGCGGATATGGTGAGAGCATGATGAAGAAGGGAAAGAGTTGGAGAAGAGCAGTTCTGTGAGTTTGCATTGACGGAAAGGGACGATGTTTGATGACTTTGTAGGGTCGGCATTGTCGCTCTGCATCTGCATGCATTGCCCGAGATACATGAGTGATTCGTTGATCTTGCCAGCTTCTGCGAGGGTAGATCCAGCTGTCTTTGCGGCGCGTGCACGTTCGGAGCCNNTGTAATGGTCAGTTGACGAGCCTTTGTGTCAGAGGCTGTTCAGGGGCGACTCACCAGCAAGATCAACAATGGTCAAGGCACTGCTCGACCAGTTTGATGTAGCAGCGCCTGCAAGTCTCTTCTTGACTTCAACACAAAAGAAGCCGTGACTTCTGCTGCTGACGGCGTTGCTGCCTGTGCCGGCGACTCTGCGCTCTGTCAAACCTGTTTCGAGCACAAGAAGAGCTTCATCAAGGTTCTCGCACACGACCTTCCTCAGGCCGGCTACGACTTTGCGGTCAGGACTATGTTCGGTACTCTTGTATAGCAGATGTCTGCGTTTGGCTGTTGCCGTCTTGGAGGGTTGGTAGGCGGCGGAACCTGCGAGCAAGTCGAAGATGCGGTCGTTGTAGACTTCGTACATGCTGACGACGATGGCGAACTCGGCGGTCTGGTCGACGTCGAGGTCGGTACCTTGGACGATAGGGAATTGGGGCATGCTAGAGACTCTGGGCATGTGGCGCTTGGGGGCCATGGCGGACGAGGGACGGGGGTTCGAAACGAAGGAAATGTCCTTTTGCGACTGCGTCTTAGCTTGATTTGTCGTCACAGGGCGCTGGAGGAAAGTGAAGAAGGATGAAGATTGTGGCTTTTGCACACAGGAATGGCGCTGGTTGCTCTTTGTAGAGCAGGCGATACACGAAGTGGTGGAGATGGATGATTGATGGTTGAGATCGGGGTACAAGGCCTGTTTTGAAGGAGAAGATGGTCGTACCATGAGGGGAGTTGCAGCTCTTGACTGAGCTCTCGAGTGAGCGCGTGTGTCTGACGGGGCTTCGCCGTAGATGGACTCGAGGTATTGGTTGGCTGCCGACATGTGCGCCTCGGATGTGTCGGAGGCAAAGACTGAGTGTAGGGCGAGCTGGTCGCGTCTTGTCGAGATGAGCTGGTCGCCGAGGTTCTGGTAGAGCACGTCGAGGGCGAGTTGGGTCAAGCCACGCTGCGAGCGGGAGCCCAGAATTGTGTGGCNTCTGTGTCTTGTCAGTCTCTTCTCCTTGACAGCAAGAGGTCAGTGAGTGCAGACCTTGCCCGAGCCAGTGACGCCGAGAGTAGCAAAGAGACCATCGCGGCCCTCTCTGCCCTCGGCGCCTAGCACGCCCTGCATCATCGAGTCCAGTCCAGTGCCATGGAACAGGTCGAGCTGTGTTGCCTCCTCTTCAAAGACTCTTGTGAACTTGAACGTCTCGACAGCCTTTCTGCGCTGGTCGTGGGCCGGCGGGTGGATTGTGATGTGCGTGGGCGCCGCTTTCTCGTCTGCCGCGTCGACGTCGAGGAATCGCTCTGCATTGGGTGCGAATGACGGTCGTAGACGTAGGTACACTTCGAACAGCGACGACGTCGTCGGCTTGGTTGGCGCGTCCATTCTGTGTATCGTCGTTGGGTTGTGTCGTTGACTCAATGTCTTGATTGAAGAAATGACGTGAAGCTCTTCTGGATTTCCGTGTTGACCAAACAAATGGTTGCTAGGGTCTGCGCCACGGTGCAACTCTAGCCGACCTCCGGCTGCCAAGCCCCGTTTACACTTTGCTCTCTTCACCCTCCCGCCTTCGTCGGCCTTGGAACTCGACGCTGTTCACCCTGTCCTTGACTTGATTGATGTATAGGGCTACCGTTACTTGTCACAAGAAAAATTCCATATAGCTAGTGGGCGATCTGTACACTCCTTAGCTGAGTCACGGAGTGAGTACAATTATTCCGTGATAACATGCATTTTCAATGTTATGTTTGAGTCTGAATACAAATACAACAGACGCTATCCAGGCCTTGTCCACTTGTCTCATGATCAATGACCATCCCCAATACTACCTCATCAGATACACGCAGGAACGGCAACCAAATTCACAGCGGTACACTGAAACCCTCCACTCGACTGCGCCAACCTCGAATTGTCAGCTCCGCACGTCTGCAACATGGTCTGATATCCATCGACCGTGCACGACACCGCACGTATCGAGCCCCCTATCAACTGACAAATGACAGGATACCTGCCGTCATTCAAAGGCGAAGAAGGCGTTACCTGATAAACAAGACTCGAATTCGAGGAGGTCTGTTCCGACACCCAAGCTCCTGTCCCTTCTACGCCTTGGAATTGTCCATTGGGCTGGAGAGTGAAGAGGAAAGTAGAGTCGTGTGTGTTGGTGGGGGTGAAGGAGAGGGTATGGGCGAACTGATAGTCCGGAGTGAGTTGAAGGAATTGGTCCTTGAAATCACTATACTGGAAGGTGGCTTTCAGCTCGTACGTGTTGCAAACGGGTGTGGGGGTCGAAGTAGAAGAAGAGGAAGAGGAAGACGCGGGTGTAGACGTGTAGCTAAAGCTAGAGCTGGAGTCGTAACTATAGGTCGAGCAGGAAATTCGCCAACTCAGATTCGAAGGCATCATCGAACCTTATTCGCACGAGTTCGAAGTGACCATATCTGTAGCAGATGTCGTTGCACGTTTCAGTGTGCTCGGCCGGGGAGGGGAGAGGCTCGAGCTGGCTGCAAGCATAGCTGGTCGCATACATGCAGATGTATTGAGCGTTTCTCATCCATCAAGAGGAAATCAAGACTGATACAGAAAGCGCGTCCACGGTCCTGCTCTCACAGTCTACACGATCGAGAGTCAAGGCCACAAAATGGAGATCGTCTGCCACAAACACAATGCAACATCTGAAGATTGCAAGGAGTGGATCCTCTCATCAAGCGATGGCATTCTCGTACGCTACCAGTACAAACGCACATGACTTCCAAACTGTTCCATCTACCAAGGCCTGCTTTAAGATTCATCTTTGCTAAAAGAGGCCCTGAACGCCAACTACATTCATCAGAACCCCAGCACACAAATTCGTGCTCCCGAAAAGACAAACCCCTGCCACCAAGTCACTTGGTCCAGCGTGAGTGACAAAGCATAGTTGCCATTATACCAATTCAAGAGTACCAGCGCGAGAGCCATGATCGGTGCTTGGAATGCAGACGTTGCGAGTAATCGTTTTAAAAAGCTTGGGTTCGGTATTGCAGTGGGCTCTATGGGGTATGGATTAGATGGTGGCAAGGAAGACAAGTGAACAAGTGAGACTCACCGGTAATGAAGTTTGAAGTATCATTTTGCTTGACATTTCGAGTTTGCATCTTGTCGCTACTTTGCTGTGGTAGCAATTCCGAAGCGATGCTGAATCAATGGTTGCCCAAAGCTTTGCTGCCGTCGAGATTCAGAAGTGTCAATTGCGAGGACAAAATGGCATGGAATGATCAAACTGGGGTTTGCAAAGGGATTATATGCTGGCGGTTCCAGACGCTATGACCGTTTGATCCATTCTCCCCGCAGCATCAGAAAGAATTCCACTGTTAGCGCCCTGCAGTTACTGTGCCTCAGCCTGCGCTTGTGATCTTCATGGTTGTGACCAATAATATCGCTCAGAGGCAGAGAAGTGAAACAATATGGGGCAGATCCCCAACAACATGTGACGATCACGATGCCGCACCACTTTAATGCTCGACAGAGGAACATGTGGCGCAGCTGAAAGGATGCATCGTCTTTCCGAAGGAACACTAAACAGCAACAACCACTCCTACAATTCCAGGAAAGCAAAAGATCGCAAAACAAGGCAGACAAGACTCGCACGTAGTAAACTATTTCAATTCTGTTCCTATCCGAATCTCATCTCAGACCAAATCAAAAACAAATAAAGAAAAAAGAATCCCGGAAATATCACTTCTGAGATCTCATCATCCTTGACCAAATTGTAGCTAGTCCCAGTTCGCTGGTTCAAGTGGCGATGCAAGTCAAACTTCCACCCACATCAGTGCATCCTTTACAATCCAATGTCAGCAAAACTACACTCATACGCTCCTCGAAGCGATGGGAACATCACTTACTGCCACTGATAGTATCACTCTCGGTGCTGGGGCCTGCCTTGTACTTGCAGCTGGTTTGTGCTTTGTGTTTACAGTTGTTTGGGCAGTTGCAAGCAGAGTCTGTAGGGTTAAAGAGTTAGTGGGAAAAGGTTATTGGTAGTGTGGAGGTGAGTAGGAGTTTACATTGGTCGGTGGCGATGCGCGAGATGGCATTGACGGGCTCAGGAATCGCGGCTGCGAGCGCATTGCTTGCAAACAATGCGGTGATTAAGGTGATGGCGGTGAGTTTGAAGTGCATTGTGAAGATTGGGTATAGTAAGTTGCAGATGATTCAGAGAGAAGAGGTGGTTTGGAGATATGAGTGATTGTGTTCGGGTCTGCCGTTTTAGAAATTAGAAGTGCCTGGTGATGTGGATCGCGGATGACCTTTATGGTATGCTTGCGCAGTCACATTTCATGACGTCGAGGTCTGTGAGATTGCGCAGATCAACTCGCACACAACTCTTTCGGCACTAATATCTTTGGTGATTAGTTGGTCTTTGAGGAGTTTCGCCAACATTCCTGGATCCTGGATCCTGAATCCTGACCCTGAATCCTGATCGTTGTCTTTGATGCCAACTCCTAAGGATGTGCAAATGACTATCATGACGACGCATCCAACGTTAGGTTGACACTCTACAATGGCTGGTTTCGAGTGGGTGGAACGTGTAACGTGTCTGAGGCTGTAAAACCTGGTGTATGATTCATTTCTTGTGGGGACTGGTGTTGGGATGAGAGGCACAGCTTCGAAGGATGACCTTGGCATCTTGGATTTGCTTGGGGTGTGTTATGCTGATCAGTGGAGCTCAAAGAATCCTTCTCGAAATCTCTCGATCACCGCCGTGCGATACGTACGTTAGAGAGCGGAGTCTATATCGGGTTTGCACAGGTGTGATGGTAGCAAGAGGTATTTGTTAGTCTTAGTTTTCTCGATGCTTGACTACGATTCGCGAGACTTGATCTCGCCCCTTCATAACATCAGCTCGCCACCCCGAGCAATCTGCAACAGTGGAGTTTGTTCTATTGAAATATCATGTCTGTTGGCTTCTTGGAGATCTTGTCTACGGGAAGGAGTTAAGATCAGCACACACGAGCATTTTTGGACCTGTGATCAGTGTCTTGGGACACTGCGGATTTCCATCAAGGATAGTGGTCCTTCAAGGATCATGTCCAAGGCACAGATTGTATCAGCAGATACCAACACTGGTGTGGTCGCTGTAGGATCAAAGGAATACATGCACCCACGCCGCACTTGTCCCTGTTTGCATGACAAGGATCGCATGACGAGTTGATAGTCCATTCGTCGACGAGCTGACGACGCAAAGGCTCCAAGGGCGACGTATGCGGCCGCAACTAGGACATGTCCAGTAGGCGAGCAAGTTTGGAGGGTTTGGACCAATTCAAGCAAGTCTCGGGTTATCAGTATCTTGCGTAACTGTTATAAGGTGTCTGGATATCCGCACGAAATACCCAGAATCTATCCTGGTCATCTCTTCTCATTGATCTACTTTGGAATACTTGATTCTACCATGCTGAGCAAGATTCTCCTCTTATCGACCTTAGTGTCACTGGCCTATGCCTCTCTTCTACCTCCAGATCATGCTATACGCCGCGATGCCAGCTCTATTGCAGCAGATATCACGACCCAGCATATCCTCGACGCCTTCATCGAAGCTGGACACCCCAACGCGTTCCCCGAGCAAACGTGGCAAGATGATCAGAACACTACGTACCAAAGCCTCTTCACATTTGAGCCAGAAGACTGGAACGACATGCACCACAACCTACTCGAGAGAGCCGGTCTCTCTTGGGAAGAAGCCCATCGCATTGTTGTACGCTCGGCCAGCGATAGTGATCTCGAAGCTAGAGATGGCGACCCTCCCACCTGGATCTGCAAGGGTTATGATTCAGCTCCTTTTGTATGTCATGTAGCTCACTCTCCACATGCACGGGGTGCTTTGATCTGACAGTAGCGTCAGGCATACACTTTCACTCTTGGCTCAGTCGCCAATGCCCTTTGCACAGGACTAGGTTTTGGAGCCGAGAGACTGGGCAAGAAACAGGTGCTGCAAAGAACAGGACTGCAGGATGTCAATGGCGGGTTCGTCAAAGTCACGCTGACCTATACCTGGAAGACTGTGAAATGGGCGACCGTGGGTTCATGCGGTATTGCCGTCTCCTATGGGTAAGTCTCTTGTCCGATTTCTTGTGGATTTGTGTCATTCTATTGTGGGGTGTCTGGCTGACGTTGAGGCTGATTGCTTTACAGGATCACCACTGCTTGTCAGACCATTCAGGATGGAATCGAAGGTGAAAAGGAAGCAAGCAATGGTTACAGCATCGAAAACTACGATGATGGTGGTTTGGTGAGCAGTCTCGATTTGACTCCCGTCTAGAGTTATGTTCGAGCAATAGGTCTTCATGCTTAGGAACCACACTCCATGCTCCTTGGGGAGCTTTCCTACACATGACGGACCTGTTCAAAAACAACCCAAGATTTAGGCAGGAGGAAGTTGGTAGGAATCATACAATGCATTGACGGTCTTAGTACCACGAACCCAATCTTGGAGGACATGCAAGTTTGTGGAGAAACTGCGACTTAGTTCTATCTTGTCAAAATCGTAACTAAAACTCACAGATATTTGTAGTCAAGAAGACTGGACGTTCAATGGTTGGAGGCTCTCATCCTGATTCGTCGACGTGTATGTGACTCAGAAACAGCAAAGGAAGGTAGGTTGTCCAAAGAAGGGCGCTCCCCACAAATCCTCCTGGCTAGTGATCATGCCCATACTTCTCCACTTCCAATCGCTGCAGGCAGTAGCACCTACCGTCTTCAACACTACATGTAATTCTCGCGCGACACAAATGGCGACCGAGACTATGACACTGGTTGGACTCCAGCCACTTGACCGCGATGGAATTGCGACTACTGGTTTCGTTCCTATCCCTCCTCAGGAACATCCTACCACAGCGAGTGACGCGTTGCAATATGCAGCACAAGAGGACAATTCGACAGGTGTCCTTACCAAGAACCGAGCTGTCATAGTCATAGCCCAATTGATTGGCTTACAGCTGTTCACTAGCTTTTGTAACGGCATTATAGTCGTCGGTCTTCCAGCTATCGCTAGCACAGTGCATCTCGACGACAACCTCCTCCTCTGGCCCACATCTGCATTCTATCTTACCGCTGGTTCTTGCCTCATGCTGGCTGGATCAATCACGGATGTGATCGGTACCAGGCCTCTGATCTTGGCGGCGAATATCCTCCTGGTCGCAACGGCTCTCGGCTGCGGTCTTGCACAAACAGGAGGTGAACTTGTCACTTTTCGCGCTTTGCAAGGTGTTTGCAATGCCATGGCTATTCCCGCTTCCATCTCTGTCATATCAACAAGTGTAGCTACAGGCCGCGCTCGTAACCTTGGCTTTGCGTGTCTTGGATTCTCAGGACCACTTGGATTCTTACTTGGGCTTGTTCTCGGCGGTGTCTTTGTGGACAGCATCGGGTGGCGACCGGCATTTTATCTTGTCGCGGCAAGTAGCTTTGCTCTGTGTGGGCTTGGTTTCTGGGTGTTGCCACGAAATGTCCAGTCTAAGGCTCATCGCAGTCGCAGTATCAGAAAGCAGCTGATTTTCGACATCGATTGGGTTGGTACACTACTTGTGAGCTTTGGACTTGCCACCATATCCTATGTTCTGGCGTGAGTACAGCTGGTTCACCCTCAGGGTGTTCTGAGAGCTGACAAAAACAGAATGTTATCATCCAACACGGACAACATTCGAAAAGTCCCAAACATTATACTCTTGGTTCTGGGCATCGCTTGCATTCCGGCTTTCATCTGTTGGATGAGCTACCAAGTGAAGCATGAGCGTCCAGCCCTCATACCCAACGCACTTTGGCGGAACGCTAGCTTTACAAGTGTCTGCTTTATGATTACGTTTGCAAGCGCAGTGATCAATAGTATGGAGCTGTACAGCAGTCTGTTGTAAGTCGCGAGTGATGCCGCTGTCAGAAAGGTCATCGTTGACTCTTATTAGNNCTTTCAACAGGTTCAAGGCATCTCAGCGCTGGGGACTTCACTGCGCATCCTTCCCGCCCTCGTCATGGCTGTCTTGGTAAACATCACATGTGGTTATTTTGTCAATCGCATGCCGGTCATGTGGGTGGTGGTTGTCTCCTCGGGATTGTCTGCCGTCTCACCACTTCTCATGGCTCTAGTCAGACCTGAATGGTCATATTGGCACATGTCGTTCATTGCACAGGTATGTCATTGCCAAGTCATAGAATCTATTGTCTTTACTCTTGACTCCACGATGATCTTTCTCATGACTTGTCCAGTTTTGCGTACATAAGATCGGCTGACGGGATTCNNATTGCAGGTGCTGCAACCATTCAGTACCGATGTACTCTTTACGATTGGCATCTTGGTCATCTCTGCCGTCTTTCCTCCTCGTACGCAAGCGCTCGGCGGTGCAGTCTTCAATACATGCTCCCAGCTCGGCACTTCGATCGGATTGACCATCACGGCGGTTGTTGCCGACTCTCGTACCGCTGCCACTACCTCAGATGACTTGTCACACACTCTAATGGTAGGATATCGTCTAGTCTTCTGGGTCTTGTTTGGATGGATGGTGTTGGTCTGTCTCACAGGCGCATTCGGGCTAAGGAATATAGGTAAAATTGGCACTAAACAAGACTAATTCTAGGTATGTCTGGATCTATTACGATATATGTTGTAGACTAGGAAGTCTTTGAAGGAGTCGGATCAAGAACAGCAAATTGGGCGACCCATGCCAAACAGCCCTCGAGCTGTGGTCACCAGTTCATTGAGTTATAAATGGATCATCATCTGAGGAGGGCTTTCACAAACCTACATATCCAGTTGCCATGTAGCTTTGCAGTTGATCCAATGCCAGGCTAACGCACAACATAACATTGGAAGGAGAACCTCGGGAGTCGACTGTTCTCATAGCAACTGTCATGTAACCTAGAATCTTTGGGACAAACAAAAGATTGCTCTGTCTCTGTCTCTGTGTCACAGATTAAGGGACTTGCTAGCCCTTACCTATCCCTAATGACTTGCTAACGCTTGCCTTCACCTCCCACGTAAATGATACACACTCACACAAGCCTTCCCCTGGTTGAACGATTGGCCAAAACAACAGCGGGCGGCTCAATCAGCCGTGAATCTGCGATCACGAAAGAAGTTGACCCATGAGTGCAGCGACACCCAGAAAGGACCTTTGGAGAACCAGGTGCCTGGATACAGATTGATGTAGCATCTGTCCCGAATGATGGGACACCGTTCTCCCATAGCAGGGCCCCACGTCATGAACCCGAGCTTTTGGAGACCCGAAAGTCAACTGCTTCCCATGGGTATCAAAGTCACTGTCTCACTGGTGATCATGAGGAAAAATACTAGCATGCCTATGGCCTTATGAACAGGTACAAGTCGAGATGGTTTGTCTGTCCATCAGTGGCTTTGACTGCGGAGGAGTAGGAGCTAGAACGTCCGATACTACACGTGAATGCTTCACTTGTCTTCGGATACTGGATCAATTCCCATGGCGATGAGAGAGAGCGATGATCTCACGGCCTATGGTAGCGCAGCGGGACGAGGCATTGCATCGGATCGGCTCTTGTACCGTGCCAGTACCATGGTCATCGCCAATGTGGAATAAGGTTTGTCCTGGTGGGCAGCAACCTCTTACCGCAGATGCATATAGCTACGTAGCAATCTGTTTCTTTCTTATAGGACTTGTCAACTTTGTAATGTACATCTAGGGCCTGGGTGGGGGAACGGTCCTTATTAGGCCATTGCACGGATGCGACAAAGTCGATCAACCGTCTTGCATGATGATCGACTCTTGCGGATCATCACTCTGCCAACATCCAATTAGGATGTTTTACGTTCCGACAGCTACGACGCGCGATCAGCATCATTGTTATTCAGCATTATTTGCTGTTTACATGCTCCCGTTCAAATCTACAAGGATTCCTTGTCGTTGGTATAGCCGTCATGAGCCGCCTTGCATGCATGATCAAAAGTATCGGTACCATGAACTCGGTCTATGATCGAATCGATTCCTAACCAAGCTCGAAAGAGGTTGTCGAGAGTGACTTCGAGTACAGATACCTACCGTCGCTCGACTATATCAAGAGATGGAGGGCTCGCGAAGAATTAACCATCTCATCCACGCAACCATTCTTCCTACAGTCTACTCTTTGAGATTCGCATACACATCTCTCAATCTTGACGATATGAAGACTTTCAGCGCTATTCTGGCTCTGGTCAACCTCGCCGTTGCTGTTCCTACATCTTCCAAGTCTTATTGCACCAAATACATAGATACTGTGAGTGAGCCTGGCACTAAGCGTCCTCGATTCACCGCTAAACAGATCAGTATGACGACTTGACCGCCAACCTTCTCCTTCCCCAACTGAGCCCAGTGGACAACTACCACGGGCTCTCATACGAAGCTTTTGTAGTTACCGCAAGTCCCACACATGTCTTTATCTCTCAACACAACACCCACTAACAGCTCGTCAAGCAACCCGCCGGCGTTCAAGGCATCGTTCCCAAGTCCAGCCCCAACGTCGCAGCCGCAACAATGGCCGAAGACCTTCTCCAACTCGGTTCCCTCTCCCTAAACCCCTTCGGCACCATCTCCGCATCCTCGGGAAAATCTTTCGACCTCACAAGCTTCTACTTTGGCTGTGTACTGGACTCGCACACCAGTCTTGTCGCTCCCACGGTCGGGTGCACTATTGCCGTGACTGGCTATACAAAAGATGATGTGCAGGTTCCTGAGCAGACTTTTGCGTTTGCGCCAACTGCGTTGACTGGAGTGCCGTTGAATCTTGCTTCGTTTCCTGCTTCGTACTCGAAATTGGCCAACATTACTATTGGGATTGTGGCCAATGATGTCGCTAACACTCAGACCGTCCTGATCTTGGACAATCTTGTTCACTGCAACTGGTAGAGCAATGTCGAGGCTGCCGACACCGACTGATTGGTTTGATGTGGTTTTCAGTCATATGTTTTGTCTCTCCTTTTACCTTGCTCATGTAGTATTCGGAGGACTCATCTCTTGTTACTGTGCTTTGCTCATGTAAACGAATAGTCGTACAGGAAGCCCGACTCTCTTCGAGGAACATACAGCTTCCTAGCCTTGCCTTCTTTCCCTCCCTTTCTTTCTTCTATAGCACTGGATTTACCACTCACTTGACGGGAAGCACATTATAGACATACTGTAACTTCATACTCGCTGCAGTGCAAGTAATGAGAAAATACATCGGAAGCGGGATTTAGGGAAGATTAATCTTCTTCACAGTCATCACATCTTCACGCCGCGCCTCGCAACAATCTTAGGCCATTTGACACCTATACTGTGTTGGTCAGGGGGTCCCGTTGCTGGTAGAGACTTGTAGCAATGGTTTCGACAACATTCTCAACGATTTGAAGGGACAATCACTACAATTCAGAATTCAGCAAACGATGATCAAATGGACTGCGTCACAAGCCAGGCAGGACAACAAAAGCCTAACAAATCCTCCCATGTACCAATGCCGCTGTCTCTGGAAGAAGTCTACTATGCAGCCTCCCTCATAGATATAGCTCCGTCCGATGATATCAAAGATCTGCATACCTCTCCTCCTTACCTATCTCTATCCAAAGAAGAGGATATAAACAAGGAAAATATGACGTCTTCATCTCTGCTCTTTGACAAACCGCACAAATCAGGCAGGAAGTGAGAAATCTCTCATAGAAGCGCGATAGAAAGGGCGTACAGAGACTGCCATCATTACCATCTTCCTCTCCGCCGCACTACGCACCATCCCCGATCGCTCTTGCAAAGGCCGTCTCAGATCAAACACATCAAGATGAACCATCCATACTACAACACACACACTTTAGAACCCACAGACCCCCAGCGATGTCTCCCGACAAACAACATCCATACCAGCATCATCGAGAGAAAGAAAAAAGATAAAACAGTATACACAAACACAACCCAAACTTGACTATCACATGCCCACGAACAAGATCCCTGACCGCAATCTTCTCACTAACAAAACTTCCAAAAACCCCCACTTTCTCTCCCATTCCAAAAAGAAAACTTGTAGTCGACAAACCAAACCCGATATCGACTGAACTATACTCTAAACCTCGATATCGCGAGCCTGAGCACTGCTGTCAATCTACAGCACAGCAATGATTAGAAGATCCAGGTCCGTAGAACCCCTCGTTTCGTACTCGAGTTCCGCAGGCTCGGAGGGGAAACAGTACACCAGTATTACTGCATGTTCTATAACCTTCAAGTCAGACACTTGCTAAGATAGTATCTGGTTATTTATCACTGCTTCTGCATCACAGGCACAAGGACTTACCCCTCATGTCTCTTTCTCTGTAACAATCAGCATATACAGCTCGACTCTCCCTATCCCTATCTCTAAAACAGCAACCAGAGCCAGTGAAACATGCCACGACTTCGATACAAATAATCACCTCATGAGCAACAGAAGTTAATGATGGATAGATATCCAAAACTTCAGTATACGAAGATAAGAAGAAAAAATGAGCAGAGTTATTTCCCCGATTCACCACAATATCTTAATCCTTTTCAGCACATGAGAAAGGGAAAAAAACAGAAAAAGGGGCAACCAGATGTTATTAAAATTCTTCATCTGGGAAACAGAAGGAGATAATCGCAAAGATATACAATGTTTTGAGATTAGTCATGATGCCAATGGTCAAAAAGAACAGAAAAAAAGAAAAGAAAAAAAAGAAAAAAGTCCATGATAACAATAGCAGTTTCAAAGAAAAAGCGCTACCTACTTTCACCTTTTCCCCATTTCCTCAAAAAAACACCCTTTGCTTTTCATGAGTGTGCTCGGCTACTGGGAACACGTAACAAGACTAGAAAGAGGTGGAAAAGAAAAAACTCCCATCCTCAAAGGTCTGATCAAAAAAGAAGAAAAGAAGAAAAACTCCCAAATCGTGCAACCGCTGAACCCCCTCGATCCTTCACCAGCCTTCACCATTCTTCACCAAAAGAAAGAAAAAACACCCTTGAATGACTTCCCTGGTTATTGTCCAGAAACGAAGAGAAAAAGAAAAATAGACAAGACCCCCTTGCTGAAATCAAACTCCTACCCGCCCAATACTGTGGGAATGCAAAGTGCGCCGACGCCCGCTGTGGTTTCTGTCGGTGTGCTGTTCGTGTTCATGTGCTCCGTCGTGTCAAAAAGAAAAAGACATCCCAATATCACTGCGGTAAACCTTCATCCACATCATCAAGCATAGCTGCGCTCATCATGCCAGTAACATGCTGAGCCTCGCCGCTGCCACCAGCCCAAAGTGCACCACCGTGATTCTGAGAAGGTTCGCCAATCATCTGATCAGAATCGTTTGCCGGGGTCGAGTGAACATCCAAATTGAGCATATGGCCATGCACCGCAGCGTCGATGATGCCAATACCGTGGCCATCATTGGGTGTGTCAACCCCGTCATGATCATCTTCCATGTCTTCATCTTCGATATCTTGGTCGTTGTGATTGTGGAAGGCCGGGTTGTGCCATGTATGGACGAGGTTGGGGTGATGAGGAGGCGGAGGTGGAGGAAGAGGAAGATTACGAAGAGTGGCGCCGTCGTTGTCGTCGTCAGAGTCATTGACCATGCCAGTTTCCATGCCAGGAC